TCGCTAGGTCTCTGGAATTTCCATTTTCAGTTTTCTTAAGGTGAATCCAGATCACTTTCCACAGCGACAACACCAGTTTACCTCCCCAACAACAGCGCACTGAGTCGCTGCCAAGCTCCCGGGTCAGCCCTTCTCCCAGCTGCGGAGGGCACCCGGGTCTCGGTGGGCTTGGCCTGCCTCTCCCTTACTGAAAGCGACGGGGCCCATTTCCCACTCACCCGTCGGCCTTCTGGAGTCCCTCTCGCGAACTGTCTGCTCAGATTGGCTACCAACCTGCCAATTGGGTTGTTAGGCATTTTCTTATCGTTTCATTAAGTTTCTATGTATCTTGAGTGTCAACTTCTCATCACTCGTCGTCAGCTGTGTATATGTGCGTATTCCCTCCCGCTCGGCGGGATGTCTTTTTAATCTATTTATTCTCAGTCACTGTGTAAACCTGGTACTCTCCCTGCCCAGGGCTATCAAATCTGCCCTTCTCACTCAGCAATGCCAGTGTAAGAGTATGCTAAGAGCATACTCTTAGCAGAAATCATTTTATAATTGCCCTTCTCATCTCTGAACTGTCTGAAATAGAAGGGTTCAGGGGGAAATTCGACCATCTGAGACCAGACAGGGGTCACGGACCTAGGAGGAGGTAGGGTTGAGCATGAAATCTCTTCCACCCCTTTTAGAACTTGGGGTCATGCAGTTCAGTAAACACTTCAAGGGGGAACATATGAGGAGCAGAGGGAACAGAAATGGGTGTGTAAACACTTTGTTTTTATTCTGGGCACCTGGGCTCTGAGCTCGTGGGTGTAGGAGGAGCCCAGGCTGGGGTCACGCGGGCTGAGTGTCCAGTCATGTCTGCAAGAAGAAATGATTTTTTCCCAAATATTTGCGCCACTCTTCTTACTGTCTTATTTTTTCTGCTGTAGATTCCAAAAAAATTAGATAATCTTCCAAACAAAGGTGGCTATTTATGGTGACAGTGGCCTTTCCTACCTAGTTCCTGATTTGAGTACTTCAGCAGATAAAAGTTTGTTGCGGGGTTTTGGGAAAAGCATTGCAGTTCCCTCTTCTGTTTATACTCCCATTTTGGGGGCCTTAGTTGGAATAACATAGAAGCTGACACGGCCATCGAGGTCCCCCCTCTACTTCGCTGTAACGGGAATTATGCTGACAAAGACATCAAGAGGAGACTCATTTACAGTCCATGATCTACAGGAGGGGAAGATGAGCCCTCAAGATGAAGAACCGTCTCTAGGGAAAGGGAAACCATGTTGTAGATGGAAATATTTAATATAAAGATGCCTCTTCTCAAATTAATAAGTAATTATTTTCCACTAAGAATCTCAATGGGGCCTCCCCTGGTGGCGCAGGCGGTTGAGCACGGTGCTGTGAAGCCGTCTGCAGCCTCTGCAGCACCGGTTTGATCCCGGCCAGCTGGAGAGGGTCCCACACGGCGCTGCGGACCTCTCCTGTCGTGCCCGCTGCTCCCCTCAGCAGTGTATTTCATCAGTCTGCCTGTTCTGTTCCCCGCTCTGTCTCTGGTGAATCCCGCGCATCTGGTCTGTACTCTAGTTCTTGTATAAATAAATAAATAAATCTTAAAAAAATAAAAGAATCTCAATGGATTTGAAGAATTGGAAGAAATCATTTTAAAGTTCACATGGTAGAATAGTGCATGGAAATACCTAGAAAATTCTAAAAACTTTCTTGGGGGTTATTTTTGGGGTTATTGTCTTCATGTTGAAACACATTACAAATTAACTATAGAACAGAGGCTAGAAATATTTTAAGTATATTTAAGGACATATTATTTGAAGGTAGACAAAGGAAAAGGATGTTTAATTCTTGATGATGTTAGAATAATTGTGTATTGATCTAGAAGAAAATTAAGTTAGATGCACTATGTCATACCATATACAAAAACATAACTCAGAGAACAAAGATCCAAATTGACACAAAGGGAAAAACTATGAAGAAGCAATTCACAGAAGAGATTTAAATATGACACTCTTCACCGTCCTAATGGAAGTTTAATGAACAAAGATATTTTCACCATCAGATTGGCAAGGCTCAAAAAAAGATAGGGCCTCTCTAGTGGCGTAAGGGGGTAAGCAACGCACTGTGACGCAATCCACAGCCTCTGCAGCAGGAGTTTGATGCCTGGCCAGGGAGCAACCAACATCCCTGGCCAGCCAGGGCGCAGCAGACCTCTCCTGACTCGCCCGCTGCTCCCCTCAGCAGTGTATTTCATCAGTCTGCCTGTTCTGCTCCCCACTCTGTCTCTGGTGGATCCTCTCACCCCCCGCATCTCTGACCTGTACCCCAGTTCTTGTATAAAAGTAAATCAACCTTTAAAAAAATTTATAAAAATATACAAAATTTGTAAATGTGCACGCCAATTTATACAATCGATCACCACGGAGGAAATAAAAAGACTCTACTCTTTTTTTTTTTTTTTTATAGAGGCATGTTTTTATTTTATTTATTTGTTTGTTTTTGTTTATACAAGCACTGGGTACAGTCAGAAGCGCAGGAGGGTGAGAGAATTCACCAGAGCCAGAGCGGGGAGCAGAGCAGGCAGAAGGACCGAAGCACACTGCTGAGGGGAGCAGCGGGCGGCAGGAGAGGTCTGCGCGCCATGTGGGACCCTTGCTGGGGGCCGGGGATCAAACCAGCGCTGCAGAGGCTGTGGGCAGCTTCGCAGCCCAGCACTCAACCGCTGTACTACCAGGGGAGGCCCCAGTTTTAGGTTTTAAAGGAGCCAAGTGCAGTTGCCCACACAGGCTGCCCGGGCCAGGGGGCTCCCACAGCCGTTCCCCCATGTGGTTTTGCCTCCCCGAGGTCATCTCGCTAGCTGGGGCGCCTCCTGGGTCTGACTCGCCTTCCCTAGAGGAGGAGGGCACCGAGCACTCTCCAGAGAAGTGTGTGTGTGTGTGGGGGGGCAGGGGGGCCCACCAGGCTGACCGGGTCAACTCTCAGTGAGCTCGTTGTGCACCGGGAGCAGCCCTCCCTGCAGGCTGCCCGGTGGCGGCAGGCCCACCTGTCCTCTCTGCTGTGCGGGAGCTGCACTCCTGGGACTCGTGTTGTCATCCTGAGCGCTGTCCGGGAATGTGGGTGCGACATCACTGGCTATTTTATATGCGTCCCCCCCCACCCCCGCCCGTGGACTGGAAAGAACAGGAAGAAAGGGGAGCAGAGAGACCGCGGCCGGCCAAGGGGCTGTGCGCTTCACCGGACGCGGTGCGAGCGTGAGCTCAGGGCGTTCTGTCGCAGGTCAGGGAGGTGGCAGGTTGGGCCCGGGCAGCTGGAGAAGTTTCCTGAAGTGGTTCATCAGGGGGTGGCCTTGACAGTGACTCTGTCATTCACTAAGTCACGTCTTCGTTGCAGTGGCGGGAAGGAGGGTGCTGTAAGGGCGCCCCTCAGATTCCACAAGCTTGCCAGGCAGCTCCCGGGGCCACGCTTACCGGGGACTAAAGGACACGACGAAAGCTCCCGCCCAACAGCCAGATGAAGGGACAGGGTGAGGTGGGCGGGGTGCAGGGGCTACCCCACCCCGAGGGTGTGTCCTCCTTCTGGAGAGGACGGTGGCCCCGAGGGACACAGCTGACGGGAAATGGTTCAAAAAATAACAGCGGGTGTTTCTGGCTGTCCCAGAGGGAGCTGCACTCTGGCAAGGGGAGTGAGGTCCCCGGCAGGCTGGGGAGGAGGCTGGACACCCAGTTTTCAGCTACAGCGGGTGCTTTGTGCCTGAGGGTTCCACGTCCTCAGATTCAATTACTTGCTTGTGGGGAAACAGGGCGCTGGGGGTTCCCCGGGCTCCACCCTGGACTCCCCCCTCCCTGCTCCCAGGGGCTGCTTCCTCCTTCTCTGCGGCTGCTCAGCACCTGGCCCACTCCTACCAGGTGACTTTTGTTAGGTTGAAAAAAAGAAAACTGAACCACTTTAAAAAACCTGTCATGTGCTGGTCACCCAGAAAGCGAAAGGCATCTCCCCGTGGCAGGGGGTAAAGCCCGGCGAGCCCGCGGCAAGGTCACAAAGGGCACAGGGATTCGAGGGGAGGCGTGGGGGTGCTCCGGGAGGAGGGGAGGGAGCCGCCCGGGAGGTCTGCCCCAGACTGCCAGTTCTCCGAGCCAATGGCAAGTAGACACAATTTTGATGGGGAAAATATTTTTTTTAAGAATTAAAAAATTTATTGACATTAGAGTCAAGATTTAATAAAATATTTTAAACAATTCAATATCACCAGGCCAAGCCTGCAGACGGCCTTGGGGGAGGAGCGTGGGGGCTGCCTGGGGGTTCGGGCTGGGCTGGGCTAGCAGGTCTGCTTCTCCCCAGCTCTGCCCTTTCTGAGCACCCCCACTCCCACGCACGAGTCCCGGGGTGATTCTGAGAGTGGCTGGCGGCCCCGGGCAAGGTGGTCTGGATGGCAGGGCTGGGGAGGGCCTGGTGGGCCTCCTGACTGGGAGGTGTGCCCGGGGGTGTCAGGGCTGCGGAACAATGAACCAAGAGGGGCTGCCCCACGCTGACCTCAGGGGCCTGGAAGGCCTCATTAACCTAGAGGCGTGAGGCTGCCTGGACACCCAGAAGGTTCCTAGGGAAGGAGCCTCATCCTGTTGAAAAGCGGCAAATCAACACAGGTGCTCTCAGGGTGTCTGCAGCCACTTCACAGGCGGTGCGCGGCTCTGCAGTAGGAACCACCTCAGAAGATGCCCTGAACTCCGTGGCCTGGGGGGATTCCCAGGGGGCCTCCTTGCAGGTCACTTGAACTGCTGCCCAAACAGATGTCAGGAAATAGCTCCCCACAAGCCTGCCTGAGTCAGACCCACAGGCCAGGCGAAGTGAGCGTGAACCAGCGGGCATGGCCAGCTGCTTCCGGCAGCTGGAGCACACCTGCCAGCACACCTGCTCAGGTAGAAGGCCCCAGACGGCTGCTGCAGGGGGAGAGCGTGCCCCCTGCTGCCGGGGCGCAGACACAGCGCACAGATGGGCTCCAGGGAACTGAACTGGCTCAGAACAAAGCAGCAAGAGCACTGCTGGAAGCAGACAAGAACAGGCTTTATTGAATAGAAGAAAACTTCCAAAGTTAAAGCGGTCCTGGACTTTTAGGTGAGTGCCCCTAATAAAATCTAAGTTACAGCGAAAGCAGGACGACAGCCATCGCCCCGGGCCCCGGGCCCGCGGGGACTGAGGGGAGCTGGAAGCGCAGACCCTGAAACACTCCCAGGGCAGCTGGTTCACCTCCACCCTCCCAGGGCCACGAGGAAGCAGGTGGGTCAGGACAGGCGAGTGCCCATCCCTGCGCAGGCAGCACTGTCTGCTCCCCTGCAGGGCACCGGCTGGAAGGCCACGGTCCCTTCAGAAGGGACTTGAGCCGGCCCCCTCCCAGGGGCCAAGGCCTCAGACCACAGCCAGAGGCTGGCGCCACGGGCAGAGCCTTGGATGTCACTTCCGCGAAGCCAGCACTTGTGCGTCGGCTCAGAAACGCCACGACGGGTCACACAAGGCATCTGTCCTTAACTCGCGTTGGCCTCAGGAAGCAGGGCGCCGCCGCAGCCGGCCTGGCCGTCACAGAGAGTGGATGACCGTCCGCTGGCGGAGCTCCTGCACGTACTCTTGGGCGCGGGCGGCCGCTGTCTTGGGGGCCTCCGGCGGGGGCGGGGGGCCCTCCACCAGCTTCACGAAGTAATGGCAGTAAACCTTCTCCATGATCCCGAAGCGGCCCCTGCCGTGGTAGCGGATGCGCTTCAGGTACTGGCCGCGCCCGGAGGTGGACTCCGCTGTAGGGAGAGAGCGAGTCAGGGGACAGGTCTCAGGACAGCGGCCCCCAGGGAGCTGCCCTTTCTCCCTAGACACTGAGGCCACAGGCGCTCACGGGGCCCATGCAGGGCCGGCACAGAGGGAACAGGAGTGGGCCCGCCCCGCTCCGCCCCCTCGAGCGGATGGGAGGGCGTCGGCTGCCCAGGCCGCCCCGGGAGGCCCACAGCACGATTTTAAGACCCTTACACTTAGTTCATGGTCTTAAAACCATAAACCTTGTCCCCCAAAACTTTCCCTGTCCCTCTTGGATAGCCTGACCCCCACTGCTGCCTGCCATGTCTGGCCCGCGGGACCAGGCCCTCCCGGCCCCTCACAGACAGAGGGTCTTTAAGTGCACCTCTGGGCCCCTCCACCTTTCAGTCAGTCACACAAAGTACAAATTTTCCAAACTCAGTCCTGTTCTTGCTTAGCTCGGCCACGAATAACGGACCCCGCGCCGACGCAGAGAGGAAACACGCTCTTACCTACGTACAAGTTGGATCTGAACTCCACGTTGTGGTCTCGCACCGCCATGTCCTGCGCCTCTAAGAGAATCTCAAACGGGGAAAAGAAAGGCGTTCACACGCGGCCCTGCGCTGCAACGGGCCACGTTTCTCACCCCTGTGACCTTGCTCGCGAGCCGGCTAATCACATGCCCCAGTTTTACTCAGTTTTGAAAAGCGAATGTCAAATTTATGACAAGAAACGAAAGAGGAGGACGTGGGAGCTGCCCCTGGGGCGGCGTGGCCGGGGGGTGCAGCGCGGGGCTATTCCCACGGAAGTGTGACGTGCAGGGAGACAGCAGTGCCCTTGACCGGACACCGTGTCCCCGAGTCGGAGACTTGTCCAAAGCTCGGGAAACTCAAGAGGGAGATGGCTGAGGATTCTTCAACTCTGGACCCAAACATCAGACGGAGAAAAACTGCACTTGAGAATTTCCTCTAAGAATTATTAAGCTCCGCAGATACTTTGAAGTCCCTTCCTCCAGAACGCGTTTTCCAGAACAGGACGCCGGAGATCGGGACCAGCAGACACCAGAGCCCTTGCTTCCAGAGAGAGGCCGCTGGGGCGGGGTGGGGGGGAGCAAGGCGGCTCGCGGGGGCAGCGTCCTGAGCTGACCCAGCCTTTCGGCTCTTCCACTGTGGAACCGCAAGGGAGGCGCTGCCTCTGGGCGGGACTGACTAGACACCGGACGACGCTGCTGTCCCCAGAGGTCGCTGAGACAGGGACCTGCCAGCTCGGGCACCATCAGGACACTCAGAGCTGTGGGGTCCTCATAGGCCTTTTCTGCCACCCCCACCTGGCTCTCGGATGAGAAAAGTGGGAGCAGCCAGGTGAGGGCCCCTGTCCAAGGTCACACAGAAGTGTCACAGGAAGGACTAGGTGCCGCGGGCCTGAGGCTGAGCCCACCGCTCTGTCTACTCAACCCGTGGCAGCCCGTGTCCGCATGTGTAGGCTGATAGCACACACATGGCACACACCCGCCCCCTGAAACTCAGGCTTATCACTTTCCAGACAGACAGTAAACAAGAAACCCCGGCACAAATAACCGCATCTGGGGAAGCCCCGCCGAAGGCACACGCACCCGTGAGGCACAGGACTCGGGGATCGCGGGGGCGAGCCCACGTTCTAGAAGCGGCTGACGCCACTCACCCCATAAGGCAGCTCTGCACCCGCCCCCAGAGCTCAGTTTACCTCTTTAATTATTTGGGCCCCTTTTTTGTCACTAAATTCCAGCTGCGCCAAGGCCTGGTCAATGGACATCCCTCGGATCTGCAGAGAAGGGCGGCGGATGAGAGGGGAGAGGACAAAGTTTACACGATGTTCCTTTTTCACATCATCCGAGTAACGGTTACAACAGCTGACTAGTTATATGTCAACCATCCCTCATGAAGCTGGAGGACATTTTTAATTAAAAATTAAAATAGCTAACTACAGGGGCAAAAGACAAGCAAGTCTGAAAACGGACAGTCCCCTCTTAAGTCAAAATCTTTTTTTTTTTTAAAGAAGTGGGGTACGGGGCCTCCCCTGGTGGCGCAGCGGTTGAGCGCTGGGCTGCGAGGCTGCCCGCAGTCTCTGCAGCGCCGGTTCGTTCCCCGGCCGCCGGCGAGGATCCCACAAAAAAAAAAGTGGGGTACAGATCAGAGTTGGGGGGCGGGAGGGGGAGTGAGAGGATTCACCAGAGAGAGTGGGAAGCAGAACAGGCAGATGGACTGAAACACACTGCTGAGGGGAGCAGCGGGCGAGGCGGGAGACTCTGCTGCGCTATGTGGGTTGCTCCCCGGCCAGGGATCGAACTCGCGTCCCAAAGGCCACGGACAGCCTCACAGCGCTGCGCTCAACCCCCTGCGCCACAAGGGCCCTGAAGTCAAAATCTAACGCGAACACAGCACACACCCAGGTGTCGGCAGGGCCGCCCGGGTGAAGGGGCCTCCTCAGGCACCCGCACCACCCGAGGGAGCGTCCCTTTGCCGCCCTCCTCTCGGACATGAGTTTCGTGTTCCAGGGAAAACAACTTAAAAAGCAAGTGTTCGGGGGACAGAGCGGGGGGCAATGGCTCTAGATCAGGTGAACCCTCGTCTACAGAGCAGCGAGCCACCTGGCGTGCCTGGCACGGCCAGATTCCCTGCTGTGCCCCGCGCGGGCAGTGTGACCAGCGTCTCAGGACAAAGGTCAAACTGAAACACGCACCCACTGGTAGCTGCCGAGGAACTCCCTAAACACGCGCCACATCCCTCCCTCTTTGGAAATAACCAGGACAGGTTATTTTGATTTTTCATGCCCGGGGAAGCGCCCAGCCTCGCCCGGAAGCCCTGGCCCCAGAGCTGGTCCTCGGGACTTACCAGCTTTGCCAAATACCACATCTTGTCCTTGCTGTACTTGATCTGTCTCCGGCAGTGGTAGATTTCCTTATCGACAGGGGAAAATCATTAGCCATTGTATCCGCGTGAAGGTGACGACAGGAAATGAAGGGGTTTTCTCTTCACGCCTAATCAAAGTGCGGCCACGGAAGGCAAGAGCAGGCCCGCGCGGAGTTGCTCGTCCCGCCGCGGCCATCTCTCCGGAGCCTCACGCTAGCAGACGCTCGCTGGGCGCGAGGCGGGAGCGACCAAGGCCTCATCTGGGCCAGCGTCTGCAGCATCTGTACGCGGGGGCAGTGCAAGGCCCCGCACGGCGCTGTCCTCCCACGCCAAGCACCACGGGCTGCGGCTCCCTGCTCGCGCCGCGCCTCGGGCCCGCACCCCGGCTCCTGTGCGCATAGATAAATCTTTAAAAAAAAAATCAACAAGCTCAAAAAATCCCTCCCACAGAAAGCTCAGTGCTGGGTCCCCACAGCGGCCCATCTTCACACTTGAGTCACACAGGATCATCTTCAAATTTTGAGAAACACCCTGTCACGCCGGCAAGGGCGCGGGGAAAGGAAGCAAGAGTCGGCAAGAAAAGGGAAAGCGACCAGCCGTCCTCTCTGACACTGAAAGACCAACATTCACCAGGTGGGGCAACGTCTGCCCCCCGCCCCGCCCCGCTGGCCACGCAGCACCAGGAAGGACAAAATACCCCGGGGGACTCTCACGATCACACTCGAGATGGAGGCTGGAGGCGCGCGCATCACAGAGCAGCACCACGTGTCGGCTCAAAGAGAAAGCGCTGGAGAAACCTCTGTGTGACTTCCACATGGGCTGGGGTCCCCATCTGTCGCGTGGACACCCGGAACACCCACGAGCCTCCCGGAGCAGGAAGCGGGGTGCCTCGAGCTGAGTTTAGGGCTGAGGCCCCGCCCAGGGGGCCAAGCAGAGGCGCCGTTCAACAAGGGGGCTCCTGGCGCTGAGACAGGCCCACCGCGCGGTCTGCGCCGGGCCCCTTCCCTGTTCTTACGACGGGGTCAGAGCCGCCCCCCACAACTTACTGCCGGCCTCCGAGGTTCTCCAGGCAGCTGCGGAGGGTAAACGATTTTATTCTTCTTCTCCCACCTTCGGGAAATGTCAAGGGAGGAGCCGGTGTGGAAGAGCAGGTGCGGCGCGGCGCCGGGGGGCGGAAGGAGCCTGCAGACACAGACACCAGGCTCACTTGGCCGCGCTGAGGGTGTGCGCGGCGCCGTGCCACCCTGCCGGGCCTCTGGAGGCAGGTGAGAGAAAGCACGCTGGGCGTTTTCGGCCAGAGACTGCTTTCCAGGAGCTGCCGCAGAGGGTGAGCTCTCGGTTGACCAGAGGGCCGGCGGTTCCCCGAGTAAGTCAGGCGATGAGCAGACTGGGCACTGCTGGCCTCGCCCGAACCGGCCGGCACCCGGCCTCACCGCCCCCAGCCAGCCCAGGCCCGAAACAGGCTCACGGGAGACTCAGTGGGTCCCTGACCTGACCCCAGGGCCCCAGCCCCGCGGAGCAGCTAGACAAAGGGCACCGATGTGTCGCCCCAAGAGATGAACGGGTGAAGAGGCAGCGCGGGCTTCCCGCAGAGGCCACACTGCCGGCCCGCAGGGAAATGCCAACTCCGTTCAGTGGCTGTGGGGGAGTAACGAATGCGCTGCCCCCGGAACCCGTGATGGCTGGCAGGAAGGTCAGTCAGACCCTCTGGGCAGTTTGTTCTCCCGAGAAACAAACCCTGTCGTGTAGGCCTGTTGTCGTAAGCTCGCCACCCCCTCGCCCACCCTCTCCGTATTTGCAGCCATGACTGTGTACGCACTACGGAGCTGGCGTGAGTGCCTCTACCACTACTGGGCCTTACCCAGGAGAAGAGGTAGTGGACAGGCCCTTCCGGGGTCTCTGCAGACCTGCACTTGCCCTCCTGCCCTCCAACAGCTCAGAACTGTGAGGCGGCTCCTCACCAGGGGGCTGCTCCTCTGACCCGTCCAAGGACTGGGGCGAGGTCCACGTTTTCTGCACACCCTAGACCCAGCAGAGTGCCCTGCACCCCTGAAGCCCTCAATGCACACTGGGGCGGGGGGAGGGGGGTGTCACATGACAGTGCTTGCAAAATTAAACACACCATGAACTAATCACAACAAAGTTGTTATTACAGCATCTACACCTACAACACTTTCTTTTCTTTTTAAAAGATTTATTTATTTATTTATACAAGCACTGGGTACAGTCAGAAGCGCGGGAGGGTGAGAGAATTCACCAGAGCCAGAGCGGGGAGCAGAGCAGGCAGAAGGACCGAAGCACACTGCTGAGGGGAGCAGCGGGCGGCAGGAGAGGTCTGCGCGCCATGTGGGACCCTCCTCCGGTGGCCGGGGAGCAGCCGGGGATCGAACTGGCTCCGCAGAGGCCGCGGGCAGCTTCGCAACCCAGCGCTCAACCACTGCGCCACCGGGGAGGCCCTACACCTACAACACTTTCAAGGCTTAAGTGATTCATAAAATGAATTATCAAGCAAACACTAAACTACTATCATCAAATTAAACTGAATTATCGTTCCAAATGGGGCACTTCATGCAGAAAGTGTATTAAATTCAAAGCTCTTGTGCGCCCTCTACCGGCCATTTGTTGGAAGACCCCTGAAACATAAAGGAAGCCACCCAGGGGTCAAAGTGTACATAAAAGGAATTCAAAACTTGGGGCCTCGCTGGTGGCGCATTGATCAAAGACGCAGCGCTATCAAGCTATCAGTAGCCACTGCAGCGTGGGTTCTATTCCAGCCAGGGAGCCGATCCACATGGTGCAGCAGACCTCTCCTGTGGTGCCCGCTGCTCCCCTCAGCAGTGTTTTTCATCAGTCTGCCTGTTCTGTTCCCCACTCTGTCTCTGGTGAATTCTCTCACCCTCCCACGGATCTGGCCTGTACCCCAGTTTTTTTTTTTTTGTGGGACCCTGGCCGGGAATCGAACTGGCACTGCAGAGGCTGAGGGCAGCCTCGCAACCCAGCACTCAACTGCTGCGCCACCAGGGGAGGCCCTGTACCTCGGTTCTTGTGTGAATAAATGAATAAATCTTAAAAAAAAAAACCCTCACAACTTGAGGCTTTTATGAGACCTTTATGTACATACGTATCTCATGTGTGTGTATGTGTGTGTGTGCATGTGTGAGAGAGAGAGCAAGAGCGAGCGAGAGAGACAAAGCCTTTGAAGAGTCTCTAGAGAGAGTAATCTCAAGCAGGTGGAGTTGGTGGGATTAGGAAAGGTGGCCTGGTCATCACCAGCACAACCCCCTTCTGCAAATTTTCCTCCCACAAACATGGTGTGTTGAGTCGACCTCGAGCGCCAGTTCATCTCAGTGCTGGACACAATCAAAATATGTCAAATCTTTTTCTTTTTTTTAAGGCACTAAAAGGCACCCAGGACCAACTTTTATCCTTTGGAAATTCTGAATCCTCACCCTCGTCTCCTTCACGGGGAACCCACACCCCTGGCTTCTGCTCTGTCTGTGTCCTGGGTGGGGTGAGGCGGGTGAGCTACTCTCCAGACCAGGTGGGCACCCCCAGAGCTTGTCAGGTGGTGCTGGCACCTGGGCCACGGGGCAGGGGCCCCCTCTGGGAGCTCGCCGTGTCTGCCCCCACACCCCTTGCAGACTAAGCCAGGCTTAAACGTGGCCACAGCAGACAGCGCCACACTCTGGGACCAAGAGCTCATTCGGGTCAGAGTGAGGATCTGAAACTCCCACAAGTCATAATCTGAAAGAGAGAATATTTCCCATTTAGTGTTCGATGGTCCATGTTGAACGTTATCATATGGCACCCGAGTCCCAGGTGGCAGGACTGGCCTGGGCCCCACCCAGACGAGCCTGCGGTCACGCGTCAGGCCCAGACAGCCGTGCGCTAAGCTGGAGGTGCTGTCGGACATTAAGTCACCCCCACACTTGAGGCCGAATGAAAGAACATCCTACTTCTAGCCACGATTAAAATCTAAAATAAAGGGCTGAAATGATATGTGTGTTCTCACAACTGGATGTAATTTCACGTGGCAAAAGTCAAGGGCAATCAAATAAGGAAACTGGGAGTTTAGCCAACAAAGTGCCCTCCGGGACCCGTGGCCCACAGCCGCCGCCTGCATGCAGCTCCCGCCCTGCTCAGAGCGTGTCCCCCGAGCTGCCAGGCGCCCCCCCCCCCACGCCCGCGTTGTGACAACTAAGACCATCTCCAGCCATTGCCCAAAGTCTCCTGGGGCTGGGGCAGGGGAGCTCCCCAGTGGGAAGTCACACTAGCTAAAGTGACAGTAAGAAGACAGGCCCAAACAAGCAAACCAAACACAAACAAGGCCAGGTCTCGGCAACAGAGAAACTTGGTCCTTCTGCCTCAGAAAGTCCCCGCTCCCTGCTCCCCTGCCCTGGAGAGGTCCTGTGCTGACAGACAGACTATAAACCAGAGGTTTCCACACATACACACCCCCTCACCCCACCCTCCTTACCCCCGCCCCGGTCCAAGGGCTGGGATAGCAGCTGGCACACAGCAGGCGTGCAGATGGACCTGTGGGACGCATTACAGGATACAGGGCAGTCAGGTAACATGGTAAGGCAGCAGGGCTGGGGATAAGTGACTCCAAAAAGATGACTTTTAAAGATGCAGGTCTAGATGGCATCACTAGCTTCAAGTGTAGACACAGCTGGTGTCTGTACACACTGCAAAATGCTCCATTACCACACAGTTACAATCTTTTCCCCACAATGAAAACTTTTAAAATTACCCTCTCAGCAACTTTCAGTATGAACTATAGCTCCCCTTCTCGACATCACATGCCCGTGCCTTATAACTGGAAATTTGTACCTTTGATCCTTTTCCTCCGTCTGTATGCTCTGCCTCTGCCTCCTGCCAATCTGTGCTCTACATTTATCAGCTCAGTTTTTACTTTTTTTTTTTATGGGGGGAGGGTGAAGAGGCATAGTTTGTTTTCCCACATCCTGCATGTGAGCGAGGCGCACATGTACTTCTCCGGGGCTCACTGCTCTCAGCGCGGCATCAGGCCTGGCATCCAGCCCCACTCCTGCAGTCCAGGGTTTACGCGCGCAAATGCACCATCCAGCTGTCAGATTTCCACCAACCTGCTAACTTGTGACATTGCCAACTTGGTTTTTCTTGTGGAGAATTTCTATCTCTGGAGAGCTTAGTCACTGGTGCCTTCAGACCTTTATGCTAGTCCTTCAATTTCTAAACCACCTAAATGTACTCTTCACTCTTTACACAGAAACTTTAAAGCCGCCTCCTTTCAAAGCACCCTACTGACAAAACTCCCTGAACCATAACTCTGTCCCCCTCCCTGCTCCCTGCAGTCTCACAGAGCACTGTTTAAAGTGCTTTTTTGGGCTTAGATCCTAGATTTGCTATGTATACTAAGTGTGCAGCCTTCAGTAAGACACAAAACTTGTCCAGTGCATCCCTGTCAGTGAAGTAGGAGACTTGGAATTCAAAAGCTGGAAGCTGTCGGTAGGCCCCAAACAGCTGACAGGACAACTGTATTTGTTAAGAAGCCATTTTTCCTTTCCCCAGTGTGGTGCTTTGGGAGGAATGCACTCTGTTAACGTGGTCCAGGTCCAGGTCCTGCCATCCAAACAGATCCCTTTTTACCCCAGATCATTCATTTCTACTGCTTTTCTAGCACCTGCATGCAGTTATATTTTTAATCAGTGAATGAGATCTCTAGGATTTTACATGGTTATCATGAGCATTATTTATACCTTTCCTATAAAGTTTCCACTGATCACTTCCCCATCAGAAAGTCCAGAATAGGGATTCATAAAATTATATAACTGCAGAACGAGAAAGAATGCTAGGTTATCTAGCATCATTGAGCCCTCTTTTATTACATCCACCACCAGTGCACCTGCAGCCCACCCCCACAGTAGTGCAAGACATTTTAAAAAAGCAAATGTTAGCAAAATAGTCACTTTGTGCAAGACCCCATGCTGGAGCTACAAAGAGAAACAAGAACTGTGTCCACCTTGTGGGGGAAACAGGGTAGTGAAGGGCACAAGACAGGAAGCCACTGTTCCAAGGCAGACATGCTGAAAGGAGGAAAGAACAATTTTTCGCTTTAGTGCTATAGCTGAGAAAACCTCCTGAAGGGGAAATAGGTGCTCAGTGGTTGGAATAATAAATAGAAATTCTGTCTTAGGACATAGGGACACGACATGAAAAAGTCAAGAAGTAAGTGCACAGCATTTCAGAAAAAATCTGCATGGCTGGGATGGAATGACGGAAGATAATGTAAGAAAGCAAAGCGTAGACAGATTCCATTTTCTTCTTCAACCCACATCTTTATCCCCCCCACCCCGATCTAGAACCTAGGACAGAGCTGAAGATAACAGGAATTGAACAATAGCAGGTAGCAATAAAACAGTAATGGCAGTTAGGACCTAAGGTGGATTACAATATGTCTCGCGCTGTACTGAACATTGCCAGGTAATCTAATTTAATCACAAAAAGTCCGTGAAGTTACTAATATCACGCTCATGTCATATAAGGGAACTGAAGCGTAGAAACGCTAAAAAACTTTCCCCCAAATCACATAACTAAATGGTGGATTCACATCCAACTTAATCTGTCTCCCAAACCTGTGAACTAAAGCAAAACAGGGATCAGCAAATGCACCAACCAAAACGTTTACGATCAGATTATCAGTCGCTAAACAGAAACAGCTGAAGGCCGCGGAGGGCCCAGAAGGCTGCAGAGAAGAGCGCGGGGACCCCTTCTTGCAAGTCCGACCTGGGCTGCCTTCCCCGACCTTGCAGAGCGCTTCTGTCGTGCGGCAAAGAAGGCTCTGGGCGCACCGTGGGACGCTCCGGCACTCCCCGCACCGGGGGTCGCCTGGCCGGGGCTCCCGCCCCCGTCGGGCCGCGGCACCGCAGGGCCCTCGGGCGGCGGGAGCCGGGGAGGCGCGGACGGGGGTCCCCGCCGCAGCCCCGCTCACGAGAGCCAGACCCGAAGAGGCAGCAGAAAGCCAGGAGGCCCCGCGCGCGGACGGTCGGGGCGGGCTCGGAGGGGGCCGCGGGGACCCCGGGCGCGGGGCGGGGCGACGAGGCCGACCCCGCAGGCGCGCGCCGCACACGGGCGCGCAGGGACGGGCCGACGCCGGCGAGACTCACCCCCAGGCCAGCCTCCCGCTCAGGGTCAGCCTCCACAGCGCACCTGCAACGCCAAAGCCGCCGTCAGAGCCGACTCGTACCTCGGCGCCCCGCCCGCCCGCCCGCCCCGGAGCTGCCCCCGCGCTGCCCCGCACCTCACCTGCCCGCTCCCGCGCGGCCGCCGCCATCTTCCCTCGGCCCTACGGAAGCCCGCGCGGGCCGCCGCCGGCTCGCCAGCACGCATGCGCGGGCCGCCGCCGCCCGCCGTCGTTGTCATGGAGACGGCCGACGCGCCGCGCGCGCTGAAAGGGCGCCCAGGCGGATGCCCGAGTCAGTGACTTAATAAAGGCCGAAAACAAGTGCATTTTCGCGGATTCCTTGGTGTCCCGAGAGCACCGCTTGTGCTAGAGGAGACTGGCGATCGGGCCCCTTTCAGGGGCTGCACAATGCCAGCGTCCCGGCCGTGGCTGCTCTGCAGGCTGCGCCCCGAGATGGGACAGCCCCCGCCCCGGGCTGGCGAGCACCAGGGCCGCCGCCATCCCCTGAACCTCAGGTCCTCCTGCCGACGCGCCGCCGGGGTGGGAGGGAGGTCACCTTCCTTCCTAGATGGGGGAGCTTCTGGAGGGGTAGAGGCTCCCAACTGGCAAGCCCGGGGGCGGGCGGGGGTCAGGCCCGCGGGGCAGGGCTCCACCACCCCGTCCCCGCGGGCCTCTGGGCGGCAGGGCGGGTCTTCAGGTGCCGCCGGCCGCAGCCAGGGTGCCGAGGCCCAAGGCAAGCCGTCCCCGGGAGCCTCAGCAGGTTGGGGAGGAAGAAGAGCCCCTTCCCCGCGCCCGCCAGGCCAGTCCCTGCGGAGCGGGCGCCGGTCAGGCCGCTTCTCGCGAAGCCCGGGGCCCAGAGAGACCCTCTTCCCCCCGGCGCGTTTCTGCACGCCGCCTTTGTCTTCGACGAGCTGGCTTCCTGCGGGGCGTTCAAAGCACCCCAGCGTCGGCGCGGCTCCCCGGCACAGCGACTGCACCCGCCGACCCACGGCCGCGCCGCGGGAAGCGAGAAGCCGGGCCGCGGGCGTGGCGGCCCTGGGGGCGGGGCGTGGCGGCCCTGGGGGCGGGGCGGGGCGGCCCTGGGGGCGGGGCGTGGCGCGCAGGGGCGTGGCGGGGCCCAGGGGCGGGGCGGAGCCCTGGGGCGGGCGGGGCGGGGCGTGCAGTCGGGGCCCGGAGCGCGCGGGGCGGAGCGCGCGGAGGTTGGGCCTCGGCGCGCGCCGTAGCCAGGGCTGGAGGGGCGGGGCTTGGGCGGCTCCGCCCCTCGGGCCCGGCGTGGAGCGCGAACGGCCCGGGCGCGGGTCTGGTCGCCGCCGGCCGCGATCATGGCCCCCGAGCCGCGCACGCTGCCGCCGTCCCCGAACTGGTACTGCGCCCGGTGCAGCGACGCCGTGCCCGGGGGCCTCTTCGGCTTCGCCGCGCGCACCTCCGTCTTCCTGGTCCGCGTGGGCCCGGGCGCGGGCGCGAGCCCGGGGACGCCCCCATTTCGAGGTAACCCCCGGGTCGGGCCCAGCCCCGGCGCTCCCCGCGGCCCCCGCGCGCCGGTCGGCGTCTCCGGCCGCCCCTCCCGGCGGGGGGAAACTGAGGCCGGGCCGGGCGCAGCGGTCCCGCCTCCCGCGCGCGCACGTGGCGCCGCCGGGCCGCGGTGGAGGCCTCCGGGTGTCCGGCCCCGCGCCCCCCCCCCCCCCCCCCGGCCCGGCCCGGCGGCCCCGCACCCCCGCGGGCACCAGCGCCGGCCTGAAGTGTGCGCGACCCTTTCCGTTAGATGAGCGGGTCGGGCCACAGGCTGGGTTTGGAGCCCGCTTGGGGTGCGGCGCGCAGGGCGTCCGGCCTGTGCGCACCGCCGGGCCCGGGCCCATCTGGTGCGAACCGCCTCGCAGTCCCCATTGGAGCCGCTGCTCGGCCTTTGAACCAGGCACAGGCAGGGGCGGCGGCAGCCCAGCCCCAAGAGCTGAGAAGACCCAGAAAGGGACGCCCCCGAGGCCGCCTGGGGCAGATCACACCTGCCCGCAGTTTCTGATTGTTAGTCCCTGGCTTTTTGCCATAGGAGATAGGTGGGATCCCACGGGCTGTGCCCCCCCAGTCCTCCTTGGTAGCACCCTAACTAACCTGTCAGTTTTGCTTGAAGTTGTAGGAGAGTTGGTGGGACACACGGAAAGAGTCTCTGGCTTCACTTTTTCTCATCACCCGGGTCAGTACAACCTCTGTGCCACGAGCTCCGACGATGGGACTGTGAAAATCTGGGATGTAGAGACGAAAACAGTGGTGACGGAGCATGCCCTCCATCAGGTATGGTGGCTCACTGGGCCCTCAGGTGCCTTTGTTTGGAGTTCTTTTGCTTCAAGTACAGTTTTGCTAATCTCTGCAAGAGGTGAGAACTTTTTTTAAAAAAAGATTTATTTATGCATACAAGAACTGGGGTACAGGCCAGAGGTATGGGCACTGACAGGATTCGCCAGACACAGAGTGGGGAACAGAACAGGCAGATCTGCTGAAACACACTGCTGAGGGGAGCTGCGGGGAGACAGGAGGGGTCTGCTGTGCCCTGTGGGTCAGCTCCCTGGCCAGGGAGCAAATTTGTGCTGCAGTGGCTGTTGACAGCTTCATAGTGCTGAGACCTCACCCCTTGTGCCACTAGGGAGGCCCAGAGGCGAGAACTTTGATTAGTGTTCATTCATTAGATCAGAAGTTCTGTATGGTAAGGTGCCCTGAAACTTTGGCAGGAGATCCATATACCATAGAGGTCAGCAAACTGCACTCTTGCCAGTTTTTGCAAATAACTTACTTGGGATGCAACCATAAGTAGTCATTCATTCAGGCCTAGCCTGCCTTTGAAGTGTGGGCTGCTGGTAGTGCCCAGTACTCACAACAGAGAAATGTGGCCTTCGGAGCTTCTTAACATGAAAAAGACTTCAGCCTTGAGCTGTACATGAGTGGATGGAATTGTTTCTAAACCAGATGATTACTTGATAGACCTTTTGAGAGAATCAGGGAAGGAAAAGACCCACTTAATCTTACGAACTCTGCAGTAAACTAAGAAAAGGCAGACATTGTTTTGAATGGTTCTTTGATTCCCAGTAGCCAAAATTCAAATTTGGTGTAGTCGTCTACTCAAGAGGTTCTGACAGTTGGTAAAGCACCTGTCATACCAGCTAGAAACAAACATCCCACGTCTACAAATGAGAAGTAAGTATGTTCCTGTTTTGTCTTAAAGCACACAATATCAGCGCTGCACTGGTCTCCGCGAGTGAAGGACTTAATAGTGTCTGGAGATGAAAAAGGAGTCGTTTTCTGTTACTGGCTTCATAGAAATGACAGCCAGTACCTCTTTGTAGAGCCCAGGACAATTTTCTGTCTTACTTGTTCGCCTCATCATGACGACTTGGTGGCCATCGGGTGAGTGCTGTGCTCTCCGTATTGGGGAGCACCTCAGTCCCTTTAGTCCTCAGGTGAGATCGTCTCCAGGCGCTACCCTCTCCTCCGAGGGGGCGTCCTTTGTTCCTGTGCCCTCCAGGCCCTGCTGTTTCTCCCTCTTTGTCTATTTCTGTCCTGTGGTTTCTGTGATACTTTCCTCCTTTTGAGAGAGACCTTTTGAGAGAATCAGGGAAGGACTTCTCAGCCCCGGGTAGTCCTCGTGCAGAGACGCACCAGCTCACACTCTCCCGTCCCCTCTGCTGGCCCTCGGATGTGACGTTTGCTCCTAGGGTCGGCTGACTCGCCCTGTCTCTCTGCTTCCAGCTGCTCCCTCTTGACAGGGAGAGTGCTCTGGCAGGGAAACCACCTCCTCACCTATCCCAGGGTTGAGGTGCTGGAGTGGGCACCCCCGTCCCTCGCCATTCCATTTACTTTGCGCCCAAAGATGTCCCTTCACTCCAGTTTGAAGACGGGGCATAAGTGCTTTCAATAACACATGAGGGGGACAGTCTAGTGGGGGCTGATTCAGGAGACTGGCGGGGTGAGGTAGTAAAGGTACACGTGAGGTCCACGCTTTCACATTTGTCGTAAAATATGCACAGACGGGAAGCCAGAGGAGGTGTGTACAGGGCAAGGGAGTCCTGCCTGGAGCATACATACCAAGGCCATGTTTTTATGCTGGTGGAGATGAGGCGGAAGTGGGAGGGTTGTGGCGAGATTTGCGTGTGTGCAGGAGGGGCAGCGAGGATCTAGGGGGGCCAGCGCATGGGTCAGGAGAGCTGAGGACCTGGTGCAGCAGGATGCTGTCTGCTTGAAGCGGACGGGCTTCTGTTCTGATGGGTGGCATCTGGTTGACTCGTGGAAGGGTAGGGGGTCTGGGTGCCGGAAAATTTATTTTGAGATAATGCTGTGATGGTGTTTTTCCCTGTAGAGCTGTCTAGGAGGGGGGAAACGTGAATAGGAGCACCACTTTGGAGAAGCGGTCTGCGCTTTCTAGTGAAGTAGAGATGTATGTGTCTCACATCCTGGCAGTGCCACTACTAGGCCTCTAACCTGGCTGCCTTAGGTGTGCACAAGAATGCTAATGGTATTGCTGCTTTGTAAGATCAAAAAACGGAAGGCTTTCAAAATGCATAATGGGGTGGTGTGGCCTTGCCGTGGAGTACTATACAGTGGTGTAAATGACTATTTATGTCAGTGTGGGTGACTCACTAACAGCATCTGGGGGCAGGACGACTACATCATGTGTGCAGGTTGAGGTGTGAGCTGTATCCACAAGTTATACAGTCATGTCAGTAAATAGTAGATCAATGAAGTTAGATTCAAAAAAGACCGCCTGATATTTATATGAAGTTTTAAAATATACAAAATATGTCTCTGTCATCTAGGAGTAGAAACAGAGGCTAGGAATAATATTACAAAACACTTGCAGAGCAGTTCACCTCCAGAGGAGAGACAGGTCTGCTCAGTGGGACGTACTGAGGATTTTGGCTCCATTGCCAGTGACTTTCCTTAGTCTGGGTGGTAGAAACTTCCGCGCCCAGTGCTGGTCGTTCTATAAAGAGCTATTAGAAGTCTCAGTTCCTTCTGAACTAAAAAACGACCACCTTGGGGCGTGCAAATGTAGAATCTCAAGATCTGCAACTTCTGTTGTGTGAGCAGTTAGAAAAGGCGGGTCCCTGTCATTAGCGCAATTGCTGGGCCTGCTGGTCTCGTACCGTGGGAGGCGCAACCATCCCACCGTCGAGACCCCACCAGGCCCCGCACAGCGGAGCTCAGCAACCAGGGTATCATCAGTGGGGAGAGAGAGGGTGGTAAAAATCATAGGAAACACGAAAAGCGACAACACAAGATCATGTCCTGTCTTTGCCCGCACCCCGGTAGGCTGGGGCAGAGCACGTGCTTGGCCGCACTCGGCAGTAACGTTTCTGACTCGTGGTTTTAGCTACAAGGACGGCATCGTGGTTCTCATCGACCTCAGCAAGAAAGGAGAAGTGATCCACAGGCTTCGGGGCCACGACGACGAGATCCACTGCATCGCCTGGTGCCCCGTGCCCGGGGAGGACTGCCTGCCCGCACCGCAGGAGGAGGGCCGAGGTGGGGAGAAAGCAGAGCACGCGGGGGGCTCCTTCGCCTGAGTTACAGTTGAAGGTTCAGGTGTGATGGATCAGATCTGTGAAAGTAACAGCTGCATATGGGGAACGCTCTCAAGCTCCCTCTCTTTCCTAAATGTACACAAATTAAGGACAACGTTGCTGCCTCTCTCCTAGAAGACCCGGAAATCCCCAACGGGAGAGCCCCAGCGCCCAGTCCCGGCATGAAGGGCTGCTACTTGGCCACGGGCAGCAAAGACCAGACCATCCGCCTCTGGAGCTGCTCCCGGGGCCGAGGTGAGAGCACCGCAGCCATCCATGTGGGGGCTTCTTGCGTCCTGCTGCTGGGAGAGTGCCGGCTGTCTGAGCAGCCTTTCCTTTCTGTCCAGAAAGTTGTGGCCGGTTTTCCTGTGCCACGCGCTCCGCGGGTTCCCAGCTGGCTGTGCAGCAGGGTCAGTTGGCGGTGCCTGGGCCCCACCTCAGATCTGACTCTCAATCCGTTGGGCCCTGTCTTGCTCTTTTAGACACCCCACTGGTCCTCTGACCCCGAGAGGGTTAGCAGCAGGTTGAGGGAGTGGCTTCCTGCCACAGCTGTGGGCTCATAAACCTGCCCCCTCCCGGATTTCTTGCCCACCGAAGGAGCCCCCTCCGGCTTCCAGCAGGGAAGAGTCTCGGGTTTTGTTACTACCTGGGTTCTCGAGTCCAGTTGGAAACTCACGTTCCCAGACACACACTAGTCTTCACGGGCTTAAGTTGCCAGGACGGCCTGCAACAGCTTGCTGACCTGGGTCAGCCAGGGAGTGTCCAGCGCTGGCCCTGGGCAAGCGAGGTCTGAACTCCAGTTGCCAAGTGAATGGAGGCAGGCGCCACATGCTATATTGTGGCAGGGGGCTGGGGGCCGAGGGGCTGCAGTCCCGAGGGCACACCGGCCTTGGTTTCACCCACAGGGGTGATGGTTCTGAAACTGCCCTTCCTGAAGAGAAGAGGCGGCGGCGTCGACCCGGCGGTGAGAGAGCGTCTCTGGCTGACCCTCCACTGGCCCAAGGACCAGCCCACGCAGCTGGTGTCCAGCTGTTTTGGGTAAGTCTGGGGTCTCCCCCAGCTCGGGCGCTTCAGCCTCACTTTCCAGACAGCAGGTGGAGAATGCACTGGCCTTGCTTCTGATGGCTGTTGTAATGAAAATTCTCCGGGTGTTGAGTCACTGACGCTAGGGGAGACCCCCAAGTGAAGCCTGGTGGTGGTGGGTAGGCTTGGAGGCAGGTGGCACCAAATTCTGACCAGTGTGTTCCTGTCCGCTCTGGATTCTGGGCAAGACCCTTCCCTTCTCTGAGCTCCAGCTCGCCACACGCAAAGCAGGGCAACCGAGCCATTTCCTGTCTTGGGGTAATGGTGGCCATTAAGCAAAATTGACTGTGCACAGGCTTCTTGTCACTAGAGATAAGTGACATTAATACATAAGGTTTCTGCTTTTTAAACAAGGTTGTATAGGTACAGCATGTAGAAATACCCTCAAACCCCCCTCCTGCTACTGCCCTAAGAAGAGACGCATCTTAAAGCATCTTTGGGGCTGTACAAATTAAGGAACATTTTATAATCAAAACTATTAGGGTGGGCCTCCTCGGTGGGGCAGCAGGTTGAGTGCAGCACTGTGAAGTTGTCCACAGCCTCTGCAGCGCAGGTTTGATCCCGGCCAGTTGGCGAGAATCCCACATGGTGCAGCAGACCTCTCCTGCCTCGCCCGCTGCTCCCCTCAGCAGTGTATTTCGTCAGTCTGCCTGTTGTGCTCCCCGCTCTGTTTCTGGTGAATCCTCTCACCCTCCGGCACCTCTGACCTGTACCCTAGCTCTTTTATAAAAATAAATAAATCTTAAAAAAAAAAAACCCGTTAGGGAAATCTGTGTAAAAGATAACCCCGTCGTCAAAAAGGCAGGCAGTGTACGGGACACCGTGCTTCCTGAGGTACTGTGTTTGAGAACTGCCATCTCTCCTTAAGGTTGCAGCGACTTTTAGTGACCTTGCACAGGCCGCTCCAGCCTGTGGCCACCTCAAACTCACACTTGTTTGTCCTCCCAGGGGTGAGCTGCTGCTGTGGGACCTGGCGCAGTCCTGGCGACGGAGGTACACGCTCTTCAGCGCTGCCGTGGAGGGCCAGCACCATGCCAGGATCGTGTTCAACCTGTGTCCTTTGCGCACTGAGGACGACAGGCAGCTGCTGCTCTCCACCTCCATGGACAGAGACGTAAGCACCTCATGGGTGGGGCCTGGGCCTGGTGGGATGGTTGGGCTTTCCTACACCCTCGGCAATTCTCACCCGTGCACCCCAACACTCCGTCTCTGGGTTCTGAATTCACATTAACTGGGGGGCAGTGAGCACATGACCATCCTGGAGCTGGGGGGCCTGTGGTGAAGACTGGGTATGTCGGGCGGAGGTGTGGGGTCTCTTTCAGGTCGCAGACCCCTCCTGGCTGGGGGGTCTCCCCTGGAGTGGCTTTGTTCCCTGACGCCCTCTGTTGGCCTCCTCCCTGGCTGTGACAGGCGTGCTTTTTTGAGAGAGCCGCTGTGATTGCCGCTGTCTCGAGGCCCCTTCATGCTTACTGGAGACCCAAAGCTGTTGCACGGCGAGAGCAGGGGCGGCCAGTCTGGGAAGGGGGAGGCTTTGCTGTGGTTCAGGGCAGGTGTTTTTGTTTCCAGTTCTTACCACCCCCCCTTTGGCCCACCCTCTTTGAAATGTTGGTTTTGTTACTATTTCAGATCAAGTGCTGGGACATGGCCACGCTGGAGTGCTGCTGGACGCTGCCTTCCCTCGGGGGCTTCGCCTACAGCCTGGCCTTCTCGCCGGTGGACACCGGCTGCTTGGCCGTCGGCGTGGGGGATGGCATGATCCGCGTCTGGAACACGCTCTCCATAAAGAACAACTACGACGTGAAACATTTCTGGCAGGGTGTCAAGTCCAAGGTCACAGCGGTAAGGGGGCGTCCTCCCTGGGGAGCTCCCGCCCATGCAAGCGTAGGCTGCCAGGGGCGGGTGCGCCCGCATGAAACTCGCAGAGCAGAGGGCCCTGCCGGCCTCGCCCATCACCCGCAGTCCACTCTGGATCGGGCTTGTGGTCTGGACGGCTGCCCACACTGTCCCAGGCCTGTGTGCCCCTCGGCGGTAGGCCACACCCGTCAGTGACGTGTTTGAACCCACCTTTATTATTTTCAATTGTGTCCGTAGAGAGACGTGTGGGTTTCTGTCTGAAAAGATATGAGCTTGGCGATGGGTGTGTGGCATGGTGAGGCCGCAGGTGACTTTGGCTTTTCTGTCACTGGTCATGAGAATCTGTTACCTTTAAAATGATGAGACATGGGGGCAAGACCGGCCCTCCTGAGCCCCTGACCACGAGGACCCCCTTCACATGCCCCCTACTGTTTCCGCAGCTGTGCTGGCACCCGGCCAAGGAAGGCTGCTTGGCCTTCGGGACGGATGATGGGAAGGTGGGGCTGTACGACACCTACTCCAGCAGGTAAGGGCTGGGTCCGGCGCAGCTGAGGCGGGGAGGGGTCCTGGGCCCTGCACTCCCCACCAGGGTGCCTGCCCAGCCAGGAGCAGCTTCCCAGTAGGACCCTGGTGCCCGAATGGTGAAGACTTAGCTTCAGGCACCAAGGGGCCGCCCGTCTGCCCTTTGGGAGCCACCGGAGCCAACCAGCCGGTGGCTTTGGTTTCTCCTCTACCATTCTTTTACACAAGTTTTGAGGCGTCTGTGAAAGTTGAAGCCTTCACTGCAGAGCATTCCGTTCTGTCCATCTTGGTTCATGGCTGTGATTGGGTCGCGTCTGTGCTGCGGTCAGCCGGGCCCCGCGGCCCTCATGGTCACTGGCTCTCCGGGCCCCACGGCAGCCCTCATGTGGGTCCCTGGGCACGGTGGTCTCTGTCCTAGAGCAGCGCCCCAGCCTCCCCCCACGATGTTACCTGTCCAGTTTGAGGACTAAAAATAAGTTGTTTTGTAGAATATTCCAGTTTGAACATTTGGTTAGAGTACACTTGGAACTGAGTCGTCTGGTCAGTGGGTCAGTCGAGGGACCTTTCAGAGAAAGGCGGTCTGCTCCCGCTGCGCCGCTTTGCTTCAGTCTCTCTCATGCCCCTCCAGGCCCCCGCAGATCTCCAGCACGTACCACAAGAAGACCGTGTACACGCTAGCCTGGGGGCCGCCGGTCCCGCCCACCTCGCTGGGTAAGTCCGGGCCTTTCTCTGACAGAGTCCTGGGCTGTTCACGCTGACAAGAGTTGGGGTGTGCTAGGGGCTCAGGCTGTGACTGGTGGGGACTCCTGGAGCACCCAGGGCCAGGGATGAGCAAACCACCCGCCTGAGCTGCCCAGCGTGCTGCTGGGCTGGGTGCTCGCACCGAGCTCTGCCGCCTGCCATGTCCGCCACCCCGCCGGCACTTTTTAACTTGATCTGGTTCCGCTCTCCCCTGCGGTGCAGCGGCCTTAGACTCAGGTGCTGGCCCCTGACCCTCTGGCCCCTCAGCCTTTCTCTTGTCACTAAGTCGTCTTTTTAAGTGAGGGTGTTTAGCAAAAGGTGAACTTCCCTGAGCCGCTGGCCGTGAGACAGCTGTGGCTCCACCGTGGCTCCGTCACTCCGAGAGCGCTGGGGTCGTCTCAGGCCTGCGGCCCTCGGCAGATGTTCATGGGGCCTCCTTGTCTCCTCATGCAGGGGGAGAAGGTGACAGACCTTCCCTCACCTTGTACAGCTGTGGGGGCGAAGGAGTCGTCCTGCAGCACAACCCCTGGAAGCTGGGCGGCGAGGCCTCTGACATTAACAGGCTCATCCGGGACACCAACGCCATCAAGGTGCGTCTACTCAGCTCCTGCACCAGCCGCGACTCCGTCTGCGCGGCCACTCGGTATTCTGGGGAGGCTCACCCTGGAGCAGAGCCAGGGACTTAACCCAGAACATTCTGTCTCAGTTGCAGCAGTGACTCGGGCATCCTCTCAGCTCTGGGATGTAAATCATCTTTCTCAGGCCAGCTGCCTCTTGGTGTTGGCAAAGCAGCTGGATAACATGGCGGCCAGATTTATATCAAAGCTGCAAAAATCACACGTGATTCCCGCAGGCCCTTCCCCGGACTCCCGCGCTGAGTCTCAGTTGCTTTCTCAGTCCATTCTCAGTCCTGTGTCTGCCAGAACTTTTTCGGAGTGAAACTGCAGACGTTGAGGTTTCCTTATGTTAAAACCAGTGTTTTTGTCGCTGCTCGTTACCTCTGTATCTCGTGCTCTGTGAGAGTAGCAGTCACTGGTGAACTGACTCACAGGCTTGCCTCGACCCCTCGCGGCCTGACGTGCGTCTGAGCCTGACATCCAGGGGCGACCTAAGGGGCGGGCTGGCAGCTGAATGGGAGCAACCAGCCTGGGCTGCAAATCGGGGTCTGGACTCTCACATGCGTGAGGAGACGGCGGGGAAGGGGGGGGGCAGCCTGGGGCACATTCTGAGGGGCTGGGGAGAGGCAGCTGGACGAGGAGGAGAGATGGAAGAATGGGCTTCTCTGAGGAACTCCCAGCTGAGCACCCCGACTGGCCTTTTTTTCCCCAGGTGGGGAATGGGCTTCTGAGTCCTGCCGGGTGGCGAGGTTCTGTGGGTGGTGTGGGGGAGTAGCTGTTGTGCGGGGGCACACTTTTAAACGGGGAAGTCCCCCCTCGTGTTACCATTGGCTGTAAGCCACGTGGAGAACTGAGTTTTAGTCAAGGTCGGTCCGCTTTGCTTCTAGTACAAGTTGCCTGTGCACACGGAGATCAGCTGGAAGGCAGATGGCAAGACCATGGCTCTCGGCAACGAAGACGGGTACGTGTGTGTGTGTGTGTGTGTGTCTTAAAAATTGCTGGGGCCTGCTGTGCTCGATACTCTGGCTCCCCCTCTGCGCGCGGGGTGACCGGGAGCAGCGCCAGGGAGAGCATTGCCTGCTCTCTTTCAGCCCTTTAGGCTCCACAAAGGTCTTTGCTGCCCGGGACTCTGAAATCTCCCCCACTTTCTTTTAAAGTGGGGACCTCCATAGACCCTCCCGACATGCTCGCGGGCCCTCCGCCCGCCAAGCTCACTCTTCTGTAGCTTCCCCGTGCGCCTGGCACCCATAGGAGCTGACCCTCCACTGAGTGGGCTTTTGAGAATACTGCCTCTCGCCCTGGTTTTCTGCACGAGAAAGGCTGGGACAGCGACAGACTCACCCATGCGGGTCACCTTTGCCCGCCGGGGAAGGGAGGTGTCTGCTTGCGCTGGCCTTGACGGACTCCCCACCTCCTCGCCTTGCTGTTTCTCCAGGTCCATAGAAATATTCCAGGTGCCGAACCTGAAGCTGGTCTGCACCATCCAGCAGCACCACAAGCTGGTGAACACCCTAAGCTGGCACCACGGGCACGGCAGCCGGCCCGAGCTGAGCTGCCTCCTGGCCTCCGGGTCCAACAACGCTGTCATCTACGTGCACAACCTGCAGGCTGTCCTAGGTAGGGCTGCGCCGCCCAGCGCCGATCACCTTTCTCCTTGGTGTTAAAAGAAATGTTACTGTTTTACCTTCAAAAGTGGCACCTCTACCTTACCCTTTCAGACAGAACAGAAACGTGACTGTGGAAGGCGAGGCCTCCTCCGAGTCCTTATGGTTCGCTGCATGCTGACCCTGGGCCTTCTCGGCCTGCTCTCGTGCCCACCACCAGGCTAGCACGGGCCTGGCGTTGCCGCCTGGGGGCAGGTCTCCCGAGCCTTGCCCAGGGGGCGTCGCGCGCACTCGCCGTGTTTTTCTTCTACATTTACAATATAGACTTTTCTATCTTTCTCTGTCGCTACCTAAGGATCTTCCTGCTGTTCACAGATACCCGTTCATTCCATTCTGTGAGCAGGCCGTAGTCGAGCCATTCTCCGTCAGTACTGTCAGTGTTCAGTTGCTGTGCTTCAGGGATCATGCACCGAACACCCTTGCGCTACGTCTTTTTGAATTTGAATGAGAACCTTTCTTATGTAAAATTTCCAGAAATGGAATTCCTTGGTGAAGGGATGGAGACAAGGAAAATGTATGTTTATATTTGTATTGATTGCTCCCCAAAAAGACTTGCCTGCCTGTACCCCCTCCCAGGGTTTGGGTCTTTCCCACCCGACACGCCGGCTCCCACGCTTGATGGCGTCTAAATCCTTTGGGCCTTGTTCTCCTGGTGGTTAACTGGTGGTTAAATCGAGGCCCAGAGATGTTGCTGCCTCCTCGAGTCCCACGGCGGGTGATGGCAGAGACTAGCGTCACGCCACGCCCTCTAACTGCACGGCCGCCGTGTTCTAGAAGGGGCGGCTCCCTGCCTGCAAGCTGGGTGTTTTTGATTGTATGACTCGTTCTCAAGGGGCCTGCAACTTCTTTGAACCCTCTTCTGCAACTTGATGAGCCGCAGTTAGGGGTGCGAGGAGCCATCTTTATGAAGGACATGGGTCCGACTTCTGAGCTCACGTTTTTGTCTAGAATGCCACGTGAGTGCTGATGCGTCCGCCTTGGTGTCACGTGCAGAAGGCATTGTCTCATTTTGGCAGCTTCTAGAAAGATTGTGAAGCTCACGTTTTTGCAGGCGTCTGGGACCCTGGCTAGCTCCCGTTAGCCACTATATTGGAGTCTGCTGAGAGCAGGATTGTGCGTGCAGCAAACTCTCGCTGTCTGCCGTGTTAACAGCCTCCTCTCTTGACTTTGGTAGAGATGATGCGTCCCCTTGTCTTTCAGAGAGCAGCCCCGCGTCCCCAGTGACCATCACAGAGCCCTACCGGACCCTCTCGGGGCACACCGCCAAGATCACCAGTCTGGCGTGGAGCCCGCATCACGATGGAAGGCTGGTGTCTGCCTCCTACGACGGCACAGCTCAGGTCCTGCTGCTCCCCACCCATGGGCGCTCCCCGGCCTCCAGCCTGCCCCACGCCTGCCCCTTCCTGCACTCATTCTCACTTTACTCAGAAAGGGATCTTGGGGCTCCAGGAGGCATTTTAGTCTCATCCCACATGTCTGGGCCGTTGGCAGACAAAGGGGGTGTTTTGCTTAGATGAAAGAGAAAAACGCTTATTTTTAAAGACCTCATCCTGACTTAACAGGATGATGGGTCGACGTGGAAGTGCTTGCTCCTCGTCTGACACAGAAATGGGAGCTGTCAGTTGCAGAAGCCGCTTCTGAGATTCCACTGTTAAGTCAGAAACCGCCAAGCTCTAAAACATAAAGGGGAGGCGCCAAGCGGGGCTCTGCGGTGGGCAGAGCCAGGCGGCCCTTGGCGGCCTGACTGCCCTGCGGGCCCATGTTCGCTGTTGTTCCCGGACTGGTCTGCACAGCCCCATGCCCCACAGGGCTGCCATCTGCAGTGGAGGGTGGAGTGACTCAGGAGAGCCAGGGGTGTAGGGACAGAAGACTCCGCTCTGGGCAGGGCGGCCCACGCCTGGGCGCAGCACGTGCAGGTGTCCGGGCTTGCGCTGTGGGCGCCCTGTCGAAACCCCTCACCGCCGGCTCAGGACAGGGCAGTTCTTCTCGTGGAGGGCCCAGGGGCCCCCGCAGGACCCGCGGTGCTGAGACGGCACTTTTTAATTCTTAAACCCTCCAAGCAACGGGCTAACCGGAAATTGTCTGTCCCGCGCCACCGGCCTCAGGTGTGGGATGCTCTCCGGGAAGAGCCGCTGTACAATTTCCGAGGACACCGCGGCCGGCTGCTGTGTGTGGCATGGTCCCCGCTGGACCCGGACTGCATCTACTCAGGGGCAGACGACTTCTGTGTGCACAAGTGGCTCACCTCTGCGCAGGAGCACTCCCGGCCGCCTCAGGGTCAGTCAGCCTGGCCCGTGACGCCTGCCTGCCTCCCACCTTGGGGTGCTGGGGGTGGTGGACTCTAAGGGGGCACAGCTTTCCAGGGCGAAGTCTGCAGATCCCCCAATCAAACACCAGACATACGGCCAGACAGCAGGACGGGCGGAAGTTCAGTCCCTGAACTTGCAGCCGAAAGGGCAGGTCCTCATCCCGTCCCACACATCGGGCGCAGCCAGACACAGGGAATTGCGGGGCAACTGCTGCTGTCACCATGGCGGGGGAGGGACAGCCTGAGGGGGCCAAGCCTGAGGGCTTGTGGGACATAGTGGGTCCCCTTGGGGTGTCCGGCACGTAGGAAGACTCACGAGCAGTCAGGGCTCGGGTTTATGATTCAAAGAGGTCCCGAAAGGGCTTGCTCTGGTCCTGGCCACTTTGGGGCTATGACTCGGACCTTTTTGGAAGGAAGGGGCTAGAAACGCTGCTCACCAGACGGGAGGTGTGGGCCGGCACCGCCTAGGCTGTCTCACGGCATGTGCTCTGCAACTCCCGTAGGCAAGAAAAGTATTGAATTGGAGAAAAAAAGGCTCTCTCAACCTAAGCCGAAGGCCAAGAAGAAGAAGAAGCCGCCGCTGAAGGGGCCGGGCAAGCAGGACTTCCCGGACGGGCTGGAGGACGAGGGCCCGCGGGAGGGCACGGCACCCCTGGAGAACGGCGTGTCCGACCCGGAGGCCGAGGAGGAGGTCCCGCGGCCAGAGTCCCCCTGCAGCACAGCCTCTGTGGGTGAGTGGCCGCGGCCTGCGAGTCAGCTTGCGACGTCTCCGCCTCTCACCCCACTGTCCTAGCGCCCGGCCGAGGTGGGCCTCTGGGCCTCACAGAATTGTGCTCGTGTTGCAAAAGGCTTCTTAAGCCTCTGATCACCTGTGTGTGCAGGGGGTCCAGTGGACGGCCGGGGTGGAAGAGAAGCTCGAACCATTGATTCTAGAACAGTCGTTTGCTGGGCGTGGCAGGATGGAAGTGGCAGAAATGTGTGGTCCAGACCCTCTCATCCCATAGGGCTGCCCGCCCAGGTCTGGGTAGGTAGAGAGCCAGAGGTCCAGTGGATATAGTTCTACTTTCTACTTTTTCACCACAAAATGGCTGCACAGAGCATCCTTTACCCTTGTACGTCAGCAGCTGTGCTCAAGTTCATGGCGTGTGAGCTCGAGATCGTGCGTTCCCTTCACCCGCCCTGAATGTTTCCTGTCAGTAAAGTTGTTCCTGGTTTGTGCGACTGAAGGGGCAGTAGTACATTGCCACCCGGTAGGTGACGTCCTTTGTCACCTGAGCCAGTTGGGAGCTCCAGGGCCCCGGGGTATAAAGTGGGGGTGGCCAGACACTTGTGAGTTCCCCTTCAGTCACTCAGTCAGGTTCTAAGAATGAAATTTCCAGATTCCTGGAGCACAGACATGAGGCGGGGGTGGGGGATCATCGCGCTTCCTTCCCAGGGTTCCCCGTGCTCAGCAGTGGGTCACACTGCACCAGGCCCTGTACTGCTCCTCCATCGGGAGATGGACTCCAGGCTGTCTTCACCCACTTTTCTTTCTCCTGTGACAGTGTCTCGGGCGCCGGGTGCCTGTGCTCCTGTGGCCTCGGGCCTGGACAAACCGAGCGCCTCCCTGAACAGCAAAGCCGCCTCGCTGAGAAAGGAGGGGCCTAAAGAGAAGCCAGGTCGGCATCGCGTGTTCGCGTCCCGTCAGGGTGTCCTCGGGACACAGGCACCACCAGGGCCACGGTGCTTGGGGCCGGGCCTGATGGACACGCTGGGTGTACGTGGTCGTGTGGCTGGCTTCTGTTCTCAGCCGGCACTCTGCTGTGTTCCAGAAGCCTTACTCAAGAAGCGGAAGGCTCGCTCCACGCTGCCCCTGAGCACCAGCCTGGACCACAGGCCCAAAGAGGAGCTTCACCAGGACTGCCTGGTCTTGGCCACCGCCAAGCACGCCAGAGGTACCCCTTCCGCAGCCCCCTGCGGCCTGCTTGCAGGCTGTGCCAGGGAGGGGCACAGCCCCGCTCAGTTTCCGGGTGTCTGAAATGGGGACATAAAACAGTAACCTCTGTAATCACTTCACCTGACTTTTTGTTTGTACCTGGCAGAGCGAAATGAGGGTGTGTCGGCCGACCTTGAGGAGAGGTTCCACCTGGGGCTCTTCACAGACCGGGCCGCACTGTACAGGATGATCGACGTGGAAGGTGAGGCCCGGTGACCGCGTGCCGCATGGGCTGCCGTCTGGGGCTTTGTGTCCTTTCACTTGTCAGCCAGCGTGACTTTGCGCCCCCCTGCCGGCACATCCATATGCACCCCAGCCTCTGTCAGAGGACCCAGCACTGCTGGGTGCAGGTGAAAGCAAGAGGGTGACAAGCGAGTGGCTTCAGGCTGTCTGTGCTCTGGGAGAGGGTGCCTGTTGGCACCTGCCCCGCAACCTGGGGTTCCTTTTCTTTCTTCCCGCCTTTCCTCTTCCAGAAGTCCATGCAGGCAGCTGTGTCTGAAACATCTCCAAACACTGTCTCTGCTCCACACAGGAAAAAGCCACCTGGAGAACGGCCACCCCGAATTGTTCCACCAGCTCATGCTTTGGAAGGGAGATCTGAAGGGCGTGCTGCAGTCCGCCGCCGAGCGCGGGGAGCTGACGGACAACCTCGTGGCCATGGCGCCCGTCGGTACGTCCTTTCAGCCGAAGCCTACATCTCCACGGGGGGCCACTAAAATGTCCTGCAGGACAGCTGGGTGTCTAATATTAAACTGGCAGACCACAGGCACGAACCCTGACTTGGCAGTGCAGACTAGGCGTCTGGCACTGACCTTTATGCCGCTTAAGCATCCTCAGATGCACGGACCCAGGTGTGCGAGGACAGACTCAGACGGTCCCTGCCACCAAAGTTGCAGAGGCAGAAGCCCCAAGGACCTCGTGTCCTTCAGTAGAGGCTGGTGCGGTCTGTCCACCTGCAGGAGGCATCGCCATGCATCCAGGAAGAGTGACGCTACCCAGGGTAGGAAATGAGGAAGCTCCAGATGTGGACCACAGCAGGGCTCGGTGGTGCTGTCAGGCTGACAGCCCCCGAAGCCAGCACCCTCAGCAGACACACCATTCCCCACGCCACACACCGCTTCAGTGCCTCCCGCCCCCAAGAGCAACCACTGTCCTGACTCCCACACTCTCGTGGGTCTTTTGAATTTGTTCATAATCAAACATTTATGTTGCAAAATGTGGGTCTAGGACAGGTAGATGAAACACAACACTTCCTAGAACGATGGCTGAACCAGAATCTGAATGTTCCACCGAGTGCAGTGACGTAAAACAAGACATTTTCCAACCTAGATGTAGCTCTTATCCCCCGCCCCCCCGCCCTCCACCCCTGCTGATTGCACCACCGTTTTCCTTTTATTTTTGTCCCAGCTGGGTACCACGTGTGGCTGTGGGCTGTGGAAGCATTTGCCAAGCAGCTGTGCTTTCAGGACCAGTATGTCAAGGCTGCTGCTCACCTGCTCTCCATCCACAAGGTGTACGAAGCTGTGGACCTGCTCAAGTCCCACCATTTCTACAGGTCAGTGTGGCGCTGTCACCCACCTGCAGCTGCACCTCCTATGGAAAGTGATCCGATCGCCAGTCAGACCTTTATGCCGCTTAAGCATCCTCAGATGCACGGAAACGCACACCAGCTGAACAACCATCAGTGCACCACCTGTAACGAGGAACAAATGTTCCCGTATCAGCAGACGGGGCCTTTCATCTGTATGTGCCATGCTCTTTAACTTATTTATGTGGAAGTAACACAAATGGAAAAAAGAGCTTAAAATGGAAGAACAGCTGAATGAATCGCACAGAAGGATGTCAGCTGGCTGTGGCAAATTCAAAAGGCTCATCATAAACCCTAAAGTAGCCGTCAAAAAAGAATGAACAAAGTAGCTACAAAGTCGGAGTGTAGTTGAAAAAACAGCCGGTTGGTCTGAAAGGACACAGGATAAAAGGAAGAAGACAGGGACAGATGACAAGACAAATGGCAAGAGGGTAGATTTTAATCTCACTGGCCTGTAAAAGGAGAGACTCGGCCAGTGAGCCCAATGGCTCTCTGTGCCCTGGTTTATTTTTCACACACAGAACATTGCAGATTTAGTTGTGCCTTTCCCCATTTCTGTGCTCATCCCTTCTCTATTTTTTAATTTTTTTTTTAATTTTATTTTTATATTCCCCATACAATTGCAACCCCCTTATTTTGACCCCAACCCTCCTTTCCCCGCCCCCCTGCTCATCCCTTCTCTAAATGTAACTGCTGTCCTGGGGTTCCTGTGGCTCCTTCCCATCCAGGTTACTGCCCTCCAGCTGCACTGTGCGCCTCAGTGCTCAGGAGCAGAGAAGGCGGGTATCTGTTGACAGCACGCGGTTGGGTCTGTCTTTATGCAGTTATTTATTTTATCTGCCCTTTTTTTTTTTTTTTTTTCCCCAGATTTATTTTTTATTTATGCAAGAACCGGGGCACAGGCCAGATGCACGGGAGGGTGAGAGGATTCACCAGAGACAGAGTGGGGAACAGAACAGGCAGACTGATGAAGTACACTGCTGAGGGAGCAGCGGGCGAGACAGGAGAGGTCTGCTTTGCCATGTGGGTTGCTCCCTGGCCGGCGGGGATCGAACTGGCCCTGCAGAGGCTGCAGGCAGCTTCACAGCCCAGTGCTCAACCACTGAGCCACCGGGGAGGCCCTGTTCATTCTTTTTTGATGGTTTCTTTAGGGTTTTTGTTGAGCCTTTTGAATCTGTCACAATTTACTGCTGGGTGGTGCTCTCCACGCCTTGCATGTAAACCCCACTCCTGTCCCTGCTCCTCCCCTTCCCACTGCTGTAGTTCTGCATCTCACCTGGTAACCCACATTGCGTTATTAGGATTCTTGTTTGAAACAGTCATCTTTTTAAAAACTTCCATAATTTTGAAACTGTTTTTCATATTTGCCCAAATATTATTTCCAGTGCTTTCCATTCTCTTATGTAGATGCATAAGAGAAGTTCAGCATTCTCTGGCAGTTTATGAGCTTTCTCAGGCCAGGTTTAGGGAGATCCTTGTCCTCCTGTCTCCTGGTGTCTCTAGTCTGTCCTGTGTGCGTACAACAAAACAATTCAAGGTGTCCAGGCCCCGCGTGAGCTCTGGGCACAGTTCGCACACACCCCCTGCTGTGCTCTGTCCAGCTAAGTCCTCTCCTGCATGGCCTTTGTGTTCCGTCCGAGCCTTGCGGGATCTTGATGGAACAGCTGACAGTACTTGTGTAGCTGCGCGTCTTCCATGTGGGGGCGCCCCGCCTGGGGCTCTGGCCCAGGAGCCCACTCCCACGGCCTACTGCCTGTGCTTGCCTCTAGGGAGGCTATCGCTGTTGCCAAGGCCCGGCTACGCCCCGAGGACCCGATCCTGAAGGACCTGTACCTCAGCTGGGGAGCCGTCCTGGAGAAAGATGGCCACTATGCTGTGGCCGCCAAGTGGTGAGCCCAGGGCAGGAGCCACCGGGCAGGGAGAGCAGGACCGGGGCAAAGCAGTGTTAGCAGTGCGGGGAGGGGCCTGGGAAGGGCCCGTGCGTTTGACTCAGCTCACCAGGGCCCTCCTGATGTTTGTATATGTTGGGCCATGAAATAGGCCAGGCGGGGACATGAACCCTCCTGGTGGATTCGGTTCAGCGAGGCGGGGCCCTTTCCCTCGGCCCGGCTGGCCCACAGGCCCACAGGAGCGGAGGGTCTGTCCTGGGGGCGGGCATGGAGCCTGTTTCTGACTCCTCATTCGGGCTTTCTTTTAAATCACAGCTACTTAGGGGCCACTTCCGCATATGACGCAGCCAAAGTTTTGGCCAAAAAGGGGGACGCAGCGTCCCTCAGAACGGCTGCGGAGCTGGCTTCCATCGCAGGCGAGGACGAGCTCTCCGCCTCCCTGGCTCTCCGCTGTGCCCAGGAGCTGCTCCCGGCCAGAAACTGGGTGGGGGCCCAGGATGCGCTGCGGCTCCATGCCAGCCTGGAGGTGGGTGTGGTTGTCCCAGCAGTCATGTGGCGGGCGGCCAGTCAGGTGCCAAGGGACAGCTGGGCCCACAAGCCAAGCTGTGCCAACCTACAATCACCTTAGGCCCGACGGCCAGGCCCGGCCATGCCGATGCGCAAGGCCTTCCAGGGGCCTCTGCCTCCCTGGTGGGGCCGGTGCATCTTCGTCACCATCAACAGCCCGGGGCGGGGGCACGGAAACCAGGTGCTGGGGGCGTGAGGAGTCTCCGTGCTCTCCGTTCGGTGCTTATTCCTTCCCAGCTGGTTAAAAATGAGTAACGTAGCTGCCACCTTCCTGGCACATTGACAGAAGCAGCTCTCAGGGTGTCCACGCTCTGTCTGGGCCCAGAGTCGGGTCCATTTTGGACAACTTTGTGGGTCAGACGCTAAGCAGAGAGTTCAGGCTCCTGTTTCCTTCTCAGAGTAAGTAGGTCCAAAGACACTGCTTGGCTGGACGGGAGAAGGTTCCACCCTTGGAACCGCCAGAGAGAAGTGGAGGCCAGAGTCTGTTCGTGTAGAAAACGACCCAGTCTGGAGAGATGTTAACTTGCCCACAATCAAAAAAAAAGATTTCTAGAATCATTATTTGGCATTTCATTTTCTCTTAAATAGCATTTTTACCAAAGCGAGAACACCCGAAAGTTCCCCCTGCACATCCTGGCGAGGACCGCCGTGGTGTGGCCGAGACCTCCCGAGCTGCACCCAGGCGTTCCCCGGGCTGCTGCAGGGCGCCGGCGCCACGAGCCCGGCTAGGAGACCTCCCAGGCCCGCGCCCTGCTCTCCCGCAGCCCCTGAGCCATGCCCTTCCCACCCCGGCCTCACAGCCGCATGGCTGCCACCCCAGCACCCCCACCCCTTTCTCTTGAAGTCGGGGTGAGGGAAGCTGCCCATTTTTCTCACACCAGGCCGCTGTCCTGGGGGTCTGACCCGGGGTTCCAGTATGAAAATGGTCGCCAGCACCACAGGCTCCTGGGTAGGCCTCCCCCAAAGGCTCCTGGAGAGGCATCATTAGGCCACGCCTCTCCTCACGGGTCGTGGGCCCCATGGGGAGGAGCTGTGCTTGCCCGGCGTCACGGTTCCCCCTCTGCCCCGCGCCAGGGCCAGAGACTGGTGTTCTGCCTCCTCGAGCTTCTGTCTCAGCGCCTGGAGGAGAGGCAGCCCCCTGACAGCAGGGGCCCCTGCGGCTCCCACAACGCCTGGGCTGCGGGCCCCGACGGCCCCTTCGTGGAGTGGGTGACGGCCGTGTGGACGGACGCCCTGGGCCTGGACACCCCCGAGCGGCGGCGGACAGCGTCTCAGCAGCTGCGCAGCGTCAAGTACCCGAGCGCGACCACCAACACCGCCTCCAAACAGGTACCGCACCATGGCCGAGCCGGGCAGGCCCAGGTGGCCTGGAGAGGCCCCTCAGGACAGAACGGGGGCCACGGAGAGGGCGTCGGTTCCCCCCACGGGGTCGTCAGCTCTCACATCTTCCTGTTTTCCTTGAGGGGCGGTTCAGGGTTTGCTCTCGCATGTTCTCTGGTTCTCGGTGAAATCAGCCATCCAGGTGAGGGCCCCATGGCCCACCCTGCTCACAGGGCAGCACCTGAGCCAGCCCACGAGTCGGGGCTGCCCTGTCTGCTCCCCCGAGCCACCCAGGGACCGGTGACTTTTTCTTTGGAAAACAAGGGAACATTATTTTGGAGAAAGCAGACCTCTCCCACCGCCGGGCACTGCAGAGCAGCGAGCCAGCCCAGAGGCGTCCCTGAGACAGGGCTGCGCTGGCCACAGACTTGTGTGTGGACATCCAGGGGCTCAGCTCTCCACGGCCAGAGTGGGGGCACCTAGCTGTGCAACGGGGGGCAGGGGGCACGCACCCAGCAACGGAGAGCTCGTCCTGAGGGGCGGGGCGGGGCGGGGGCGGGGGCAGGAGCCCGGGTGAGTGGGCGGGAAGTCTCTGTGCCCTGGATCATCGCTCACTTTCAGCTGCGCCTCGAGTTCCGGAGACGCTTTTGCTCGGGCCGGACGCCGGTGCCAGGGCCTTGGCACGGGCAGCTTTAGCGCTGGCGGCGGGGCGGTGGGCCCGTGGGGCAGCCGGGTGTCGGGTGCAAGCCGTGGGGCGCTGACAGACCCTGGCCCGCCCTCCAGTTCCTGCTCCACGTCTGCCATGACCTGACGCTGGCGGTGCTGAGCCAGCAGGAGGCCTGCTGGGCCGCGGCGGTGGAGGCCCTGCTGCGGGCCGTGGTGCGCAGCTATGACGCGGGCAGCTTCACCGTCATGCAGGAGGTGCTCGCCGCCTTTCTTCCTGAGGGTGAGTGGCTGCCCCGCGGGGCCCCAAGCGAGACTGGCCCATGGTGCCACTTTGTGGGGATGGCGGGGGGACCGGCAGGTCTGAGGGCACGGCCGGGTGCTGGCCATCAGGCGGGTGCACGGGCCTCCGGCAGCAGCAGCGTCACTGAAGGGTCCTCGTGCTTTTCAGCATCGCCGTGGGCTCTCACCCCCTGGGGTGCCCAGAGCACGGTCGGGGCCAAGGCCTCCCGTCTGGGCCACAGCCCCTCTGGCTCCTGGCTGGCCTTCAGAGCTTGCAGGCGGGAAGCCACGCTCTGGCAGCTGCCGTGTGTTCACGGGAAGTCCTTTTCTCCCACTAGGCTGTGACCCCTTGAGGGACAAACTGGGTGAGCAGCAGGCCCCTGCCACAGCGGCTCTCAGGAGTCTGGAGGCCTTCTTCGCTTACGGACATCTGTATGAGTTCTGGTGGTCTCTCTCCAGAACCTGCCCGGCAGCCGGGGCCTGGGCCAGGGCTGCCCACGGAAGGACAGCCCCTGCTGAGCAGAGTCCACAGCCGGACAGTGCTGGCCCCCAGCAAGCTGCGCCCGCTGCTGCTCAGCCAGAGCCCAGTGCGCACCCCACCTGGGAAGGAGGGCACCCCGCCCAGGAAGAGAAGCGTCTCCCTGAGGAAGGGGAGCACCCCACCCATGAAGGGGAGTTCCTCGCCCAGGAAGGGGAGCGCCCCACCCAGGAAGGGGAACACCCCGCCCAGAAAGAGGAGCATCTCACTGAGGAAGGGGAGCACCTCGCCCAGGAAGGGGAGTGCCTTGCCCAGGAAGGGGAGCACCCCACCCAGGAAGGGGAGCACCCCACCCAGGAAGAGGAGCATCTCACTGAGGAAGGGGAGCACCCCACCCATGAAGGGGAGCATCTCGCCCAGGAAGGGGCGTGCCCTGCCCAGGAAGGGGCGCCCCCGGCCCAGGAAGAGGAGCACCCTGTCCAGGAAGAGGAGCACCTTGCCCAGGAAGGGGCACACCTGCCTGCTGCTTGCTGGGGGCTTCTTTCAGACGAACATGCCAGTCTCCAGGCTTCCCAGAGGACTGTGGCCGAAGTCCAGGAGACCTTGGCAGAAATGATCCGCCAGCACCAGCAGAGTCAGCTCTGTAAATCCACGGTGAATGGGTCCATTGAGGAAGAACCAGAACCAGAAGCAGAACTGCCCTCCCTCAATGCTCAGAGCCGGTGGTAAGTCAGCTGGAGCTGATGGAGGGGTTGGGTCGCCCCGTCAGGTCCGGACCCTGCAGGTAGGGGGCCCAGCCACCGTCTGAGCTTCAGTTCCTCATCTGTAGGTGGTGGTTTTGCAAATTAAATGAAAGCATGTGTCACTCATCACCCAGCACAGCAAAGCTCCGCCTCTATGCAACAAGAAAGTTCACCCCCAAAATCAATCGTGTGAAGCGTCGAGCTGAGTTACTACGCTGTTAATGAATTGCTTTCGATGGTCTGAGCACTCACAGAACGCACTGCCCACTGAGCTGAGGGAACCCCATGGGGCCAGAGGGCTGGCATGGCGGTCATGTCCCTGAGGGGGCCGTCACGTCACCGCGGGGGCTGGCCCTTGCCACGGGACACCGGCTGCAGGCATTTGGGGCGATTCAGGGTCACGATGGGCCTCGCGGCCAGGGGCTTGGGCTGTCGTTACTGACATTAAACGTTCTTAATGAAGAACGTGGCTCAAAAAATGCACCCGTTGGGATCAGAGTCAGCATCCCCCGGCCACCCCCCGCCTCCCCCAACGAAGCCAGCTCCCTGCAGGCCCTGCACGTGCTGTGTCCGAGGCCAGGGCCTCAGAGCTGAGGCTGAAAGCATGTTCTGGCAATTTGATGTCGCATCACATTCCTGTTGGCATCTCTTGACCTCTGTATTTTAAAATGGGGGATGAAGGGCCGGGTGCCAAAGGGGCTTTCGTTCATAGGGAGAGGGGAAAGTTAGCCACCGTGAGACGGGTGACTCTGCTGTCTTTATGCTATTACCAGTGAAGAAGAAAATGAGCCAGTTTCTCTGCCTGAACTAACTAAACGGCTTACGGAGGCGAATGCCAGAATAGCTGAGTGTCCGGAGCGTGTCAAGGTAGGTTTCTAGCCGCGTGTGTGGGGAGCACGGTGTTTACACGTGTTACCAGATGTTGCCGCGAAACTTCAAGGCCGCCGGCGGCTTCGCTCTTCAGTTTCTGAAGTCTGTGCGTTTGGACAGGCTTGAAGTTGTAGGATCCCGGGCGCTGCCTTTGGTTGGCTAAAATCTTGTGTGAGAGCAGGATTGACAAGAGGTCATTTTAGTGCCTCAGTCTTGCTAGACCAGCCCGTTCCGTAACAAGAAAGAGGTCAGATTTCAATCAATGCCTCCATATGGAAAGGTATGTTCGTTCTCAAAGTGACAAGAAAATCTCGTCTTTCACTAACTGGAGCATTCAAGAAGGTGGTGTCCTTCGAGGGGGCCGCCCCGGCGGCCGCTGGAGTCTCACCTCCCAAGAGGAGCCGGCACCTGTCGGGATAGGCGGGCGTGGGGCCCTCTGGGGCCTGTGGCTCCTGTAAATGCCGACATCCTCTGTGTCTCCCCCCAGACCTGGCCCTTCCCGGACGTGCTCGAGTGCTGCTTGGTCCTGCTCCATGTGGAGGCCCAGTGCCCCGGCGCCGTGCCCCAGGATGTGCAGCGGCGGGCTCGCGAGCTCCTCCAGGAGTACGGCCGCTCCAGGGCGCACAGGCGGCACTGCCAGGCCTTCTGCACCTGAGCTGCCGGCCCTCCAGAAGCAGCTGGTCCGAACTTTGGACACTTGGCCTCTGCCACCCGCCTCACCGGTGACCTCACACTGGCCCAGACGGCACAGCTCCACCCGGACTCGGGGCTGTGGGCCCTGACCCCGCAGAGCGGCCGTGTGGCCCGTGTCCTTCACACGCTGCCTCTCCCAAGGTTCTGCTGGGTCATAAATGTTGCCCGCGTCCGAGGTGGCTGGCTGCGTTCTGTGACTTCGCTCTTTTTTCACTGGTTCTTGTTGCTCTGGGCTCCCCTGCCAAGGCCAGAGTTGGAGTGTGAAGTCGGCCTTACCGTCGAGGCGCTCCTTTGCGCTCCGTCTGAACTGCAGGAAGGGGTCAAACAGCAGGTTTTCTCATGTCCTGTGAGCACGTCTGGACACGCCCCCTACGAAGGCCATGGACAGACGGGCACTGACTCGGCTGCGTCATCCCTTCTTGTGGGGAGCGACGGTCGGAATAGCTCAGGAAGAGGCCACTGCTGTCTTGCTGGTCCTCGGTCTTCCCAGGGCCGCAGGACCTTGGAGAATTAAAAGCAGGTGTTCTTGGGAGAGAAACGCCTGGTTTCCGCCCCCATCCCGTGGATGGCCGAGTGTCAGGAACCCCTTTCTGGAACCTGCTGGCCGCTTGAGTGTGAAATCAGCCGGGGCGGGGCTGGGAGGGGCCCCCTCCCCGTCATTGAGCTGTTTTCTTTTGGGAGTTCCCTGGGAAGAATTTTCTGATGTGGGCTGTTTCCCAGGGGAGGGCCATGAGCAGCGAGGACGGACGCCCAGATGGACACGCTCCAAAGCCTGGCTGACTGGGTGGTTTTGGTTTTGGTTTTGATTAGACCTACCTTTAGGGTTTTAAAAATGCTCAACACAAAAGGAAGCGCTGTGGGATTTAGGTCCTCGTGGTTCTTCACACAGATGAATGGCCTTTAAGAAGTGGTGTTCGAGGGGCTGGAGAACTGGCCACAGACGGAAACAGGTCTGGGGACTCGCTGCGGCCGTGGCAGGGGGCAGAGGTGGGCCCTCCGCCCGCGCTGTCAGCAGCCCCGGGGCCTATGTTCTGCTCCGGTTAGCAAAACCCACCCCGCAGCCTCGTGACTGCTTCGGTGACACCAGCAGTGGCTCCGTGACAGCCTAGAGCGACGCCCCACAACCGCCTAGCTGCCCACGCTGGCAGAGCCGGGAGGAGCCACTCAGCCCTTCCCCACCCCACTCCGGACAACCCCACTCCCTCCCGGCAGATCCGGCTACTGGGCCCTGCCTGCCCCGCCCCGGACTGGCCAGGGGATGCCCACGGCCTTGCTTCTAGACCCCAGCCACTGCTCACTGCCACAGACCCAGCAGCTGCTTGTGCCGCTGCCGCCGGCGCTTGCTAGGAAGCAGCGGGTACTCACGGAGAGCCTGGCCCGTGGGGCTTAGCCCAGCTCCTCATGGCAGCGCTCACGCCCGTCGCAGACAAGCTCCTCCAGTCCACTTAGACACGCAGCCCCTCCCCTGCGTGGCCAGACCCCACCTAACACCGGGCTGTCCCCTCCCTCGCAGGCCTCCCTGCCCCAAGCACCATCTTCAGTTGCCACTGAGACTCATTCCGTGTTCGCCCAGATCCGGAAGGGCGGGTGGGGGGCCAGCCACCTGCGGGCCGAAGCGCCGCCCTCCGCGGCCACCATGACCCCGCCTTCCACGGGAGCGCCCAGCCCAGAGCCCAGCTGGCTCCCGTGCCCCACAGACCGACCCGTTTGTGCGCCAACAGAAAGGGTTGGAAGCTGTATCCTCACCCCAGCGGGCCTGCTGCTGCCACGCGCTGCGGCGGCCCCAGGAAACCGAGTCACAAGCGCCTTCGTCGTCCAGCCTAGCGCTGCGGAGGGGTCACGGGAGGACCGGCACTGAGAGCGGGGGACATGGCCTGCCCCCCGCTACCCTCAGCAAACCCCGTCTTCTACAGCCAGCAAGGACCAGGCCTTCATGCCAGCGGTTAAAAAGAAATCTTTATTTTACAAAATTAAAAACATAAATAATATTTACAAGCATCTTAAATACTGGTTTATAACACCTGACATTTTTTAATCATTTCAAATTGAGTTTTCCACAAGCTTTTAAAAGGCAACACGCTTGAGGGGGTTCCCACTCCCGCCGCCGGGGCTGGGGTTCCACGCGGTCCGGCGCAGGCGTCCAGAGCCTGGCACGTCACGACGCGGGTGTCTTAAAAAATCAGTCCCGTGCACCAGCCCGGTCGTGGCCCCAGGAAGCTGAGCCGCCCGGGCCCTTCACTGCCCGGTTTACAAGTACCTGACCCCGGGGACCCCGGCTCCAGCCTCTGGGCGCCGGGAGGAAAGCGGGGGGCGGGGAGGCTACCCACGGCCCATCTGAAGCCACATTCCAGAGGCTGCCAGGCCTGGGATCCAGAGAGCCGCGCCTCCTGCTTTTCCGTCAGGAGCAAATCCGGGGTATTTCATGACAGGTAAAGGTAAAATGAGTCAAACGCGGCGGCCTCGGCGGCGCAAGGAAACAGCCGAGGGCGAGAGGTCGGGGCGCTACCCGTCCTGCAGCGGATCCCGAGTGGCGGCCGAAGCGGGGAGCTGTTCTTAAGCCAAGTTTTCATGACCGGGTTGTCGAGTTTCAGCTCTAATTCATCTCCAAGACCGCGCGGAAAGGCCAGCAAAGCGCCGACACGTGTCCCGAAGAAGGCTCAGGAAAGGGGGGCGGGAGGACGCGCCGCTGCACGCAGCACCCGTTGGCGTCCGCTGCGCCCCCGCGGGCCAGGGCCCGGCGTCTTCCTCAGGGCGCAGCGACAACGAACAAGAAAAAGAATGACAACGGGTAACGTTATAGACATTTTACTCATTGTTCCTGGTGTCCTGGGCATTTAAAAAGGTATCGAGGAGCCTGGATGCTGGTGGCAGAGGCGGCTGGAAGCTGGGGAGGAAGAGCAGGGAGGCTTGTTTACAAATTCAGAGCAAAGGCCGCGCTCCCGGGCCTAGGCAGACACCTGTGTCTTCCGTGAAGCAAGCCTCTGCCAGGCAGGCGGTGGGGTGGTTCACGGGAGCCGGTCCTCCCGGGAGGAAGGGGCGCGGGCCACGGGGGGCGGGGAAGGGGCGCCCCTCACTGCTGCATGCTGCTCACGATGGCCAGGATGCTCATCTTCTCCTGGGCGGAGTCCGCGTCCTCGTTCTGCTTCTGGGCCACCCCCGTGCCCAGGCCGTAGAGCCGCCCGCAGTACTTGGCGTCATCAATACTGTCCTCAAAAAACAACTGCAGGACAGGACAGAGAAGGCGGTGAGAGCCAGGCCGGGCCCCCCGCCACGCCAGCACCGCCTCGCCCCGCGCGCCAGCGGACGCTCTCCACCCAGAAAGGCCCACGGGCGCCACAGCTCTCCGCCCTTGCTCTCAACACAGGCTCCCCTTCCTGGGCACTGTACTTTTCAAGAGTGCCTACTTTTTTTTAAATGTGGTCCCTGGGGCAGTTCACGCAACGCGCGTGTGAGGCCTCAGACGTCAGCACCTACACGCGCTGCCTCGGGACCGCCCCGTGAGTCCGGCTCCCACCAACACAGACAGCTGCTCCTTCCCCGCTGGCCACCGCCAGCCCCTTCTCTGCAGCCAAGTGTCTCTGCTGCGCTTGTCCGTTTGCTTTGTTCTTTGCACGTGCCTCGCGCAAGAGGACACGCTGCTTGACTTTCTGACTGATTTCACTTGCGGACGCCCTCGGGCGTCGTCACAGATGGCGAGACCTCATTCCTTCTTCACGACTGACCCTATCCCCTGGGCTGTGCTGACCCTATTTTCTTTATTCAATCATCTACTGACGGCCATTACGCCGCTTCCAAGTCATCTATCTTTTCAGCCAGTGCTTTCCTTTTCTCTGGACCCAGGAGAACTGCAGGGTATCATGGTTGTTCCAGCTTTAATAGTTTGAGAAAACCCCAGTGTCACAGTGACTGCCCCAACTTGAACTCCCACAGGCACACTCTTGATGCCAGCCATTGTGACACGTAGGAAGTGGTGGTTCTGATTTCACTTCCTGATGGGTGATTCTGAGCAACTCTTCACGTGCCTCTTGGCCTCGGTGTGTCTCATTCAGAACAGTCTCTCTTAGTTCTTCTGCCAATGTTTCAACCAGACTGACCTCCTGTTACTGAGCTGTAGGAGTTCTTATGTGTATGGATATCAAGCCCTTATCAGAGACACAATTTGCAAATATTCCTTCCTATTCAGTAGGTTGCCTTTTCAAATCACCTCCAAGACTGAATTCAAGGAGTTTACCTCTCAGGTTTTCTAGGCGTTTTACGGTTGCAGGTCTTACCCCCCAGCCTCGAATCACCTGAGTGAATTTCTGTGTTTGGCGTGAGACAGTGCTCGAGGTCTGCTCTCGTGTGCGTGGCTGTCCCGTCTTCCCAGCACCCTGTATCGAAGCAACTGTCTTTCCCCATGAGATAGTCTTGGCTCCTTTGGCATAAATAAATGGACCCTACGTGCCTGGGTTTACTTGTGGGCTCTCTGTTTTGTCCCAATGAGCTACGTGTCTGCGTTTACACCCAATACTATATTCTTTTGCTCTCCACAGCCTTGTGAGATGGCTGGAAATCAGGGAGTGCGCCTCCAGCTTTCTTAATTCTCCAGATCACGTTAGTTACTCAGGGTCTTCCATGGTTCCACGCAAATCTCAGGATTACCTGCTCTATTTCTGTGAAAAAAAGGTCATAGGGATTTTGGCAGGGCTGGCACTGAATCTGTCGGTGGCTTTGGCTATAATTCTTGTTCATGATTCTTGTAATCCGTTAAGTCCAGAAAGTCTTTCCATTAACTTTTTCTTACTCAGTTTCTCTTACAGTATCTTACAGTTTTCTGTGGACAGGTCCTTCACCTCCTTGAGTAGAATTATTCCTAGGTATTTTAATCTTTTTCATGTAACCGTAAATGGGACTGGTTTTTTTTTTTTCCTGACAGCTCCTTATTAGTCTATTGAAATCCAAGATGCTTATGTATTGATTTTTTTAATCCTACAACTTCAGTGAATTTGTCGATTCTGTCAAATTTCTGGTGGAGTCTATTCTCACAATAACATGTCATCTGTTACAAAAAGTAACAGTTCTTCCTTTCCAATTTGGATGCCCTTTCTTTTTTTCTTTTCACCTAACTGCGCTAGCTGGGAGCCCCAATTCTGTGTTGAGTAACAGTGGCGAGTGTGGGCATCTTTGTCTTGGTCTTGATCTTAGAGGAAAAGCTGATTCTCTCCCCAGTGTGTCCTGCTGACTGCGGGGTATGTGACAATTAACAGGACTTGACACGGGTGGTCTAACAGAAGCACTCACGTACAACTTCTATAATGAGAAGGAAGCAAAATCCGCAAGGATGGAACTTACCAGGGCCACCAGCACCCGTGTGGCTCAGGCGTGCCAAGCAGTCTCCAATCCACAATGCTGCTTTGCCTCTCAAAGTGTGGTTAATAAATTGGACCCAAACAAAATGCTTTCAAAGTGGTTATCAGCTTCCACCAGAAACTAGACTTTCAACCAACCTCAGCCCCGAAGCCTCACCTCTTTCATCCTGAAGAACGCCATTCCCGTCAGCAGTGAGTCTGAGCCCGCCTGGTGCTGCCTTCCGATTCTCTGCAAATCCAGCTGATCGGCAACTTCCTGCAGGCCGCCCTGGAGATGGGAGCAGGCAGAGACAACAGTATGGACCCACGCGCCTGACTGCAGTCAGCTGGGGCAGCCGCCCTCGTGGCCTGGTGAGGGCAAGTGGGACGGGCCACCCGCAGCTACCCCAGGAGACACTGCACTAGGCGCCGCCCTTCTGATCATCAGTTTTGTCAGACTTCTGAGCCTGAGTCCTAGGATGGTGAAGCAGGTTGAGAAAATAGTAAATGCCCATAAAGTCAGAGCCAGCAAACCTTCCTTGTCAAGAATTCACTGGGGGGCGCTCCCTGGTGGCCTAGGGGGTTGAGTCTCAGGCTATCACTGCTGCCTGAGTTCCATCCCCAGCCAGGGAGACACCCACATGGCGCAGCAGACCTCTCCTGTCTCCCTGTCTCTCCCCTCAGCGGTGTGTTTCAGTGGATCTGCCTGTTCTGCTCCCCACTCTGTCTCTGGGGAATCCTCTCACCCCTTGCCTACACCTCAGTTCTACACAAAAGTTAAAGAAAAAAAGAACTCATCGGGGTCTCCCTAGTGGCGCAAGGGATTAAGCACCGCACTATGAAGCAATCTGCAGCCTCTGCAGCACAAGTTTGATCCCCAGCCGGCCAGGGAGCAACGACATGGCGCAGCAGACCTCTCCTGTCTCGCCCACGGCTCCCCTCAGCAGTGTATTTCGTTTAATCTGCCTGTTCTGCTCCCCACTCTGTCTCTGGTGGATCCTCCCACCCCCCACATCTCTGACCTGTACCCCAGCTCTTGTATGCATAAATAAAAATCTTAAAAAAAAAAAAAAAAAAAAAACTCATCAGGGTGGTGAGGCTTTAAATGGTCTACAATTAAGTCCTGCCGGTGCCTTGGCCCACACCAGCCCCAGCCTCTGCCTCCCACTAGGCACATGGGCCTGAGGTGGGGCTCGCCTGGCCAGGAGAGCAGCTCCCGTGCCGGTGGGTCTGCACACGCCCTGCCGGGCACGCTCAGCGTGGGACAGCAAACCAAACGACAGATCTGCTTTTGTCTTTTTTTGGTTGTCAGCGGTACCAAGAAAATACTGTGTACCTTAAGGTTCTTGCAACTCTTCATCAAGTACTTCACGTCGTAAATGGACGGGAAGAAAAGGTTCAGGATATGAAAGAACTCATGTTCCTCCTCTGGCAGGCGGGAATCCGTAAGTAACTTCACCATGTAGCCAAAGTCGTAGCCACTGCAGGAGAGAGGGAGGAAGTGCAGTGGGGAGTGGGTGGCAGGCCCCAGCAGCGGGGGCGGCAGGCCTCAGAGCCCCGCGCACCCACCAGAGTCCTGCCAGCGGCAGGGAGGAGGACCCCAGGCCACAATGGGGGTGTTACTGAAGACCCAAAGAGACAGGCAAGGGGGTGCGGCATCCTCTCCGGGAATCTGGCTGACGACCAGCTTGGCCCCCCCCAGCTGGCACGAGGCCATTGTGACACAAGCAGCGTGAGCAGCCACGGGCTGAGGACCTGGGCCCACGCGGCAGCCACCACCACGGCTTTATGGCTGCTCCTGACCAGGGCTGTGGCGGTCAGTCCCTGAACACTCCATCCCCGCCCCCACCACGAGGCCCCCCCAGGAGGTCCCCCAGGCCTACCTGTGAAACGAAAGCCACTTGACGTTGTCGCAGAGCACCACCCCCGAGGTCATGAGCAGCTCTGCGAAGTGTAGCGTGTCGATCCCTTCCTCCTCGTGCTTCTGGAACTGCAGCCCCGAGTTGGCGAGGAGGTCGATGGAGTCCTGGGAGTACATGTCCTCCCTGCGGGGGGAGGGGGCGCGAGACTGCTCAGCACAGCGCGGCCGGCGACAGCAGCCCCTCGGGCACACGAGTGTCTCTGAAACGCTTCCCTAACTGGAGGCCACGGCCAGGCCCTCTGCAAAGGGCGAGCGTCACCTCTGACAGGGGCGGAGGAGGGGTGATCCCCCACAGACTAGGTGATAAAAGACCCCATTTTCTGTTTAGAGAAAAACAAAATCAGCCAAAGCAAAGCTGTTGAAATTAGCACAAGATGAAAAACGCCCATGTTCTTGTGTGGCCCCACAGAGACACAAGATGCCCCACGGGCCCCACAGACGTGCAGTCCCACAGGGAACAGCACCCCGACAGGGAACAGCGCCTGCCCAGACAGGCCTTCCAGGCCCAAGGCGGGGCTATTCTTAGCACCACAAAACGCAAAAGCATGAGTCACCCTGTTCACAGGATTTCACGGTTCCTTTGTTTTCCACATAAACTTAGATTTTGGAAAGAAAAAAAGGTCTTGATCTTAATTTTTTCCACTAAATTCAAACTTTTTTTTTTTAAGGATTTATTTTTATTTATACAAGAGCTGGGGTACAGGCCAGAGGCGCGGGAGGGTGAGAGGATTCACCAGAGCCAGCGTGGGGAGCAGAACAGGCAGACTGACGAATACACTGCTGAGGGGAGCAGCGGGGAGACAGGAGAGGTCTGCGCACCACGTGGGGTCGAACCAGCCCCACGGAGGCTGCGGACAGCTTCACAGCGCTGTGCTCAACCTGCTGTGGTCAGCCGGCAAGTGTTGCCTTTTCCCCGACCTCTGTTCGGGTCCCCTGTATGCCAGCTGTGAGGCCACCCGATATTTTTCTTTGTCCTTCTATTTCACTGAGCATCATCCCTTCCAGCGACATCCACGTTGCCACAGACGGCAAGAGTTTTTATATTTTTGTGATCTCTCAGTAATACGAGAATAGTATATTTTTAATATAGTTTCAAAAGTTATTTTCTGTTTAAGTTTGGAATCAAGTCAAGCCTTTTATCTTGACGTTGGCTGAGCTGGTGCAGAGTGTTCTGACGTGACACTCCTGACTGCATACAAGAGGCCTGAGGCATGTGCTGTGAGGAAACTGGCTCCACACCATTAAAAAATAACCCTGCTGTTTCTCATCTCTCCGCCCTCTGTCACCTTCCTGGGCGTGTCCTGCTCTGGGAAGGGCTGTCCCTTCGCCCCACCCTGGGCCACACCCCGCCTGGCTGAAGCTCACACCTGACTCCCTAGGGGGCAGATATACATACCGGCCAGCACCTTGGACCCTAGAGCCATGAGCTGGCTCCACGGTGCTGAGCTGGCTCCACGGTGCGCTGCTGCAGCAGGCAGTGCACCCGGAAGGCCTGAGGGCCCAAGGGCCCGCTCCTACCCTCCCGGGGTCTCCCCACTAACCCAGAGGGCAGCCGCTGTCCGAGCGCATCGCTGGAACAGAAGGACAAGGGCCTCACCCCACGGAGAGCAGTGGCTGCCGTCAGAACGGCAAGTGGTCACCCCAGCCTCAGCCCCACAGCCCCACAGACACCATTGCCGACCTAGAAACATGGATCATTTACAAACCACTGCCCCATGTGTTTTGCTGCAGGAGCTGTTTGTTTTGTAACAACAGCTTTATCTGTATTTCAGATAAGAACACAGGGACCATCAAGGCGATTAGGTTTTACCTTGTGAAGCTTGTTTTTAAGTGTGAAATATAAACTTTTTAGCTCACAGCTTACTTGGCTTAAGTAAAAAGTGCTGTTTGTTCACGGAGACAATAAAGCAAGACCAGTGCTGGACCACACCTTTGGTTCCACCTTAAACCAGCGTTATTTCAAGCACACACAAGCCCCCAGAAAGCAGCCCGCTCCTGCCGTGCGCATCAGGTGATCGTCGCGGCGCAGGCGGCAGGTTTTGGTGATGGAGCAGCAAACTGCACTTCAAGACTCAGATCATCTCCAGCTCCCACAATTATTCTCTGAACCGCAAAGAAATCTTCAAAACGTGAGCAAAAATCCAAAATCTGCCCCCAAGTCACCAAAGGCTCCCGATGAACAAAGCGGGGCCGGCCCAGCGAACACACCGGCACCCAGGACAGGCAGCCAAACAGGGCCCCCTCCATGTTTCCCCTCTATACACCACTGGCCCCCCGCCGCCGCCCGGGGCTGTCAGCCAGAAGAACGGAGAGGTGTCTGCAGACACACTTGCGCTTCTGCGCTCACGGGCGCCTTACCCACATGGCCCTGAACGGGGGACCCCCCCCCCAAGTGCCCACCTGCGGCGGACAGCCCACAGACAGTGCCCAGGCTCTCCTGGAGGCCCAGGCCCGGCCCTGCCGCTGCAGTGAAGTGGGCAGCGCGCTAAGAAGCTGCGTCCACACTCCCGCGCGGGACAGCCCGGCACTGCCTGCAGGCGACGCACGCCCGAGCAGAAACCCCCAGCACCACAAACAAGACGGGAAAGACTTCATCCCCAGAAAATGTCGATTATCTCCTCGGCCCCCAACAAGTCCAGATCCTATCGCTGATGGGCTCTAAAGAAACGCAGCATCTGCGAACCCCGATGCAGCGAAATGCAGGGAGCCGGGTCTGCTGTGTCCACACCGTGGACCGCTACCCAGCCGCGCCACACTGCAGCCCCAACACAGACAGGCGCCTGCACTGCCGAGCTACCAAGGGCTGCGGACGGGGAGGCCCTGGGGTCACCTGTTCCGTGGGTGCAGCTTCAGGATCGCTCCCTCCCGGTGGGCCCCCACCGCGAGGCAAATGCTCTTGACACGACCACGTTGCGGCTGACAATGGTCTCGATGGTGAACTTTATGGCCAGTCCCACCGAGACTGCCCACTGTCCATCAGTCCTCTGCTTCAGCTACTCTTGGCCAGCGCCCACTCCAGCTTACGGAAGGCGCGAACAGGCCGTTTTAATTTTTTCCCTCTTCTTTTTTCAAAGATCTATCCATTTATTTATGCAAGCACTGGGTACAGTCAGAGGTGCGGGAGGGTGAGAGAGAATTCACCAGAGACAGAGCGGGGAGCAGAGCAGGCAGACTGACGAAGTACACTGCTGAGGGGAGCAGCGGGCGGCAGGAGAGGTCTGCGCGCCATGTGGGACACTCGCCTGGCGGCCGGGGATTGAACAGGCACTGCAGAGGCTGCGGGCAGCCTCGCAACCCAGCGCTCAACCGCTGTACCACCGGGGAGGCCCACAAACAGGCCGTTTTATACATGACGACACGTTCACGCAGAAGACAGAGCGACCCCACGTCGCGCAGGACTGTCCTCAGAGTGATGTCCTAGCTGGGGACGGGTTTCCCCCCACATTGAACCGTCTCCTGGACATAAAATTCCCACGTCAAACACGCTCACATCTCCAGGACCCAGCCCGGGAGCTTCTGGTGCCGTCGCTGGGCTGGGGACCGTGACCATCACAAGCCATTCGTCACCCCACGACGACGCTCACACCCATGAGCCATCGCGTCCAGCCTCCCTGCCCGGGAACCGCCTCTGTCGGCCAGACACCCTATTCCAAGGACTTCACAGCAGAGGCGGGGAGCCACGGCCTCTGGGGTAGGCGTCTTCCTGGCTGTGCACTGATCTGAACCCACCGCGCGTGGCCACCCTGCTGCCCACAGCCTCCACTGGCAGGCCGGGGGTCAGCAGACACAGGCCGCCTCCACTTGGGGCTTTCCCGGGGACATGGCCATGAGCGCGCTGTGGCACGACCGTGTTTTCACTTCTCGCAGGTAACTGCCCTGCCACTACCAGGAGACAGGGCCCCAGGTGATCTGCGCCCGCGCCCGCCTGACTGCTGCCCCCTGGTGGGCGTGCAGTGCTATGGCGTGGTGGCGCTGACTGACCCCGCCTTCCCCAAAGGGCGGGGCAGGGAGCCCCTTTTCTTGGGCTCATTAGCCACTGTGGCGCTCTCGGCGGAAATGTGTGTTCACATTCTCTGCCCATTTTTAACTGGCCTACGGTCTCTATCGTTGCTTTGTTGGATTTCTTTAAGAGGGCCCTCCCCGCGAGACCCTCCATCGCCCCGTTTAAGTGCTCTGCCCACCCCACCTGGGCTGGCGGGAATGAAGCCCGAAATGAATAAAACCAGCCTGAAGCCAGCAGGCGGCAGAGACCCAGAGCAGCACCAGGCGGGTCCCAGACACTTACGTGAGGTTGAATTTGAAGTTGAACTGCCAGGTGTTGATCCCGGAAGGGTACTCGCCCTTCTCGTTCGTGAAGGTGAGGCCCAGCTGGATGATCTTCAGCAGGTCCACGTTGCAGCGCAGCAGCTGGTACTGGTAGTCGATGGAGCTGCGGAACTCCCCGATGGGCCGCACCACCACACCAGGGAACTCCGTGTCCTGCGCGGGGGACAGGAGGGGCTCACAGCGCGAAGGAGGCTGCGCCACCCCGTGCTGACAAACTCTCACCTCGGACTAGGGGAAGTTAGGGGAAAAGCCCCAAGTTTGGGCGCAAAAATCTATCATAAAAGCCTGATCTTCCTGATACCAACAGCAGCAGTAAAATTGTGGAGTTTTGTGTGACCAGCAGGACATGCACAGGAGGGACGAGGAGCTCCGGGGAGCTCCTCTAGGCTAAGGACACTCTAGGCTAAGAGCAGCGTGGGAACAAAGCAATATAGTTCAGGAAAACAGCCATTCCTTGGGCCTCCCTGGTGGCACAAGGGGTCAAGCACCGCACTATGAAGCTGTCCGCAGCCTCTGCAGCACAAGTTCCATCCCCGGCCGGCCAGGGAGCAACCCACATGGCGCAGCAGACCTCTCCTGCCACGCCCGCTGCTCCCCTCAGCAGTGGATTTCAGTCAGTCTGCCTGTTCTGTTCCCCGCTCTGGCTCTGGTGGATCCTCCATCGCCCCCATCTCTGGCCTGTACCCCAGCTCTTGTATGCATAAATAAAAGCAATTACCAGCTACTGTGACCTGAGTAAAAAGACCAGACTACACCACACAAAGCTCTGGCTGTCAGGATAAGGACCTCGTTCTGTGAGTGCGCCCGCAGGAGCCACAAGCTCCAGCAGCAGCGCCAATGGGTAAGGCGGTGGGTGAGCCTGGGCCTGGCAGACCTGGCTTCCTGACAGGCCCCGGGCACCACCGCCACGCCTCCCGCAGCCACTCGGGCAGGGTGGAGTGTGACTCGAGTTCGCAGGTTCTTCCTACTCTTTGCAGAGATGCCAGAGATCTGGAGTTGGAGTGAGGGCTCTTGAAACGGAAGTTCTGGCAAGCAATCATTTTAAACTGTAAAAATCACCTGTGCCGGGGCTAACACGACCTGTTGGCAGGTCTTTAGAGTTGCACGACCCCACGGGGAGGACCCTGGGGGCCCCTGGACGGCCACCTGCCTGCTTGTCAGACCGCAGTGCCCCACTTGCCCGGCCCCTCACCATGGCGATGTAGCTGTAGCTGAGCACGACCTCGCGGATCTTGCGCATCTCCTCTTCCAGGTTGCTGGCCCAGACCTCACAGATGACCTGGCTGTTCTCCACCAGGGCCGCGGGCATCCTGAAGGCGCCTGCGAGGCGGCTCTCCGCCCAGCCCGTTAGCACACAGGCTGAAGGGCCAGCTGACCTGGATTGGGAACATCGTGAGAGCTCGTCAGTCCACACACGCCCCCCAACGTCACGAAGCGCGCCTGCCATCCCCTCACCAGCTCGGGCCAAACAGTAAGTCCATGACAGCAGTTTCCTATTTCCTACCCTAGGGCACTTGCCCTTGGACAGACAGACACACGCACAACCTGAAGGAACTAAATGACTTAAGTAATCTGGGACGGCCACCAGGCCCCCTAGTTTCAGGCCCCCGTGGCTGGGGGGCCCCGGGACCAGAGTCCCATGTCTACTCTGGCCTGGAGTTGTCCCACCAAGAGGCTGTAGCTGCAACTTCGGGGCACAGGCAGTAGTGAGAGGGCCAGGAAGGCGCGGGTTACGGCCACCACAACCCCAGGCACTGGTGTGATCGGGGTGGCCGTCCCTATGGGGTCCCTGTGCCCATGGGGCCTCTTGGTGAGGGCAGGGCCCTCCCCACTGCCACAGGAGAGCCACATGAGCACCCTTTTCTCACCAAAACAAGGCCACCGCCTGCGCCCGACACTCCGAGGAAGGGCTCAGATCGCCCCAAATTATAGAAGCAGGGAAAGTCAACGCAGCCCAACGAGGCGGTGATCTCGGGGTGGGGCGGCTCCCCCCGCGCCGAGGGAAATGCCGATGACAGAGGGCAGATGGACTCGCTGCGCGCACCCGGGGCACGGGGGGACATTCTGACCCTGCTTGTGGACAGGTACCGGCCGAGTCAGGGAAACAGCTCCCCGCAGGCGGCCGCCACAGCCAGCCCCGGGCGCCGCCGCCCTGGCCGGGGCACCTTTTCCCCACTGGGGGACGGCGACGAGCAAGGGCGCCCGCGGCCTCCGGCACAGAAGCCGCCACCACCCACGCAGGCTCGCGTCCTCCCCAGGGGACCCAGACCGGAGACTAGAACCTCCCGCGACCACGCGGGTGACTCCCCACCTGCCCCAGAGGCTCGGAGGCGCCTCCACCCCGACAAAGGAAATCCTGTCCCCGCAACACAGAGGCCCATGAACGCGCGCCACACCCGGCCTCTCGGGACGTCAGGCAGCCCGCGGCGGGGGACGCAAGGGGGAAACAGCCCCACTGGCTACCGTGCCCTTGGACACCCACACGGGAGTGAGAGCGGCTCGCCACGCGATCTGCAAACACGCCGCGCCCGCCGCGCGGGGCTCCACCCAGCAGAGGAGGCAGCGGTCGGTCGCTCCACCAGAAACGACGATCCCGGGCAGGCTGGGGGCGGGGGCCGCGCTCCCAGGACAGAACTCAACACGTTTTGCCCCGGAACAAGCTGCCAAAGCAAGTCCCCCCCGCGCACTTAGTTCGGGCAGGACGGCGGGAGCGGCAGCCTGCAGGGGGCCGGGGCTCGGGCCGGGCGGGGGTCCCGGAACGGTGAGGACGCGCGCGGCTTCTGAAGGGCAGACAAGGGCGGCCTCTGCCTTCGGCTTTCGACGGCCGCAGCGGCAGAACCCCGAACTCAGTGAACCTGGCCTTCCCGCTCCTCACGCCCCAGGACCCCGCCTGCGGCCGAGACTCTGCCTGCCCGGGCGCCCGCCTCTCCTCTCGCGGCTGTCTCTGCAGGGGCACCTGTCCCGCGCGAGCAGACCCGCACCTTCCCCCACCCACGGGGCGCTCGGCACAGGCAGCACCAGCGCGCTCTCTCCCTTCCGCTCTCTCCCTTCCGTCTGCGCGGGGGCCACGAGCGGGAGGCCTGCGCGCCAGGCGGGGACACTGAGGAAGGCGGCGCTCAGGCCCAAGGTGGACCCCACTCCCGCCCCACCACGGTGAAGGCCCCACCTCCCTGCGGGGCTTCCGCTTCCCAGTCACTGTCCTCACCCAACCACACACTTCCTCATGGGGGTGCTTCACACCCAACCCTAAATCGCTGCAGGGAAGCGGGGGTCCGCGCGGGACATTCCGCACAAGCCACAAATGGGACCCAAGCGGGAAAACGCCCCTGGTCGCCAAGCAGCGAGGCGCAGGTTTAAAGAACAGGGACGCGGGTGACTGCCAAGCCCCCGACACAGGGCTTCCCGGCGACGCTATCAAGTCGTGTCAAAAGAACCAAGAGGGACAATCGCAAGAGGACCCCTTTGCGCCAAGTAAGACGGGAGGCGCGGCACTGCGGGCGACCCCCTCGCGGTGCCCGAGCGCCCCCAGCCCCGCGGAGAGTTAGGCCGCTGGCTTAGCTCATTAAAGACAGACCTAGTGACTCCCTAGCCGTAAAAGCTGCCTCTTGTCTTTCTTTTCTTTTCTTAAAGATTTATTTATTCATCATACAAGAACCAAAGCACAGGCCAGATGTGTGTGGAGGGTGAGAGGATTCACCAGAGACAGAGCGGGGAACAGAACAGACAGAAGGACTGAAATACACGGCTGAGGGGAGCAGCAGGCGAGACAGGAGAGGTCTGCCGCGCCATGTGGGACTCTCCCTGGCCGGCCGGGAATCGAACAGGGGCTGCTGAGGCTGTGGACAGCTTCACAGCTGCGCTCAACCGCCTGCGTCACCAGGGAGGCTGCCTCCTGTCTCTGACATAAACCGTACCGAGCAGCCAACAGCTGCCTGTCCAGCCAGAAGCGCGTGCAGGATGCGGGTTGTCTGCACCCCGTCACTCCCAGTGGACGGCAGATTCCCGGAAGCCGTCACATCCCAAAAAGTCTGGGACGGCATCTTTCTGAGGTGACGGAACTATCCCCGATGGGTTACAAGCTGACTGCAGACTCGGTCAGCTCACCATGAGCCACTAGACTTACATGTCAAGATGCTGCTTTACAGCAGGCAAATTATTCCTCAGTAAAGCCAGTCACTACCTTACGCGCCTCCTGGCAGAACACACCAGAACCATGAACAGTCCTGCCACCAAAATCAAACTGCAATCTGGCCAAGCCTCTGCACTGAACTAATGATTTACAGGAGTCCAAGAGGACAGGGGAACATGTTAAATGACGCCACAGGGCCTCCCTGGTGGCACAAGGGGTTAAGAAGCAACCTAGGAAACTATTCACAGCCACTGCAGCATGAGTTCGATCCCTGGCCAGCCATGGAGCTACCCACATGGCGCAGCAGACCTCTCCTGACTCGCCCGCTGCTCCCCTCAGCAGTGTATTTCAGTAGATTCGCCTGTTCTGTTCCCCACTGTCTCTGATGAATCCTCTCGCCCCCACACCTCTGGCCTGTACCCCGGTTCTTGTATGCATAAATAAATCTTTAAAAAAATAATAAAATAAAAATGACAGTCCAGGACCTCCCTGGTGGTGCAAGGGGTTAAGCACCGCACTATGAAGCAATCCTCAGCCTCTGCAACACGAGTTCGATCCCCAGCCAGCCAGGGAGGAACCCACATGGCGAAGCAGACCTCTCCTGTCTCGCCTGCGGCTCCCCTCAGCAGTGTATTTCAGTCAGTCTGCCTGTTCTGTTGCCCACTCTGTCTCTGGTGGATCCTCTCACCCCCTGCATCCCTGGCCTGTACCCCAGCTCTTGTATGCATAAATAAATCTTTTAAAAAATAAATGACAGCACAGAGATGCACCAGCAAGACCGACCCAAAAAGTACAGTGAGAAGCCCAGAAGAACTAATCACAGCGTGCAGACCTCAGTGGGATCCTGCTTCACACCGCGAGGGAAACAGAAAGACGACACTTTGCTATGATGAGAAGTGTGAACAGTAACTGACAGGTTTGGGTTGGTTTTTCCTTTCTTCTGTTGTATGTTACAATACCCAAAATAAAACACTGCACACTGTGGCTATGGTTTTACGGTGTGCTTATCTTTTAGGTAAGTACTAGAAGATATAATATGTGGGGTTCTGCTTCAAAATAACAGTAAGGAGGGCCTCCCCAGTGGTGCAGCAGGATGAGCGCAGCACTGTGAAGCTGTCCGCAGCCTCTGCAGCATGGGTTCAATTTCTGGCCGGTCAGGGAGATACCCACGCGGCGCGGCAGACCTCTCCTGCCTTGCCCGCTGCTCCCCTCAGCAGTACTTTTGGTCCATCTGCCTGTTGTTTTTTTTTTAAAGATTTTTTTATTTACACAAGAGCTGGGGTACAGGCCAGAGGCGCGGGAGGGTGAGAGGATTCACCAGAGGCAGACCGAAAGCACCGCTGAGGGGAGCAGGAGGTGTGACAGGAGAGGTCTGCCACACCATGTGGGAATCTCCCTGGCCAGCCAGGAATCGAATCTTCACTGCAGAGGCTGTGGACAGCATCAGAGTGCCGCGCTCAACCCACTGTGCCACCGGGGAGGCCCCTATCTGCCTGTTCTGCTCCCCGCTCTATCTTTGGTGAATCCTCTCACCCTCTGCCTCTGACCTGTACCCCAGCTCTTGTATAAATAAATCTTTAAAAAAATTAATAATAACAGTAGGGAAAATCCTACCTTTTACAGATAAGAAAACTGAAATATCAAAGGCATACATTTTATTTTTTTAAAAACTGATGTATTTATGCACACAAGAACTGGAGCACAGGCCAGAGGTGCGGGGTGGTGGGGGTGGGGGGGTGAGAGGACTCAGAGACAGAGGAACAGAACAGGAGGATCCACTGAAATACCCTGAGGGGAGCAGCAGGGTGGGTCAGCCCCCTGGGGATCAACAGGGATCAAACTGTGTGAGGCTGTGGATAGCTTCACAGCCCTGTGCTTATTAACCCCTTGTGCCACCAGGGAGGCCCTGAGGCATACATTTTAAAAGGCAGTAGAAATTCCATTTCCAAGAGAATTAGTTAAGGTGAGCACTGATGAAGAGCTAACTGCTGTGATAACTTGACAAATGCTAAGGGACCACTGGCAAAAAAATAAAGATATTTTTGCACCAAACCCTTCCCTAGGACAGACGCGGGGAGATCAGCGTGAGCCCTAAAGGCAGTGCCACTCAAAACCTGCAGTCACCCAGTACCTTTCACTCAGACGTCCGCCAGAGCCAGAAAGAGAGAAGTCACTACAGCAAGGAGGAAGATGATGCCATCGGTTCTGCCTGTCCCTTGCCAGCCAACGGGCTAAGGCCCCTGAGTGAGCTCAGGATGGGAACAAGCCCGGCTCCTCCGGTTAGTCTTTTTTCAATGTCTCAACGCCAACATGTCACTGTGCCTTCACCAAGGAGCCCCAAAAGGTCATCTAGTAACTTTATTTGGGTTAAAACCAAAGAACAGTAGCACATTGCAAGATTCAGTGCCAACTGTTTGTGCTGGATGTATGAGAAGCAGGGGGCACCTTCCTAAGAGAGGCGGGAGGGGAGCAGCAGGGGCGGGGGGCTGCAGGGGAGGGGGGCTGCAGGGGAGGGGGCTGCAGGGGAGGGGGGCTGCAGGGGAGGGGGCTGCAGGGGAGGGGGCTGCAGGGGAGAGGAACTACAGGGGAGGGGGCTGCAGGGGAGGGGGCTGCAGGGGAGGGGGCTGCAGGGGAGAGGAACTACAGGGGAGGGGGCTGCAGGGGAGGGGGGCTGCAGGGGAGGGGGGCTGCAGGGGAGGGGGCTGCAGGGGCGGGGGCTGCAGGGGCGGGGGCTGCCGGGGCGGGGGGCTGCCGGGGCGGGGCTGCCGGGGCGGGGCTCCCGCCTTGCACCTCCTCCAGCTCCTTGTACCTCAGGAAGCCTCACGGCCAGTTTCGGTCGCTCGCAGTGTTTGCCTCAGGGGCTGGTGCGAACCCTCACCCCGGGAGCGGCTCCGCCGCACGCACAGCCCGAGCCCCGCGCCGCAACGGCTCCGCGGGCGGCGGGCCCCCCGCGCTCCTCCCCGCGCGCCCCGCCGCGGCCCTCGCCACCCGCGCGGCGCCGGCAGAGGCCCGGGCCCGGGACGCGGGAGCTCAGGCCGGGCCCCCCAGGCGGCCGTCGCGCTTCCCGCCGCGGCCGGGCCGGGCCGGGCCGCCTCCCGAGGGGGCGCGGAGGGGCTCCCCAGACGCCGCGCCGCCCCGCGCGCCCCGGCCCGGCCCCGGGGCCCCTCCGGCCCCCCCGCCCGCGCGCCGCCGCCCCGCCCGGCCCCGCCCTCGCGGCGCCCCCGCCCCCCGCCGCTCCCCGCGGGGCGCGAGGCGGCTCACCCGGGCGCAGGGCCGCGGCGCGCGGGCGGGAGGGCGGGCGGCTGCGGGCGGCGGCCCCGGCCCGGCGCGCGGCTCCCTCGGCCCCGGATCCGCTCGCCCGGCCGCTCGGGCAGGGAGACAGGCGCCTCGTGCCCAGAGCGGCCCGCCGCTCCGCCCGGCCCACACCCCGGCGCACCGCTCTGCCCGCCGGGTCCTCCCGACTCGCCGGCTCCGCGCGCGTCACTCCGACCGCGCGCGCGCCTGCGCACGCCGCTCCTCCCCGCCTGCGCGTCGCGGCCTCGGGGCGTCTTCGCCCAACTCGAGAGCTCGCGGGAACCGCGCGCAGGCGCAGAAGTCCCAGGCGGCGCCCAGCTCGGGGGCGGGGCTCGCAGGGCGCATGCGGGACTCGGCCGCCCGCGGGCCCGGCGCCACCCCGCGGCCGCTCCCCCCGGGGCTCCTTCCGCGCGCCCAGGAAGGGGCGGGGCGCGGGCCCACACCCACCCTCGGGCGGGGCCTGGCCGGCGGCGCGGGAGGGCGCGGCCGCTGGGCCTGGCCGGTAGAGTTCGACGCCGCCGCCCGGGCCGGGGGTGCCGGCGCGTCGTCCCGGGGCTCGGGCCGCCCGCGCGGGTTCCGACCCCCCCTCCGTGCCGGGGGCCCCGCGCCGACGGCTACCTCGCGTCCTCCTTCCTAGCCAACAGTGACCGGGGTGCGGCAGCACCCCCAAACTCTGTCCATGTGACGTCCGCCGGCGCGCCTGCCCCCGGCCTCGGAGCCGGCCGGCCGCGTTCCCATGGCAACGGGCCGCGCGCGGGCGCCGGCGGGCCCCTCCGGGCGGGGCTCCCGCGCCCGGGCGAGGAGCTCGGCCTCCGCGGGGGCCAGGCCCGCGCCCCGCCCCGCCCCGCGCCCGGCTCGGGAAGGCCCGGGCGCCCCCAGGGGCCGCCGCGCGTGGGCAGCGCACGAGCCCCGCGGCCGCTGGGCGGGTCGCCCTCCGGCCTTTAAACGCCCCCCCAAGTGTCCAAAATCCGTTTCCCATTCCCGGGGCTGCACGCGGGCCCCCCGCGCCGCGTCAGCCGGATCCCCACGAGCTCGTCCCGGGCGGGTGAGCGGCCCCCCAGTTCCCGGCGGGGTCGGCCTCCTCCGGCCCTGGGTGGGGTGGGGGGGCTGCGGCGCTGTGTCCCCGAGTGGGGGCCGCGCCCGCCGGGGCAGGTGCAGGGGCGTCCAGGGAACCACCCGTGCGGCCTGGGCGCTCAAGGGCACCCCGCACCCCGCGGGGGCCCCCCTCTTTGGCGAGAACGCCTGGCCCGCGGCCTGCCGTGGAATTTTGTTTTTTCCTGCGGCGCGAGCCGGGGGCGCCGAGACAATGGCGCAGGAAGCAGCACCTCCCCCCGGCCTCTCCCCCAGAACTGGGTGTTCGCTGCTCGGGCTCCCGAGGATCGACGTGAAATAAACCCGCACCCAGCCGCGCCCCGCAGGCGGGCGGCGCCCCCGGCCCTGTGGCCCAGCGAGGGCCGTCTGGGGGGCCGCCCTGGTGGGGGGGGCGCGGGGGACGCCCAGTAATGGCAACTCACATTCGAAAAATGCTGTTGTTTTTGAAAACCGCAAAGTGTAGACAGGAAAGCCGTTCGCCTCCACGGAGGGGAGAGCGAGGTTCCAGCCAAACCACGATGTGTTTATTTGGGAGCAGAAGAGGTTTGTCATCTTGGGAGCACAGGCTCGGGCTGGAGCCCCAAAATGGGGACGGAGGAAGAGCTGGGGAGGGGGCTGACAGGGGGAAGGAAACAAAACAAGGGGGGGGGCCAGGCCCTGCAGGGCGAGGTCATGCTCAGGTGGAGGGTCACCAGGTAAAGGTCTCTTTAAACGTCCTTCCAGACAGGCTTTTCTCGTTCCAGCGGCTTCTTGGAATGCGGGTGGCTGGGACCCAGCCCAGGTGGATGCAGGCGACATGGTTTGCTTTGCCTCAGCCTTCCTGGCCTGATTTTAAGGTGACTCCAGTGAGGTCAGCTTTTCACAGGCGTGCGCACCCTCGGCTGGAAGGGTGCAGGTTCAAACTGGAGAACTGCTTGCAAAATGGGTCTCCTGGAGACCCCACGGAGCGGCCTGGCCAGCCCAGCCTGTCTGCTCTGCCCAGTAAATCTGACAGGATTCTTTTCCCCACCACCATGGCGTCCATCCCCATCCCCGGACCCTTGCTCCCTCCTCCCCCACAACCTCAGAAGCTTCACTCCATTTATTAGCACCCACTAGTTTTTGTAAGTGTTTTACTCCGTTCACTCACTCGCCATGTGCACGTCCAGTGTTTGTCTTGGGCATCTGCCTTGGTCTCCTGCATGTCACTCCCTCAGGCGTCCTTCCATTTTCCTGTAAATGGCAACATTTAAAAAAAAAAATTTATGTTATTTATGTGTACAAGAACTGGGGTGCAGGCCAAAGGTGCGGGTGAGGGGGTGAGAGGATTCACCAGAGACAGAGTGGGGAGCAGAACAGGCGGATCCACTGAAACACTCTGCTGAGGGGAGCAGCAGGGAGACCAGAGAGGTCTGCTGCGTCCTGTCGATCAGCTACCTGGCTGGGGATCGAACTCATGCTGCAGTGGCTGTCAATAGCTTGATTGCACTGACTTTAACCCCTGTGCCACCACCTGAGAGACCCCCTCATTTTTTTTTAATCCAAAAACAGATCTCAGATCTATTCATTGTATCTCATTGGTTTTCCTTGCATTTCCTTCTTCCCTGGGGTCAACGAAAATAACATTTCAAAAACGTACAGATAGGGCCTCCCCTGGTGGCGCAATGGTTGAGTGCTGGGCTGTGAAGCTGCCCGCAGCCTCTGCAGCGCTGGTTCGATCCCCGGCCACAGGCGAGGGTCCCACATGGCGCACAGACCTCTCCTGCTGCGCCCGCTGCTCCCCTCAGCAGTGTACTTTGTCAGTCTGCCTGTTCTGTTCCCCACTCTGGCTCTGGTGAATCCTCTCACCCTCCCGCGCTTCTGACTGTACCCAGTGCTTGTTTAAATAAATAAATCTTTTTAAAAAAAAAAAAACCTACGGATAATAATCACAGATTTTCAACTTTCCAAAGGTGAGGGTGAGGTGGGGGACACAAAGATGTTCTGACTAATGTGGTCCCCCAAATTCACAGGAAGGAATGAAATGACTTAAGGTCACGCAGGGCTGAAGCTTCCTGATCCCCAGCCCAACAGGGGCCTGGGCTGCTGTCGGCGTTGCTTGTAACCCATGAGCGAGGGCAGGGCCCAGGATGCCTGGCGTGACCCAGCCCCGGCTCCCTGCTTTCAGAGCGTAACTCTGGGGCCAGCAACTGCCAGTAAGACAGGCAAACAAGCCGCCCAAGTAGAGAAGACTTTCTTGCTTGTTCAAACAAGTCAGAAGTGAAAGGTAGTGAGAAATTGTCAACACAGCTAGCGTGAAGGAAATGTGGGACAAAGTGACCAAGAAAAATTGGCTGGTGTGGGGGTGAGACAGAGGGAACTACTTAGAGGTCAAAGAACCAAAGAAGGGGGCCTCCCTGGTGGCGCAGGGGCTAAAGACAGTGCTATCAAGCTATCACCAGCCACTGCAGCACAAGTTTGATTCCAGCTGCTGGCCAAGGAGCTACCCACAGGGCGCAGCACCCCTCTCCCGCCTCCCCGCTGCTCCCCTCAGCAGTGTGTTTCAGTGGATTGCCTGTTCTGCTCCCCACTCTCCCTGGGGACTCCTCTCACCCCCGCACCTCTGGCTTACACCCCAGTTCTTATATGCATAAATAAATCTTTAAAAAAAAAAAAGGAGTTAAAGAAAACCTCTTCGAGACAATAACAAAAACAAAGAGAAACCCCACCGACTGGGAGAACATTTTTGCACCCAACACTAATGATAAAGGACTGATCACAAAAATCTGCAAAGAGGTGAAGAGACTCAACAAAAACAAAGTAAATGGTCCAGTCAAAAATGGGCAGAAGAGCTAAAAAGAAACTTCTCTGAGGAGGAAATGCGAATGGCCAACAGGCATATGAAAAAATGTTCAACATCACTTGTCATCAGGGAAATGCAAATCAAAACCACCATGAGATACCATCTCACACCAGTGAGAATGGCACATATTAAAAAAACTAGCAACAACAAATGTTGGCGAGGGTGTGGAGAAAAAGGAACTCTTCTGCACTGTTGGTGGGAGTGCAAACTGGTCCAACCACTGTGGAGAGCTGTGTGGAGATTTCTGGACCTACTAAACATAGAGCTTCCATAGGATCCAGCAATTCCACTCCTAGGTATTTACCCAAAGGACACAGAAACATCCATTCCAAAGAGCACCTGCACCCCTATGTTTATAGCAGCACTGTTTACAATAGCTAAGCTTTGGAAACAGCCCAAATGCCCAAAAATAGATGCCTGGATCAAGAAGATGTGGTCCATATACACCATGGAATATTACTCAGCATTCAAAAAAGATAAACACATGCAGTTTGCAGCAACATGGATGGCGCTGGAAGGGATCATGCTCAGCGAAATAAGCCAGAAAGAAAAAGAAAAATACCGGATGGTCTCACTCATAGCAGAAATCTAGAAAACCTAAATAAGGGACCAGGAAAAAGACTAACTATAAGAAAGAAAATATCAAAATCAACAAACAACTATGAACCAGAGACACTCTATGGGGGGTGGGGGGTGGGGAAAGGAGGGATTGGGGTCAAAATAAGGGGGTTGTAATTGTATGGGAAATATAAAAATAAAATTTAAATTTAAAAAAAAGAAAACCTCTTTGGGAAGGCGGCAGAGGGGAGAGGATCAGGACCCACCAGAACAGCGCGTTCAGACAGAAAGAAAGGAATTTTGCACGCTTGGGACTGAGCACAACAGAGGGGCTCAAGATGACGCTGGGAAGAAAGCAGAGGCCAGGAGAGTGAGGCCTGGGCCTTGAAACTGTCCTCGCTTCACATTGTGTGGGGAGACCCCGAGGGTGTCCTCGCAGGAACGACGAATCCTGTTTACAGGTGTCAAGGTAACTCTGACTTCTGCGGACAGGGAATAAAAACGGACTTTTATAAATCTGCAAATATTTTTGAAAACTTGAATGACACTCAAGAGCTTTTCCCAAGAGCCAGACAGGTTGCCAAATATCAGGCAACGTTACCAGGTGGTTCTCATGGAGACTCAGTTGCTGCTACATCCTTTCCATGATTGTTAGTGTGAAAATTCGCAGCTGCTGGCCGAATCCTCCGTCCTTTACCGAGAAGCAAGTGGATCGCTGCCCCTGCAGCTCTTGGCAAACAGGAACAGAGGCCAGTGGAGCGCGCAGGGAGGCACACAAGATAGACAAGAGTCAGAGCTGTCCTCTGGGAGTCTCCAGTGGGTTCTATTTTTTTTTAAAGATTTATTTATTTATGCATACCAGAGCTGGGTACAGGCCAGAGGTGTGGGGGGGTGAGAGGATTCACCAGAGACAGAGTGGAGAACAGAACAGGCAGACTGGCTGAAATACACTGCTGAGGGGAGCAGCAAGAGTGTGAGGAGAGGTCTGCTTCATTGTGTGGGGTGCTCCCTGGATGGCCGGGGATGGAACTCGTGCTGCAGACGCTGCAGATTGCTTCATAGTGCGGTGCTTAGCCCCTGGCGCCACCAGGGAGGCCTGCCAGTGGGTTCTAAAGCCGGCTCTTCTCCCTCTCTCTCACTTGCCTCCTTCCTGTGGGTGCCTGTGACAGACCCCTCTCCTCTGACTTTTTCTAGGACAACCATAGAGCATCTTCTTTTGCACTTCTCTAACATCTGTTTGCCAACTTAGAGGGGCTTCAGGGACCCACAACCCAAGTCACTCCCATGGGGAAACTGAGACTGGCACTGGCGGGGAGGGCCTGAGGTTGCACACCTGGGGGGCAGTGCTCAGGTGGAGCCCAGCCCCTCCTCCAGAGCACGTCCTTTAAAGGCCATCAGCCAGGATGGGGCGTCTTCCCCAACCTTGACAGGACAAGAAAGCCCAGCAATGAGCTGGGAGGAGGAAGGGGAAGGGGGGAGGGGAGGAGAAGAACCAGATCCCCACGGACAGGGACAGACTCCCCCCACCCCCACCAGGTTCCTCTGCGTGAGGTGTGCCCAGCGGCAGAGCCATACTGAGCACCTACTATGTGTCGGGTTGCTAGTGTGGGGAGAAGGAAGCCCCTGTGTGAAATAATTACAGAAAACAATTACCAGCCATTCCAGGGACAGTTGCCCACAGGAGGTGAAAGGGCCAGCAAGAGCAGCGGCAGAACAGGGGACCGAAAGGCCGTTCCAGCGGAGGGCTCAGCGCAACCGCGTGAGGCTGGGGTACCAGGAACGAGAAAGGCTGAGCACACAGCAGAGTTACCAGAGGAGGGGGGCCTTCCGGGGCCGGTCCCCAAGTTCGATGGGTGCTTTGAACAGACTGGACCGGCCGGGAGAGCACACACTATCCATAGCTGCAATCTGGGGTGAGGTTAAGAAAATAAACTGAAGCCTCCCCTGGTGGTGCAGCAGTTGAGCCCTGGGTTGCGAAGCTGCCTGCAGCCTCTGCAGCACCGGTTCAATCCCCAGCCGCCAGGTGAGGGTGGCACGCAGACCTCTCCTGCCACGCCTGCTGCTCCCCTGGGCAGTGTACTTCATCAGTCTGCCTGCTCTGCTCTCCCCTCTGGTTCTGGTGAATTCTCTCACCCTCCTGTGCTTCTGACTGTACCCAGTGCTTGTATACATAAATAAGTAAATCTTTTTTTTTTTAATGTGATTAGCTAGACTTGCTTCTCTTTCCCTTTTTTTTTTTTTTTTTTTAAGATTTATTTATTTATTTATACAAGCACTGGGTACAGTCAGAAGTGCGGGAGAGTGAGAGAATTCACCAGAGCCAGAGTGGGGAGCAGAGCAGGCAGAAGGACCGAAGTACACTGCTGAGGGGAGCAGCGGGTGGCAGGAGAGGTCTGCGCGCCATGTGGGACCCTCCTGCGGTGGCGGGGGATTGAACCGGCGCTGCGGAGGCTGCGGGCAGCTTCGTAACCCAGCGCTCAACCGCTGCGCCACCGGGGAGGCCCTAAATAAGTAAATCTTTTAAAAAAAGAGAAAAAGAAAAGAAACTGAGTCATTGCCAAAAAAAAAAGTCTGTAATCACTTAAATGCCTGCAATAGGTTCCTGGAAACTTCAACTCTAAGTAAAATGACATGGGAGAATGTCCACAGGTGACATCATTTAGTTCAACTGCGCTGGTTTGGTTCACCTCAACTTTCTAGAAAATGGACTTGGAGCTCAGGGAGGTTATTCCAGGGCGCCTCTGGAAGACAGCAGGAAGAGCACGAAGCTGTTGCCCGGAGAGTAATTAATTGCAAGCCAGCCTTGAGTGTTTACCGAGCTGGGCGGCCAGGGCAAGGTGACTGATAAACTGTGTCATCGGAGGCTGGGGTGGAGCGAAGGAGGCTTCCACAGTGCACACTTTGGCCCTGCTGTTACTTTTTTATCAGATGTACTGATCATCAATTTGAAAATGCTCTTTAGAAATTTAAAAATCAAACTCAGCTTTTCTTCAAGAGCGCTCGCTATTTGGTGTCTCGCGCCCTGTATCTTCATTTCACCTGTTTCCATCACACACACCCCCTCCCCAGCGTCTCCTCCCTGCACCCAGACTTGCCAGCCAAGCTCTGTGGCTCCCCCGACCCTTGCCTGCCCTGGGGTAACAGGAGCCAGAAAACAGGGGAAAGGTCCTGGGTGCCCGCCCCCCGGGGGCCCGCCCCGCCGATGCCTCCCTGATCTGGGCCTGCGCCTCCCGCCCGCGCCTGCCTCCTTCGGGACAATCAGATTTGCTTAAATTGACGAAGATGTAATTTTTTTAAAAGGGAAACAAGCATTTTCCCATCTGGCCTGGGGCTCTCTCTGGGCTCCGGCCAGAAGCTCAGGCGTGCTTCCTCTGAGCTTTAAGGGGATTTCCTTTGCAAGAAGGAGGTTCTGTCTCCAGCGCACACAGACCCAAACTTGTGTGATCACGTGCCTGGCCCAGCCACTCGGCGGGCCCCGTAACACGATCCCCAAAGCCAGCTCCCCACCCACCCCAATAACAACAGGCGGCTGGGTGAGGCGGCAGCACAGGCAATAGGCGGCCAGGACCCTGCAGCCACCGGGCAGCAGGCAGCGGGCAGCGGCTGGAGGAGAGAGAGAGCGGGCTGTGACCACCTCGGAGGGGCTGGGAAAGTGTCCTCTGCAGAGGTGAGCAGGTGCGGGGAGGGAGCTGCCCGCCAGGGTCAGGACGGGCCAAGTTCACTTAAAGGGGCAAAGTACCCTCTTCTCCCCAGTGCCCCACCCCGGGCTCTGGGCCTGGCTCTCGGGAGGTCGGCCTCCGGGACAGCCTGGGACATTGGCCGAGGGGCAGAGTTCCCCAAGCATCTCCCACAGGGGCTGTGTCCCCTGCCTGAGTCTGCCCCAGACGTCTCTCTTCTGCTGTCTCGCTGTCCTGGCAACAGGCGGGTAATGCAGACAGGTAATTCAGCCGCCAGAGTTGGCTGCAAAAGTGCGGGGGAGCAGGAGGAATTCTGAACCCGAGAGAAGAAAACCCAGCCAGGAGAGACCGTCAGGAAGCCCCGCAGTGAGGGCTTGTCCCCCAGCCTGCCCGGGCCCTGCAATGACGGAAGCCATGACAGCGGTCTCAGAGATGTAAAGGCCCGAACTCCCTGGTGGCGCAGGGGTTAAGTCTCAGCGCTGTCAAGCTCTCGCCTCCACTGCAGCATGAGTTCAATCCCCAGCCAGGGAACTGACCCACAGGATGCAGCAGACCCCTCCTGTCTCCCCGCTGCTCCCCTCAGCAGTGGATTTCAGTCAATCTGCCTGTTCTGTTCCCCACTCTGTCCCTGGTGAATCCTCCCACCTCCCGCATCTCTGGCCTGTACCCACCCCAGCTCTGTATGCATAAATAAATAAATCTTTTTTTTTTTTTTTAAAAAAAAAGGTTGTAAAGACCCGAAATAGGCGCGTGAGCCAGGTGCTGCCCAGCCGTAGCCAAGCTGTCCAGCTGCCGCCTTGGGACTGAGCAGCTCGGACTGCAGCTTCAGCGGTGCCTGAGGCTGGTGGTTCCCACAAAGGTTCCCGGATAGAGCTGGAGTGGTTTTCAGGGTGCCCACACAGCAGCACCCTGGTTTGGGGGCCAGCTAGAAAGGAAGCAGACGGGGGGTTGCTGCTGTCTCGTGTCCTCCCAGCCAGCTGTCTGGGCTGGCAGTGAACAAAGATGCTCTGGGCTCCAGCTCCTGGCTGAGGAGAGAGAAGTGGCCAGCGCAAGGCGGAGGCCGGCACGTCCCCAACGCGTTCTCACAGCGCAAGGGAAGGCTCCTCGCTGTCCCCCATCCTGGCGTTTATTCCACAGACACTCCTGGCCACTGGCAGTGCCAAGGGCCTCAAGGTGGACAGGGCAGGCCGGCTGTGGCCTGGGGCAGGAAGTCCTGGGCTGTAACCTCTGAAAGTTTCGAGGGCTGGTAGCCTCCTGGGAAAGCAGGGAGGAGGGAGGGGCCAAGGCTCCAGCTGTTTGAGGGACCCCGTTCTGTCTGAGTTGAGCCTTTTTCCTTCTTCACCTGCCTCACCTGTTGACACACCTTGGTCTCAGCAGCTCCTCGGAGCCCACTTGGCTCTGGCAATGACAGCTCAGGACCCCCGGAGTGGGGCCAAGGACTGCACTTCCCAGGTAGAGCAACCTTCCGGGGCTGGGGCTGGGACTCCCCCCTGCATTCAGGAGTCCCCCGCCCCAGTAGGAGCTCTGCTTCTTGCACCAGGCAGTGTTAAGAAGCCTGGATTTTTCCAGCATCTGCGTGGAGTTTGGAGCGAGTCACTTCAACATTCTAGGCCTGGTTCCTTCGCTGAGACAGAAGAGACCCGGCAGCGCAGAAGAGCTTCAGGGTTTTCCGAAAAGGAAATGACCCTAATGATTTTATGTTCACTAAGAAACAGTGCACAATCCCCGTGGACCTCACACCTATGAACATGGAAAGTTCGTCCACCCTGTGGAATTATTCAGGAGTCCAGACTCTAGAGAAATCAGGCTGCAGATTTCCCAGGAGTGGAGTCTTGGGGTCTGGCATAACTCTAGCCTCGCTGTCATTACTACATTGGGGGTCCTGCCATGAAAACTGGGGAGGGGAAATCATCCACTTCCAAAATAACCCCACACCAAAAAGCATCTGTTTGGATTATCCCACAACCTGCACCCCCTTCCCTCGAAGGGGACCCTACTCGTTGTTATTAAGCATCAGGCTATTTCCTTCTAGTGCATTTCATCTCTTCCTCTTCCCTGGTGTGTCTGCTTCCTGGGGCTATTTCATACCCCCCATTAACTTTCTCATTTGCAAAATCAAGGTTGCACAGTGTCGCTTTATTAAAGAGGGCCAGAGGCGTGCCTCCTGCACCCTGGTGACCCCAGGTCTAGCATCGACCCCAGCATACAGTAAGAGATTTTTGAAAGAATGATTAATGTATTTTTTAAAGATTTATTTATTTATGCATACAAGAGCTGGGGTGTAGGCCAGAGCTTCTGTGGGGAGCAGAACAGGCGGATCTGCTGAAATCCACTGCTGAGGGGAGCAGCGGGCGAGTCAGGAGAGGTCTGTGGCATGTGGGTAGCTCCCTGGCCAGGGATGGAACTCGTGCTGCAGTGGCTGGTGGTAGTTTGATAGTGCTGAGACTCAACCCCTGCGCCACCAGGGAGGCCCGAGAGAATGATTAATATTTTAGAGAAGACATGCTGTCTTCCCTTTGGTACTCAACACTCCCATACCCCCCACAATGTCAACCCCATCCTTCAAGGCTAAGACTGACCCCAAGTCCTGGGTCCCTTCCGGCCCTCCGGCCGCTCTTCCACACTGGCACAGTCTCTGCTTTGCAGACTCAGCCGATAGAACGAGCACTGGATTCAAGTTCTGCATGAAGTGGCTGTGCAAGGACCCCTCTCTGCCTCTGCTGCTTCTTGCCAAAAGCAGAGAGAGCAAGTCGGAGGGGGAGCACAGCAGAAATGCGGGGTGACAGCACCTCCACCCACGAGATCCTTGATGGCTGTGGTCTTCGGTCTTGCTTGCCAGAACCCCCAGTTTGAGCAGGACACCGGCAAACAAGGCGGAGGGAACTCTTTGGGCGGGGCCCTGCCTGCCCGCCTGTGCTGCTGAGTCTGCAGGCAGGAGACAGGCTGACAAGGAGCTGCTTGGGTGTGAAATAGTCAGCAGAGTGAGGTGGCGGGAGGCGAGGAGCCGGCTGGCTCGATGACTGTCTCTGGAGATAGCACTGGGCATGTTGGCTTAGCCAAAGAATAAATGGTCGATTCGGTGATTAGGGTCACTTCTAATGAAATCAGATGCCAACAGATAAGGCCGACCCATCTCCCAGAGATAAGTGGCTTCTTCCCTTTGGCCAGAAGGTTTACGTGGAGCCACGGGCCCAAGGTTGGCCTCTATCAGCCCCAATCGCTCAGCCTCAGCAGCAGGTACTCTCCACAGTGGGCACAGAGGGTACCCCGCCTGCTGCGCTCGGCCAGGGCCGCTGCCTTTGGGTCAAAGTCTGGCCCTGGCCCTGGTCTCTCTGGTTTTTGTTTACTGTTAATATCTGGTGCTGTTTACTTACACTTCATAAACAGTCTTCATCTCAAATGAGTTTGTGATACTTCCAATAAAAGGGTGTGTGCGGAGGAGCCCCTCGAATACCCCCGATGAGGGCCACGCTGGACACCCGCCAGACACCTGCCGCCGCGCCGGCGCGTGGGGCGGGGCGAGCCACAGAGGAAAGAGCCTAGTGTGTCTCTGCTCTTGCTTTGTTTCTGGGGAAAAGTCCCTACAAAAGGGAGACACCAGCAGCGGCTGTAATCAGAGCCACCTCGACGAGTGGGGGTGGCATGGGAATTTCTACCCCTGAGAGAGGGGGACGTGGGCACACCGGCAGAGCAGGCAGCCCCGAGGCCTCCAGGAGGCTGCCAGGAGTGACAAGGAATGTGATGTAGAGCGAAGGGAAACTGATCAGAGCAGAGAGGGAGCTGACCGCGCTGGCGTCTTTAAGAACAGGGTGCCCATGTTTGCGCACTGAGTCTGTGTAAAGAAACTGGATTGCCTTGTTTGTTTGGGTTTGGGGGTTTTATTTGCATTTCATGAGAAAGTAAACCATTTCTTTTTTTTTTAAATGTAGAACTGATGTCCAGGCCAGAGGTAGAGGGTGCGGGGGGGGGGGGGGGGGGGGTGGGGGGGGGTAGTGATAGGATTCCCCAGAGACAGAGCGGGGAGCAGAACAGGCAGACTGACTGAAACCCACTGCTGAGGGGAGCAGCCGGCGCGGCAGGAGAGGTCTGCTGCGCCGTGTGGGTCACCTCCCTGGCCAGGGATTGAACTCCTGCTGTCGCCGCTGAGGATTGCTTCATGGTGCTGATGCTTCATCCCTTGCACCACCAGGGAGGCCCCAGCATCCTGGAAGTTTAAAAAACAAACCAAAAACCGCTTTAGCTTCCTTGAAGACAAGCTGTTATCCCGGTGGTCTGGGAGCCGCTGGGACTGGCTCCCGGCCGGGGAGGGAACGCAGCTGGAGTTCCTGCCCCGCACGGGTGCAGACGCCATTTGCCGTTTCATCAGGGAGGTGTTTCCTGCTGGCATCTGTGTGTCTCCTCCAGGAAGTGTGCGTTGAAGAGGCTACATCAGTCTCTAAAGGAGGGAGGCAAAAGGAAACCCTCTCACTGCAGATGAGCAAAGCGAAAGGTAAAAACGCTCTCATAGCTGCGTGAACCATGGGCCAGAAGGCCTGGGACTGAGACAGATGACACGGCTCCGGTCACGCCCAGCGGCTTGGACGGCGCTCGGATGAGGCTAAACGTGCCAGAACACTTGGTGGATTTCAGGGCCGGCGGCCTTGATGCGTCACCGAATGCACTTTGATAGCCCCAAGAAGCGTAGGCATCCTGAGCGCAGCTAAGCTGCAAAGTTCTCTTGAGAGACTTTCAAGCCGAGAACAGAACTGGCACAACACACACACATGGGTGGGAGGCCAGAGAGGTCTGCAGCCCGGTGGGGAGAAGCCGCTGCTCCCCACTGGGCGGCGTGCGGGGCTTGGCCCCTGGCCTCCTGCCCCATCACGACCTGCTCTGCCGGTCAGATACCCGGCAGCCGGTTTCCAGCCCGAGCCTCTGCAGAGAGGCGAGCCTGTCAACAGACACATCTTTGGCAGAGCCTTAAGGACAGGCCTCCAAGGACACTGGGCCGGCTGACCCCGGCCTGACACCCAGCCATAGGGGGTGGCGTGAAAGTAAACTTCAGTGGCTCAAACAGGTCATCGGATGAAGGGGGGTAACCAGAAAACACACCGCCTGGATACCAGGATCCGGGCCCCATTCCTGAGTGTGATCTCCCAGCACCAGCTGCTGACTTAGCGGGGTTCCGCTGGTGGTTTTGGGGTCTTCTGGCAGCTTTGGTCTCTTCTTGGGTGGCTGGCGGGAGGCTCCCTGCCTCTGTTCTCCCGCGTGGAGCGGCTGGGTCTGCACTGCTGCCCTCAGTGGCCCTGCTCACCCTGCGCAGCCTGGTGGGCAGTCGACTCTGTAGCCCCCACCTTTGCCCACGTGCACACCGCGGGATTTAAAGATCAACTACCAGCTGCTCTGGTGGTGTCCACGGCCACCAGCACAGAGGTCCCCGCCAGCCGCGCTGCCCGGGTAGGGCAGCGTCTTGGGAGTCCCTACTCAGGCTCCACGCCACGGACCCACGTTTGGCCCAAAATAACAACAGCAGAAACCGGAGGTCACGCAACCAAGTGCCAAGAAGCACAACAAATTCCCACATCCTCAGAGGCCAGCCTGGCCCTGTGACGTCTGGACCTTGTCACGAGACACCTACGGCTTCCGGCCGAGCCCGAGCCCCACGGTGGCCGCTTTGGGCCCCGGGCAGCAAACTGTCAGACCGGAAATGGCCCTGCCCGACCAGAGCCCTCCCAGGGCCTGTGGGGCCCTCACCCACCTTGAGGGTCCGGGCCCAGCTCTGGTCAGCCAGGACGGTGAGTGGACCACACTATTATTTGGTGAATCCTCTGGGTCCGCACAAACCCACACTGCGAGCAGCCTCTGTGCCTCGATGTGGCCGGTGTTCGTGGTGGGTCCAGCTGAGGGTCCCTTCCTGCCGGGGCCTCAGCTAGAGGAGGCGTCAGGCCCCGGGGAGTGTCCAGAACAAGCCAATCCACCAGCGGGGGGGGGGGGGTGAAGGTTGCCTGGGTCCGGATTGGGGCTGGGTGGGGGGAAGAGGTGGCTGCAGCGGGCGCTCTCTGGCACCGTGAAAGTATCCCCTGAGTGAAAGCACTCTGGAGCCTACCCTGTGGAGCCCCTAGAAGTGATAGAAACGTGCACATTTAGTGGGTGACACGTGAATTATCTATCAATAGGATTTTTTTTAAAGATTTGTTTATTTATGCATAAAGAACCGGGGTACAGGCCAGATGCGCGGGAGGGTGAGAGGATTCACCAGAGACAGAGTGGGGAGCAGAACAGGCAGACGATCAAAATACACTGCTGAGGGGAGCAGCGGGCGAGCCAGGAGAGGTCTGCCGCGCCATGTGGGGATCTCCCTGGCCGGCCGGGAGTTGAACCGGCTGCGGGCAGCTTCACAGCGCTGCGCTCAACCCGCTGCGCCACTGGGGAGGCCCCTCAACGCTAGTCTTGCACAGCTCTGGGAGCTCTGCGGCGGCGTCTGGATTTCCCAGGGAAACCGCCACGTCACCTGCAAACCGTGACTGTCATCGCCCCCCAGTTCTTTCTCTGCTCATTTTCTCTGGAGACAAACACCGAGTCTGATATCAAGGTGGGGTTGGTATTCACAGGGGCTCCTCGTTCTCGGTGTGAGGGGCCCGAGCGTCTCAATACTCGGCCACCCAGGCCATCTGCCCCCGCGCCTTCCTGCCCACCCCTTGTGGTCACTGTCGCCGGCTCGGTCCTGCAGGCCTCGCAGCTCGGGCCATGGGTGCTCAGGGCGCAGAGTTAGGGGTCGTGATTGAGACCGGAGTGGGCGGCCCCTGCCCACTCTCACAAGTAGCCTCCCCAGCGGCTCCTCTTCAGATGCTCAGCCCAGCCCCTGGCTGGTGCGTCCCGTGGGGCCCGCGCATCCTCCTGGGATGCTGGTGCAGCCGTGCACCACGCCTGTCTCCTGCTCCTGGCCTGACTCACGGTGCTTTCTGTTCTAGATGAAGGGAGCAGCTGCCAGCCAACTCGGGGAGGACAAGGAGGACAAGCCACAGCAGGTGAGCTGGCCCCCCCCCGCCCCCCCCCCGCCCCACCCTGGGGCATGAGCAGGCCCTCCCACCAGAAGCCTGTCTCCTGCATATTCATGGCTGGCGCCACCCCCCCCCCCAAAGTCCTGGGGCCCGCCTGGGGGTCTGGGCAGGGTCAAGCCAGGCCAGGCGCCTCAGGACCAGGGCCTTGTCCATAGGCTATGGTACTGCCCCAGCGTGGCCCAGCTGCGGAAGCACCCTTCATGCAGGGGTCCCTTTATGTAGAGGTGCTGAAGGGAACGGGCCCGGATGGTCGGTCTTGGCCCAGGTTGTTTCCTGGCCCCGCACTTCACAGAGAACTTTGTCCTGGGCTTTGGCCTGCCTGGGCCGCTGGAGCAGGCAGAACTCCCGTCCCTGAACTGCACTGAGGGTCTGATTCGGCTCGGCCTGCTTTGATTAGAGGGAAATGAAAGCTCCCAGTGAGTGGGGGAAGTTCGGGAAAAGGACCCCTGAGCCCAGGGAAGGGGAGCAGCCTGAGCGACATGGCAGAGCACCGCAGCCAGAATGTGGGTGACCTTTGACCGGCCTGGATAGAATAGCACGTTCATCTGATTGGTACGGCCTGTCCAGCGGGGCAGGGTGTGGGGGCAGGGAGGGACACAGAGAGGGACAGAGAGGTAGACGCAGTTCAGAGCTCAGGACCCTGACAAGCATCTTCCAAACCGCCCCCGGCCGTGGAAACAGACTAATTTCTTTTTGGTCTTTTCGTCAAAAGCGGGACAGGGCGAGCTGAGAAGCAGCGGTTCCGCGCGGATGCGTTTGCTGGGCCCATCATAACAGTCCTCGCCTCCCAATCTCAAAGGCCTGGCCCCCAGGTCCCCCCAGGCCAGGCCGGTCAGTCCACGGCTGGGCCTCCCCCTGGCCGGGAGGCCGTGCAGCATGGCTGGCCCACACCTGGAAGCCCAGCGGCTTGGCCTCTCCAGCACGGGGCCCGCCATTGGCATCTCTGCCCCCAGCTCTGGGAAGAGTGCCCGCGCTGTGCCGGGACCCGGGCCTGCCCCATCCCGTCACTGTCCTGTGGGGGGCTGCTGCCCGCCTTCAAGGGCAGGAGGACACTGGCCAGGCAGCAGGCCACGTACCGGTGCCCTCTCCTCAGCCGCCTGCCGTGCGGCTCAGCTGCCTACCAGGGCAATTAGCTTGGGAGCTTTAAAAACACGGAGGCCCGGGGCCCCACCCCAGAAACTCTTGTGTCACTGGGTTGGGAGGAGCCTGTGCTTGGGGAGCTTTAAAAGCGCCCAGTGGTTCCTGCGCACAGGTCATGGGGCGCCTCTCCCAGCAAGAAGAACCGAGACGGCCCTGGCCGCGGAAGGCGCCGGCTCAGGTGGGAACACGCCGGCTGGTTCTCTAGGGTCAGGTCAGTTCTTCCTGCCCCCTCGAGCTCTCATTTTCATAAACACACCCAGACTCAGCCCGGGCGCCCTTGATAAGGAAGAGCCTCCCACAGGCCTGGCAGGAGCCGGCAGATTTGCAGGGGCGAGGCGGGGCGCGCCGGCCTCTGACTGAGCTGCACTGGGGCCGGGGCGCCGGGCCTGACCCTCTCTGTCCTCGCCAGGAGGGACACATCTGGGGCTCCATGAGGAGGACGGCCTTCATCCTGGGCTCCGGCCTGCTCCTGCTGGTGGCCTTCTGGAACTCGGTCACATGGTGAGTCAAACTCTGGACCTGGGGCGTGGGGGGTGGTCTGGGGCCGCACGGACAGCCGAGCAGCTGTCCACCCGCCAGACTCACCGGACGCCGGAATGGTTTCTCTTCCAAGGCATCTGCAGAGATTCTGGGGTGCTTCTGGCCAATTTTGGCAGACCCAGTGGGAGAGCCTGCTGACCACGTTCGAAGGCAGAGAGTGGATTCTCTACTTTATAGGTGAGGGACTGGCGCCAGCACATGGGTGGGGGCCGCCAGCAGGCGGGTGCTTCCCCGCTGTGTCCTCCGCTTTGGGAATTCCCAGCTCATCAGCCTCAGAAGTGAGGACTTCAAGGCCAGGACACTGACCATGTCCGGGTGCGCTGAGCCCGTGGCCGGCCTGGGAGGGCAGTCTCCGGGTGTCTAGGAGAAGGCAGAGCAGCAGTGCCCGAGCCAGCGGTCAGGCCCCCAAGCGCAAGAGGCCAGGCCTGTCCCTCTCCAGCTCTCAGGGCTTGACATCCAGCGGGTCAGTCAATAAATATTTGCCGACAGCGAACGGCTAGACCTGGCCTGGTGGGAGGCACACCCCCGGCAACACCAGCCCCCCAGCACTGCCCACGCGGGGATGCCCCAACTCACACGCAGTCCTCGGGCCGTGGTCACAGAGGTTGCCCTGTGTTAAGCTAAGTGTGTGGGGGAGATAGAGATAGCCCAGGTCAAGTGTCTGCTCAACCCACCGATAAACGAGGTCGCACCGCCTGGAAGGGGAGGTGGGTCGGTTGTCCCGAAGCCAGAGCTCTGTGTCCCGGTGACTGGGCTCCAGCATGAGCCAGGCCGGTGGCAGACCCGCCTGGGGCCGTTGGGCCACGGGGAGGCACGATGCGGGCTGCAGGGGCGTGGATGGTGTGGGGGAGGGCGCTCGCATTCTGCCGGGGTGCCCCTGCCATCAGCAAATAGCGGGGAGATAAGATAGCTGCAGTTGTCAGTGGCAGAGCCGGAGAAAGTTCCAGGTCAGCTCTTGGGGTTTTCACAGTTCAAAGCAGCAGAAAGAAGGTGAAAATCGCCCCCTATCCCACAGCCCACGAGACCCTGGTGTAAGTTGGGGGGCCCTGGCTCTCTGGGGCACTCCTGACCCCAGCTCTGCTTCAGCAGCTCTTTTTCTCAGTACGAGATTGTGAGTGCCTGTCCGTGTCAGCCGGCAAAGGGTTCCTTGCGGTCTGCGGGTGCTCGGCCTAGTCCTGGGGTGGAAGCGTGTCATTGAGCCCCGCTGCCGACGCGCGGACATCGAAGCTGCCGGAACAGTCCATGAGCTTTTTATTTTTTATTTTTTATTTTATTTTTTTTTAAAGGAAGGACTTGATTTCTTTTTTTTTTTTTTTGTATTTTATTTATTTATTTATTCATTCATTTATACAAGCACTGGGTACAGTCAGAAGGGCGGGAGGGTGAGAGAATTCACCAGAGCCAGAGCAGGGGGCAGAGCAGGCAGAAGGACCGAAGGACACTGCTGAGGGGAGCAGCGGGCGGCAGGAGAGGTCTGCGCACCATGTGGGACCCTCCTCCGGAGGCCCGGGAGCAGCCGGGGATCGAACCGGCGCTGCAGAGGCTGCGGGCGGCTTCGCAACCCAGTGCTCAACCGCTGCGCCACCGGGGAGGCCCCCATGAGCTTTTTAAAAGCCATGACCGGCATTTATGCCCACGAACCTATGCGTGTTCCTGCTACTCTTTCTTCCGGTCTCTCTGACTGATCTTCACTTTGGATTGTGCCTGCCCCCTGGGGGCTTGCGCCCACCCTGTGTCCCCGCAGCGCCAGCCACAGGCTTTGCAGGAACCAGCTGGCACAGGTGTGGTGGCTGACGGAGCAGGAAGGGCATGGAGGAGGGGCACAGGGCACAGGGGACGCACGCGTCCTTGCCCCTTGGAATAGTGAATGCAGCGGAGGGGAGCAAAGGACACGGTGAGCCAGCTGGGTAACTTGTGAGGCCCGTGCCCAGCTGCCGGCGGCGGCCACACCCGGGGCACTGGCTCCGAGGGAGAGCAGGGCACTCTGAGGGCTGCATGGGCAGCGGGTGTGCCCCAAGCCCATCTGGATTTGACGCCCCGGCCAGCACTGTCACACCAGGCTGCAGCGTGGAGATGTGGGTGCCGGCCACGCCCCCACGGGAGGGCGCTGTGGGCGCTGACACGGGTGCCCCGCGGGAGCTGAATGTCCGGCCAGGCCTGCGGGCCTCCCTGCTCTTGGTGTCCTGAGGAAACAGAGTTCCAGCTTTCACAAAAGCCGGGGGAGGGTGAGTGTAAGGAGACAGACAGGTTTCTCCGCCGCGGGAGTCCTGCTAGCCGGCGGGGGGTGACACGGGTGGGGCCTTCGATTCCAGCCCCCGGAGGGGCCGTGGTCCAGCTGCTCAGTCCGCAGCGAGCGCAGGACCAGTCCCCACGGCGCCTTGTCCGGTGCTCGAGGCAAATAATGCCCCAAACACGACCCTCGCCTCTCCCGCCCTCAGGGCTCAGCGAGGATGGCGGCCACTGACAGCCTCCCAAGCCCGCCGGCGGCCGTGGCGCCTCTGACGTGCTGTGCGACTTGTTCTGTCACTGAGGACCTGGGAGGTCCCCGTCCCACGCTAACAACTAAGACAGCGAAGACATTCCTGAGTGACCTGTCCAGGTTCCTGGGCACCCCAGGTCCCAGGGCACCCTGGCCCCAGCACCAGCCAGGCCGGGCAAGCAGACTGCGGCCTCCCGCACCCCCGCCGTGTTGCTCGTCCCATTAGCGGGCGTCCAGCGCAGTCCCAGGGGTGACACGGCCCTGATGCGCCTCTCTCCACGCAGGTGCCACCCAGGTGCCCGCCCTGCTCTTCTGGGCCTTCAACGGGCTGCTGCTGGTGGTGGACATGACCGGGAAGCCTCACTGCATCTCCCGCTACCGGATTCAGCAGGGCAAGAATGAGCCCGTGAGTGTCGCCCGCCAAGGCCCGCCCTGGCCCAGGAGCTTCGGCTGAGCAAGCCGGTCCCCGAGCGGGGCGCTAGAGAGCGGGAACGGGGCCCCCCACGCAGAGCGGATGTCCTGACTGCTGGACACTGTGGGCCACGTGCCGTGGACGCCCGCAGAGGCCGAGTCCCGGGATGCAGGGGCTCGTGGAGCAGATGACCGAAGCATGACACGGGGGCCGTTGGGGCAGCCGCTCCCCCACTTACCACACTCACCTTCATTTGTCCGTGATCCACCAGGGGGGCCGGCTGAGGCCCCCGCCGCCCCAGCAGGGAGAGCAGGCCAGCTCCCGCCCGGCTCGGCCGGGCGCCGCGTCTGCAGGGCCTGGCGTTACACACCAGGGAGAAGCTGCCTCTGAAGCCGGGCTCCTCCCAGCTCCACCCAGTCTCGTCCCGGTCCTTCCCAGACCAGACCAGACCATCATCTTTTAATTGTCCGCCCGGGTGTTGGGGTGAATCAGCTCAGCTCTCAGGGTGCTCTGCCCCAGCCTGGCACCCAGAAAGCAGGGGAAGGTTGAGAAATAGCACCCCAGACCCAGGAGACACAGCTGCGCCCGGCTCAGGGGTGCCCCAGGCCCAGCGTCTCCTCTGCAGGCCCCACGGCTGCACAGCACCCTCACCCTCAGGCCAGTCTGCTGCTCCTTGGGGGTTCAGACAGAAGCCGGGGCGGGGGGCCCTGAGCTCGCAGGGCTGGGAGCAGGTAGCTGCTCCCACAAGCTCCTGCTGCCAGGGCTGTGCTGCCAGCCCCAGGCTCCGCCCAGCGCCAGGCCCGCCGCAGTCAGGGCGCAGCAGAGCTGGGTCCCAGCGAGCAGAGCTGGGCCCAGGGGGTGTGAGTAGCCCGAGGCGGCCCTCTGCGCCCACGGGCCTGGGGCCCTCGGCCTCTGTGCAGTGCAGAGGCGACAGCGCCGGCTCCGCTCTGGGCAGCCTGGGGACGAGCGCCTGGCAGGGGAGAGGGTGGGAGGCCACGGTGTGGTGCAGGCCGGGGAGACCCGAGAAGGCCGCCCAGAGGGAGGTTCCCAGAGGGCTCCCGGGGCCGGGGTGGGGGTGGGGGGGTGGGGGCTGTGGCCAGCGCCCCCGCGCTCCTGGAAGGTGGGGACCGCAGCTCACTGCCCCCTGCCCTGGCAGGTGGACCCCGTGAAGCTCCGCCAGTCCCTCCGCACGGTGCTCTTCAACCAGTTCGGCATCTCGCTGCCCATGATGGTGGCCCTGTACCCCGTCATCAAGCGGTGGCAGAACCCCTGCCGCCGCGAGCTGCCCACCTTCCACTGGTTCCTGCTGGAGCTGGCGCTCTTCACGCTGGTGGAGGAGGTGATGTTCTACTACTCACACCGGTGAGCGCCGGCGCGGGCGCGCCCTGGGCAGCGTGGGCGGCCGTCCCCCTGCCCGCCCCGCTGTCCTGCCCGAGGGCCGAGTCCCGTGTCCCTCGCAGGGGCTTCCCGGGCCTCCTCCCTGTTGCGCAGCTGAAGGAGCCGAGGCAGAGGGAGGGGCTGGGGGGCGGGAGGGGGGCCAGTCACCTGGTGCTGGCCCCGGCCTTCCGCCCCGCGCCCCCTCGGCTTCTCAAGGTCTGGGGGGCGGGGGCGGAGCGCTGACCACTGCCTGTTCCCCAGCTTCCTCCACCACCCGGCGCTCTACAAGAAGATCCACAAGAAGCACCACGAGTGGACGGCCCCCATCGGCGTGGTGGCGCTCTACGCCCACCCCATCGAGCACGTGGTGAGTGGGGCCACCGGCTTCCCCGACCAGCCGGTCCTGCTCCCTGCGGGACAGCGGCCGCTCTGCTGACCTCACGCCTGCCGGGCTGTGCTGCCCTCGAGTCAGCTCGCCGGCCACATCCCCCAGCATCCCGACATCCACCCTGCAGCTGGTGGCCGTCCAGTCAGGAAGAGACGGAGGGGCGCCCCCGCCCCCGCCCGGCCCCTGCCTGAGCGCCCTCCCCTCGCAGGCCTCCAACATGGTGCCGGTGCTGGCGGGGCCCCTGCTGATGGGCTCCCACCTGTCCTCCCTCACCGTGTGGCTCTCCCTGGCCCTCATCATCACCACCATCTCCCACTGCGGCTACCACCTGCCCTTCCTGCCCTCGCCCGAGTTCCACGACTACCACCACCTCAAGTAAGGCCCGGCCCGCAGGCCATGCGGGTGCGGGGGGCCTCACCGGGGAGGTCCTGGCCTTGCTGGGCCCGGACCCCTGGGGGGCTGGCACCTGGGGGCTTCCGCCACACTCCGTGCTGGAGCCTGCGAGAGCTGGGGCGCGTGTCCCCTCAGGAGAGCCGCGCGCCCCGCTTCTCGGCGCAGACTCCCAGGCCTCACCCCGGCGCAGGCGTCACAGCAGTGGGGAGCGGGGCCTGGAGAGCTGTGTCTTAGTGTGTCCCGGGGGTCCTGGCATGGGGGCCCAGCCCCGAGCCAGCTGAGCTCTGGCATGGGTGGGGCCGCACGCCACGCGGGGCTCACGGGAGGACCAGGCGGAGCGTCTGGAGGGGCCCTGACCCGTGACGGGGCAACACCCACAGCGGGACCACGCCTCTCCCCCTCCAGGTTCAACCAGTGCTACGGGGTGCTGGGGGTGCTGGACCACCTCCACGGGACCGACACGGTCTTCAAGCAGACCAAGGCCTACGAGAGACACACTCTCCTGCTGGGCTTCACCCCACTTTCAGAGAGCATCCCTGACACCCCAAAAAAAATGCACTAAGAGGGCCTATGCCTGCCTGGCCATCCTGCGCATGCCTGAGGTGTCCCCAAGGCCACCTCACCAGGTCCCACATTCCCTCACATACTTGGGTCACTTCCTTAACATTCCGTCTCTTTTGTCACGTCACGTTTCTGCAAGCGCTTCACGACGCACTCAACACCCAGGGCACGGCTGCCACGGAGGATTCCTCCACCCCGCGATGGGCCGTGGGGCTGGCCAGGCACCCTGCGGCCCCGCTCTGGCCTGAGCGTAACTCCCAGCCTGGAGCGCGGGCCAGACCTGCTCCCAGCACACACCGGGGGAGGCCCGCCTGCATCCTCGGGCGGGGAGCAGGGGCGAGCAGGAAGGGGGATGCCGCCTCCCGTCTCAGCACTGGACTCGGGGACGGGGACGGGGCGGTCATGCAGGCCTCTGGCTGGGCGGGGCCCGTGCGCTCATGCAGCAAACCAGGGGGCGAACGAGGGAGACTTGAGGCCGTGGCCTCCCCATTCCCAGTAGCAGCCAAAGGAGCGAGGTGGGAATAAAGCTGTCTCCCCCGACTGCAGCCGCCTGTTCTCTCCCCGCCCTGCCGGGTCGTGACAGCAGTGCCCCTTGTCAGCTGCCCCCACTCTCCAGGCCCGGGGGTGGGGTGGGCACTGGGATGGCGGCAGCCTCTGCACAAAGGCAGCGTGCGACCCTGGAACACACTCCCGCAGGGCTGCTCGGGCGCTGGTGGGCAGAGGCCGCGCCCCCCTCCTGTCCAAGGGACACACAAGGCTGTGGCCAAGGGCCGGGAGCCCACCCAGGTCCCTTCCCACTCACCCCTGCCCAGGCCCAGGCCCCCGCCTGGGGTCGCCAGCCACGGCGTCGGCCAGAGCTGCCGCGATGCAGCCCAGAACGGGAGTGGACGTGACTCGAGGCGGGTGGGGGAGCCCCGGACCTGCGTGGGCTCACCGGGAGGCCGGCGCTGCTGAAGCAGAGCCCCCAGCTCCGCCCGCCACGCCCAGCAGCGGTACCCCGGACGGAGGCCGGCACTTTGCCTTTTCAAGTTTTTATTTTTATACATTTTTTTTGTATTAAAAAGAAAAGCATAATTACCACAAATTACAAAGGACTAAAAGCAGGACTAGAATAATGAATGAATCACTTCAGGCTGAAAAGCAGGTACTCTCAATAATATTAATGTTATAATACAAGCTCATTCAAGTATTTTACATTTCTTTTCTGTCCTTTTGAATGTGATATCCTAGCACATGGTAGAGAATGCACTATGAGCGTCAGGTGGAACCTTCTCCGCAAAGCCAGATGACGGGTCTTCCTCTCCCGTGAGAAATGGGCCGTGGGTTTTGGTCTCCTCTGCCTGCACCATCCCCGAGGCGGAGGGGGGTGGGCGGGTCCTGGGACCCCACGCAGCAGATAACCGGGGTCCCACTCGGAGGGCACCAGATGATCCAGACCGCTCTACCAGGCCTTTGGCAGACACCCCTCTCCCCAGCTGGCCCCCGCGCCCCGCCCCCCATGTCCAGGGCCTTCAGAGCAGCTTTCTTTTGCAAAATCAATCAGGAAAGGGAAAAAAGAGCTACAATGGAACAAAACAAAACGTAACAACTTGGACATGGGGGCTCAGCACCCCTGATCTGAACCCAGGGTCCAGGCGGGGTGGGCCGGCCCCGATGGCAGGAGCAGAGGGGCAGGCCGCTGCTTTGTGTTTCAGATCTCGCCCCGAGGGGGTGGGAGTGGCAGCGCCGGGCCGGCCCTCCTGGCATGCTCGTCACAGATACATCGGTCCTAAATTCAAGTGTCTTCAGAAAGTGAAGATGTAAACTACTCTTTGCAACATCAACTCCTAACATGTTACAAAAAAAGAAAGAAAAAAGCCCCCCCCACCCCCCACCTATGTTGAGATGAAGTCCTCGCCTCCCCACCCCAAAGGGCCTCCTCTTTCTAGGGTGTCTGTGGGAAGAATCTGGGGGAGGATGGAGCCCCCGGCCTGGAGCAAACTCTGGGTAACAGCCTGCCTTCCCCACACGCCCCGCCTGCCGTGCCGAGCCCAGCGGAGCCCCACGCTGAGGTTTCTGCGGTGCTGATACAGTACAGGGCTGAGCCACCCGACAGAGGAGGGGGTGGGGTGCGGGGAGGGGTCGGTCCAGGGCCTGGCGTGACGCAGGAGACAGCAGACGCTCGAGAGGCTCAGGCCCCTGGCAGGGCAGAGCGGACACTCATCGTGGGTCCCGGACACCGGTGCGCGGAGAGCCGAGGGGCGTCCTGCACCCTGAGCACAGGAGGCAGCGGACAAGGCGAGGTGCCAGCCGGAGCCACAAGGAGCTGGGGAACGCGGGGTGCCCTGCCGCGGGAGCCCGTCTCCCCGGGGTCTTTGGCCCAGCAGAGGAAGCAGGTGACACAGCCCAAAGCCCCCGGGTGGACACTCGCCATGTGCACCCGACACAGCCCAGTCTGTCACCGCCCTGGCCTGGGAGGCCAGCAGCCTCCAGCCACGTCGGCGTCGCTCACAGCCCAGCTGAGCGTCGGGCCGGAGAGGAAGCAGGTACACTCTATGTCCACATATACCTTCCTGCTGCGGCTGCGGCGGGCAGGTCCCGGCGCCCACGCCCCTCAGCCCTTGCTCCCAGGCAGGGGTGGGTGAGCAGAGATGGTGTGCAGAGGGAGGCCCCCCCAGTCGCCCTCCGGGAGAATGGCGCCGGTTCCCAGGGGACAGCGCTCCTGGAGCAACATTTCCACGGCTCTGCGGCCAGGGGTTCACTCCGCCCGAGGAGGGCACGGTCCAGCTGGGACAGGCCGACGCGTTCTGACAGTCTGAAGCAACGCGGCCTTGGGGCTCCCAGGGCAGGAGGAAGGGTCGCGGCAGGACCGGGCCGGCGCGAGGTGACGGAGCACAGAGAGGACGCGAAGGCGCGAGCCAGGCTCGTCCTCCCCGGGGCCACAGCGGGGCGTCGAGGCGCGGGCCCGCCTCCAGCGGGGGGCGCTGTCCACGCGCTCGTGGAGGAGGAGGCCGGCCCCACGGGATCCGGGATCCGTGTCCAGAGCGGTGGGCGCTCTGTGAGGTGACTCCGGCGAGGAGAACAGGCATTTGGGCGTTTCAGATTCCCGCTCCACAATAAGGCAACTTTTAAAAAAATATTATTTTCAAGAACAAAACAAAAAAACCCCAAGGGCAGGGAACGACATCACTTCCTGTGAGTTGGGGGGGGGGGTGGTCTTCTGATTTTTTTTTTTTGGTCTTTTTTTTGGTTGATTTTGTCCTTTTTTTGTTTGCTTGTTTTTCCATTTTTTTTCAAGGACGGAAAGATCAGAGAAAAATAAAATAAATCATCTCTCAATAGTCTTCTGGGATGAGCAGCGTCTCTGGGCGTGGGCGCAGGGGCACGGGGAGGGGAGTGGGCCGAGGCGGAAGCGACCCCAGCCCCTTTCAGATCCTTTGGTTTCCTTCTCCCAGATGGCAGAAGGGCGCAGTGGGGACAGCAGGGGGCGGACGTGGTGATGGCAAGCCCCGAGGCCGGGGGCCGGTGTTCCTGGGGCCTGGGGGCGCGGCCATGGGACCCCGGGGCCTTCTGTGGGCTGCATAGTTGGCTGGAGGGAGAGCAGGAGGCCACGGGTGGGGACCGGGGCGGCCTGCCGGCGGCGGGCAGGGCTGCAGAGTGATTTTGGTAATCCAGACATACTATCAATAATTTAAAACTTGATATATATATATGTATATATATATATAAAAAACCTCCCTTCTTCCCCTCCCCCTTAGAAGATGGCCGGGTGGGAGGAGTCAGGGAGAGGAGGGGCGGGCGCTCCTGCTCAGGGGCCTCTGGCAGCCCAGCCGGTGCACACACACTACTCAGCACAAAGGTCCTCCCTGACGACCCCAGGCCGGCCCTCATCTGCTCCCTCTCCTGGGGCCGGGCACCCCCACGGACGCTTGCCCACCCCCTCCCTTCCCCCCACCCCAAGACCCGGGTTAAGGGGCTTTTCACTTTCCCGAAGTCTGTGTGTCTGAGTGCTGGCTTGTCCATTTGGCATCTTCCCGGACAGGCGGGCCGGCGGGTGGCGTGGGGGGCTGGCTGACCACGGTGGCGGGCCGGCTAGAAGACTGGGAGGGGCACCGCTTTCGGCCCTCTCCGCCACTACCTCCTGCTGCCACGGGGTGTCGCTTGTGGTTGCCTTCTTCACCCATGGGGGGCTGCAACAGAGGAGGACACAGGGTGTAAGGAGCACTCCCCACCCCACGTCCTGCTTGTTCACGCGCCCCGCCCCCGCAGGCCCCACCTCGTGCGGATGCAGACCCCTCACCCACTTGACAGGTGAGGACAACGGGGCACAGACTGTCTGCTCAGGCCTGTCAAGCCCTAACCCCTGCAAGCCCCTGCTCCCCACGGGACTGGGGGGGTGTGCGCTTCTCAGGGGATACCAGGTGGTGTGCGGCCTGCATTTGGCACAAAGGCCTTCCCTGGGATGGACTCAGCCCTGTAGGCCCTGAGCTGGACAGCGCTGAGTGACCCTGCGCTGCTGCAGCCTGGCTCCCAGCACCTCGAGGACAGCTGCCTTCTCCCCGGCAGTCAAGGCAGAGCCCCTTCCCCACAGGCCCCCATGCACGCACAGAACCGCCCCCAGGGCAGCATCCAAAGGTGGTGGAGTCAACCCAGCTTCTGCTGGCAGGCTGGAGTGGCACAGGGCAGCCGTGGTGGGCAGTGATGCCGTGCAAACAGCCCTGTCCACCCCCTGCCTTCTGAGGGTACAACGAGGAGGCTGCTGTGAGACGCCAGCACCGGAGCCAATGGGGCGACTGGGCTGTGCAGGACCAGCACCGCCTCTGCTGCCATCGCCCCACGGCCCGGCATGCCTGGGGCAGTGAGCCAGAGTCGCTGCTGGGTGTTACTGTCAGGTGCCAAGACACCAGCTTACAGGCCTCTGGGTTGGAACTGGCCTCTCCCAGAAGAGGTGCCCATCCTAGTCAACACGCTGGCCAGGTCAGGACACAGCAGCGAAGGGTCACAACCAAGCGTGCCAGGGACTGGGCCCTGGCCCCGCACCCAGGCGTGCCCGTCTCTGGTCCAGCATTTGCTCCAGGACAACCCGGGGAAAAGGACAGAGACTTCCACTCACGTCCACTCGGAAGTCTTCGAGACGTCGGAATTTGCCGAGGTATTCTTGAAGTTTGGGGTCAATGTCCAAATTTTTGGCTTTGGAGTATTTCAAGAAGGCCCAGAACTTCTCTAGCCCGTAGAGCTGGCCTGTGGGGAGAAAAGGGAGGGCGGCAGGTGACACGCAGCCTCCCGTGGAACTGCCCCCGGGGCCGAGGCCCAGCTCGCCACGCCAGGCCCCCCGAGTGCCAGCTCTGCTCACCAGCTTCATAGTCCTTCACCGTCTCCTCCTGAAAGTCCTTGAATATGTCCAGCCGGAACTTCTTCTCCAGGCCGTAGCTGTAGTATCGAAAAAGGCACTCCAGGCCGTACCTGGGGGGACATGAGGCAGGTGAGCGGGGCCTGGCGAGCTGCACAGCAGCCCCGACACTAGGGCTGAGGCCACGTGTCCCCAGGGGCTCTGGCTGGGCCGCCTCGGCAGCCTGTGGGGGTGTCTCGTTTGCCAAGGGCCAGCCGGCTGGTCCCTGGTCACAGGAGACTTCAGCCCCACAGAGCCCGAGATGTACCGTCTGTCCCTCGGCAGAAAAAGCCCACCAGCCCCTGGCAGCTCTCCCGAGGGCACCGAGACACCCGCCAGCAGGTCTGCTCGTGTCTTGGACTTGGAGTCTCCCTTCCAGAAGCACAGGCCAAGGGCACCACCCTGACGCAGACCAGGGTTTTACAAAAGAGCCAAACGGCAGAGGAGCGTTAGTAAGAAAATGTGAAGGTCTGAGAAAAGCGGTCAAGCAAAGCCACGGCAGACGCGCATGGCGACAGCAGGCTGCGGGCACCGGCACAGGCCGTCCCAGCAGACACCAGCCTCTGCCCACACGGGCGCGCTCTCGGGCAGCCCTTCAGATTGGGAGGTAATACAGAAAGGTAACTTTCTGTATTTTCTCCACTTACAACGAAAAGCAAAGTAACTTCTATAGGAAGACAAGTATCTAAACGTGGAAGATGCTTCTTGGTCATAAAGGAGGCGCAACAGCCTCTCCAGGGTGCCTGGAGTTCTCGGCTCGTCCCGAGCCTGGACGCCCTCCCAGCTTCTTGCACGTCCCCGCCCCTCCCCACCGCGCACGGGCACGCCTGACCTGGGGGACTCTAAAATTTTCTCTAGCAAGTTCCTGAAAGCAACGCAGCGCCTCTCACGGAAGACGGTGGAGTACGTGACGGCGCCCCCACACGGGGCGTCAGCCACCCATGGGTCGACAGCACTGAGCAGTGAAGCAAGGGGCGGCAGAGCAGACCGCAGCCCCCACAGGCAACTGGAACCACACAGCCGAGAACGCTCTGCCTCCCCGCTTCGCTAGGGCTGTGGTGGTTTAACCCCATCAGTCACACAGGAGGCGGGCGGCCGCGACAAGGAAGCGGAACAGACGCAAGAACGCTACCGGTCGTGTGCGGTATTTTCAGAGCAAGTGGGGGGGGGGGGGGGCAACCGAGACCTCGCGTGGGGCTGCTCACGGCGAGCAGAGGCAGCCGCCTCTGGGTAGCCAGTGGGTGTGGAAGTGACACAGGTGCGCTAGCTCACGCGTGCAACGGGCTTCTAGAGAAGACCCACAGAGTCTAGCGGCCCCAGCACCATGGGAAGGACCCCATGGCGTGAGGGGACTTCTCGGCCGCACAGCCCTGGCCTCTCTGGGCTTGGAGACGCGTGAACACACCACTGCAAGCACAACACGGCTCTTCGGCAGACCGAAGCAGACGCGCGGGCGGAGGGCGCAGGCCGGCAGCGCCAGGGCCCTCACCGGTAGCCTTCTTTGGCGTCCTCCAGGGCCAGCTGCTTGAACTCCTCATACATCTTCTTGTTGAAGTGATCTCGGAGGAAGAAGGACCAGAAGCGGAAGAGAGTGTTCATCTCCTGAGACTGGCCAATGCCCAAGCGTTTCCGCTCTGTGGGGAGGAGAGAGACACCCCTCAGGGCCCATTCTTTGGGGACAACGGGATCTGGGGCCCAACGGGATCCCGTGCCCGGCTCCGGCACCGAGGACCCTGCTCTCTCCCAGGGGCGTTTCCCGAGCGCATGCACCGAGGGCCTGTGCTGCCAAGGAGCCGGTGCGTCAGCCAAGGACGTGGGCCACCCCGTTACCCCGCACGGGGCACCCGAGGGCAGTCAGAGCAAGAAGCACGACCCGCGGGTGCAGCGCGTCAGTGTCCTCCCGCTCGCGACCCGCCGCCCCTCAGGAACCACCCCAGGAACACCGCGGCCCCACACACCACCAGGCAGCGCAGCGGCGAGACACAGCGGACGCCACTGGAAGCGAAAAGCTTTGGTGTGTCCAAGGGCCTTGTGAGCAGGAGACAAGACAACCCCCAGCACCGGCACGTCTGTAAACGGTGCGTGTGCGCGGGAGGCGAGGGGCCCGTGTCGTGAGGACGCGGAGCGCGCGACAGCACAGGCGAGCCCGGGCAAACAAACAGGCGAAGGGCCGAAACCAGAGAAACAGGCTCTTCTCCAAAGACGGCACATGGCCGGCTCACGGTCACGGTCACGAGAGGCGGCTCAGACCAGCAGAAACCGGGAATGCAAATCGAGACCCCAAGGAGGTCGCCCACTGCACATCACGCGCGAGCGCTGGGGCACCCTGCTCCCAGAGCCGGGCCGGCACTCCCGCCACCGGCCCCTCCACCCCGCAGAGAGGGGCACAGCTTGCCACGGTGGGAGGCTGCTCGGCACCAAGAGGGAGGAGGCCGAGAGCCAACAGTCACGCCCACGGTGAGCGAGGGAGGAGCGGCTGCCTGGGCCCAAGGTCCAGCTAAGGCCCAGGGGGAAGAGGCGGAGGTGAGGTGGGGCTGGAAGGGGCGCAGGGCCTTTTTCAGTAATAAACACCTGCACGGGGGACTCTGGGGGCGGACGCATGGCCCGCGGAGAACACACCGAGCACCTCTGTGCCCTCTCCCGGCCCGCGTGGAGTCACTGGCTGCGATCATGCCGCCGCTACACCAGAGCGGCCATGACCCGCTGCTGGAAAAGCCCACAGCTAAAAGGTCCCGTATTTTGTGATAAAAAGGAAACCCGTGAGAGCCACCTGAGAAGGGCTCCGTCCACGCCAACCTTCCGGAGGAGGGTCTGCAAAGGGCGGCGTGGAGCGCCTCAGCTCTGCAGGCCACACTCCTCTCCCCCAGCCCCCCATGGCTCCTTAAGAACACGAAGACTTCTGCGCTCCAGGGCTGCACAACACCAGGCTGCAGGCCGAGCAGGCCCCGGTCTGGGAGAACCCAGTAGTGACACCCAGTAGTGACAGAGACCACACAGGCCAATGGCTGAGCCAGCTGCCTTGCAAGAATAGGACAACACTTTTATCGACGGAGGAAGAGGAATGTTCAAGAAGCAGTCTCCGAGCCTCCTGCACCCCACGGGCCCTGGCCCGCCCGCCGCTCCTCACCGTTAAGGCAGCGCCGACGGTACTTATGGTAGACGTGCTGCGTGAAGCCATTTTCCTTGAGCAGCTCGTGGGAGGGGTGCTGGAACTTGGGCAGGGACTGGGGGGTACAGCCATAGCTGCCAACCGCTGGTGTCCCCTCCGAGGGGCTGGAGCTGCGAGACCAGGGGAGACGCCGTCACCGGGCTTCCCAGAGCAGTGTGTGGTGTGAGCAGCCCCGTGCCAGCCGGAACCCAGGCGCTTGTGGGCACCGACGTGTGAGCTTCCTGCTGCCCGCCACTCCCGTGCCAACCTTTGCAGCATCTCACGGAGGAGCCAAGGCTCAGAGGCTCTGGAGTTGCAGGAGACCCAGCCCCGGGCGTAGAACCCCTACAATCCCCTGAGTTAGCGAGTGAGCTTCCCTTGATGAGCTATTAGGGTTTAATCCACCTCTATTTTCCCTCAAAGCACGCCCCTTCTGTCTGTGACTTCTGCAGAGAGTGGAGGGCTTAAGTCAGAGGCTCCCTACCTTGCCTAATCAGAGGATCTGGGGCCATTTGACAGAGATAAATGAAAAGGAATTTGGGCCCCCCTGTCAGAAGCTGGGGCAATAGATGGGTTGGGGCCTGGAACCTCACTCTGGCCAGGCTGTCTGAGACGGGCGCAGCCAGCCACACCACCGAGAGAAGCCGCCCTCTCCCCGGGCCTGGGGTTTCTGGACCCCCCTCACTCCTGGCGTTCACACGTGCGTCCCTTTCCTTTAACGACCCAGGAGATCCCCCTCCTCAACCCTCCTGTGGGCCCGCACGCCCCAGCACCCGCTGTGGCCGGCACCTGATGGAGGCCGTCCGGGGCCTGTGCTCGCGGGAGTCCATCACCCAGCCCACATGGCTCTCCAGGGGGGGGTTGGAACTGTGTCTTGTCTTTCTTTTCCGAGGCATCTGCAAGGGTCAGTCCAGGATTTGTTCTTTATCGCACTTGCACAGGCCTGGCAGCCAAGCCCTACAGGACTAGCGCCCCCTTGTGTGCACGACCTGGTCTGCGAAGTCATTCCTGGCTGCTCACACGTGCGCGCAGCCGCGAACCAAGCCCCGGCAGGCCCACCTCACTGCACGCACGCCGGGTGCAGGACAGCCCGACCCACCCAGGACCCTACGCCCCTCAAGGCCTTGGCACAGCTGCACGCCGCCCGTCCACCTCCAGCCTAGCCTGCACGCACGCTTGGTGCCGCAGGAGTGACTCACCTTGGCGTCCAGTGTCCGTCCCTCCTTCACCACGGGGTAAAACCGTGAGGTCTGGCTTGAGTCTTTGAGCTGTGGTGTCCGGGGGGTGCGAGGGGTGCGGGCATTGCGGTAGTTTGGCGACTCTGGGACAGTGGTGGGGAGAGAGCGGGCGATGGTGGAGGGCTCTGGGGCACCAAACAATTTGTTGGCCAGGGCGTCTGTGGGAACTGCAGAGGCCAGGTGGTCAGCAACCGGGCAGCCCCCTGCAGGCCCCAGCACCCCCTGGCAGGTCCCACGTGTCAGCCCCTTCACCTTGCTGGAAGCGAGGTGGCCCAGGGGGCACCTCCTGGTTGGGGTCCACAGGGGGCTCAGGGGTTAGTGTGTCGAACTGCTCCCGGCTGATCATGTTGACTTTCTTGAAGTTCTCGACTTCTTGCTGCAGAGGACGGAGGGTGGGACGAGGAGTTGGCAGGACCACCCCAGCCTGCTTGGGGATGGAGCTGTGCAGACAGTGGGAGGGCGGGCCCGGCGCTCTGCCCTCAGCCACACCCAGTGACTGGGCAGAGCGCGCAGCCCAGGGGAGCGAGCTCGTGCCCGACCCGCTCTGCAGCACCCAAGAGCTCACTGCAGGCCTCCTGCACATCTCCACATGCGGCCTTGCCCTTATCGCCACCGTTGTCTGCGGCCTGGCTCCTTGAGGGCCGTCTAATCTTCACCCCGGCGCCACCAGCCCCCTGCACACGGCACAGCTCCCCGCGCACTCGCGCCCCCGGAGGCCCGCATCGTGTCAACACCACTCCTATCCACACGTGAGGCTCCAGGCTCAGCCCCCTCTGCCTGCCGTCACCGGCCCCGCTCCCCACCCTCTGCCGCGCCTCACCTTGATCTGGGAATACTCGGGCTCGAACTTCTCAGTCCACAGGTCCTGCTCGTAGTAGAAGAGCCCATCGTTAATGACCTTGGCCAGCTCGGCGCTCATCTTGGCTCGAGAGGTGTGGTTTCCTGTGCGGTCCCCTCCCGGGTGCCGGCGCATGTATGGTGGCGTCTGGGTGACGATGAGGATCTTGTTCACGTCCCGGTCATCGATCTCATAGTCAGAGTCCTCGTCGGACCAGGCGGTGAAGGTGTTCTTCCGTCCGTCCATCTGCTCCATCTCCTCGTCAAACAGGAAATCCAGCTCCTCCTGCTCCTCCTGCTCCCTGGATGGTGGCGGCTGAGAGGGCGGCTGCGGAGGCAGGGAGGTGGGGTGGAGCAGCCTGGGCTCCTCGGACTTCTAGAATGGAGACAGGCCAGGGCAGAGGGATGACCTGGGGTCCACGTAGCTGTCCCTGAGGCCCTGCGAGCGCCAGCGAGGCCCAGTGTCAGACCTGGAGTGGGAGTCATGACCCAGGGCACCTCGCCGGGGACTCCAGGCACCCCCACTCACAGCTCACACCAAGGCCTCCACCTTCTGCCCTTCATATAGCACCGGCTGTGGGTGCCCGCTCGGCCCCTGGGCGGCCATCCTTTCTCGCCTACCCAACCATGCCCCAGCAGCTGGGGCTTCACGAGACAAGGACCACCGCTGCCCGCTTTCCAGCGCGTCCTCAGGACCCAGCCTGGGGCCTGGTGATGGCAGCTGCTCTGCTGACTGATGAAGAGCAAGCACCCGCTGACTAGGGTGTGAAGGGTCTAGCAGCAGACTAAGGAACAAGACAGGGTCCCTGACCTTAAGGAGCTCAGTTTAGTGGGGAGAAAGTCGACCCACTAACCAGTGGGGCAGAAGCATGGGGAATGGAGGGTTGCCTGGAGGTGGTGATAGTTAGAGGTGCGCAAATAGCAGCATGTACCCCAGCAAGCGAAAACGATGCTATCAGCAAAAAGAAAACAAAAAGAAAAGGACATTAGTGTGGACAGGCTGAATTTATCTGTGATGGGAAGGGAAAAATCTCAACAATCCTCTGCTGGACAAAGAGCTGCCCACACACCTAAACCTACATTCATTACGAGCACGAGGGGCCAGTGGTGCAGGGTCGTGAAGCCTGGCCCTGCCTTTCCAGCCCCTGAAGTCTGGGGCCTACACGGCATGCGCTCCATTTAACACGTCTCCCCACGACTCCAGCCTGACCAGCTTTTTCAAGGACTGTGGCCAGAGGGAGGGAAATTTTGGAGCGGGAAGCCCCCGCAGGAAGGGTGGGGAAGAGAGCCTGCAATTCCACAAACCCCAGGGCCCAAGGTCATCTGAGCCTGCTCACAAGCTGCAGACCACAGGTCTCTCCCAGAGGGGCTGGAGAGGGGCCAGTAGACACCTGATCACGAGCTCGCTTTGCACGGTGTTCCAGGTCAGACCCAGGACTGCCTGTTATGTCACGGACAGTCTGACTCTTCCTCTGAAGAGGGAGAGGCCCATGCCTGGAGATGACCACACGCCTGCTCCCTCTTCTGAGAGCCTTGGGCTCGCCCAGGGCAATACGGGGAAATTCAAGAGAAAGGCACTTACAATGTAGCCCCAGGGGTTCAGACAGGGCAAAAAGAACAGCCCAGCACGGAGAAGGCTGGGACATCGCAGCCAGTCTGCAGCCCTTCCAAGAAGGCAGCTAGGAACCAGTGGCTGCTGGGCCCGAGGGTGGTTCCCAGGGATGGAACAGGCTCACTGGCTCTCCTGCACCTCCGGTGACCTCAGCAGCGGGATGACCCTGAGCCACGCAGCCGCCATGCTACTGGGCCTGCCCCTAGTCCAGGCCCCGGGGGCCCACCCACCTTGGGTCGTGCCGGGGAGGGCCGAGGCCTCTTCTTCACTTCGATCCAGTTCTCCGAGTCCAGGTCGGGCAGGCTGGCAGACAAGCCCTTGGGCAGCGTCTTCAGGTTACTGACCTCCTCTGTCTTGGTTGGCACGGGGGTGACTGCACGGGGCGAGCCCGGCGCGGACTCTGAAGGGTGGGAAGGCGAGATGTCACCCTCTAGGCGCTTCCCAGCCAGCGCCGGCAGAATCACAAATGCCAGGGACCCACCTGTTTCCTTCTGGTAGTGCTGGCGGGGCACAAACTCTGGGCAGTTGAGAAGCTGGGAGAAGTCGGTCTGGGAATAGTCCACTATTGGGGGGCCAGGAAGAGGCCATTTCTCAGGCTCCTCCCTCCGGCGGACCTTCTCATCAACCATCTCCACCACCTTGCTGTCCTTCAGGGCCTGAGCGGAGGGGGAGGCATGTGGGGTGGCGTGTGAGCCTGAACCCCCACCGTCAGCAGACCCAGTGCCGCCCGCCCGGACCCAAGAACAGCGCCCCCAGACGAGGGGGATGCCCCAGCCGCAGGGCCGCAGCCTGAGCGTTCACTGGCATTTGAGTGTGTAAGGGAAACCCAAGCATCACAGACCACCTCAGGACCCCAGGTAAACTGCAATGGGGACAGGTGGAAAGAAGACAAGTCTCTTATGGCTGATGGGGTGGGGACACTTGCTGGCAGGCTGATGGCCCTCAGCCGGCGTGCGGCCAGTCCACACTGGCAGAGACCTCCGCTAAGACACTTGCAGAAAGGCGAGAAGGAAGGAAAAGTGGCCACTGCGTCTCCCCTGCAGTGTTTCACACAGTGGAGCAGAAACCAAAGGCAGAAACCGTGATGGCAGCGCCTTCTAAGGGGCAGGCTGCCAGCACAGTGGCGCCGACTGACTCGTAATGGGGGGACTGATTCACAAATGGTGTCTTCGGGGGAAGAAAGGGAGACACTGAGAGGGGAGGGCATTTTAAGCCAGACCTCCATGAATGCCCCGTGACTTCGGAATCATAAATACTTTCCGCGTGCTCGTGGAAGCACTGTCAGAACCACGCCTGTCAGCCGTGGAGTAGGCAAATGTATAATTACGTTGACGTCAATACAGATCACAATTTTTGGCAGAAAAGGAGAGTTAGGTACAGAAGATCCTTAGTTATTAAGTGAAGACCCCATAGTCCTGAACTTGAACAGAAAATATCACTATAGGGTCATAATGTGTTTTATTAATGAGAAGGAACTTCTAGAAACAATGATCAGCCAGGTAGTAACAAGCACCCCCTGTAAAGTGGCTTTGTGGAATCTGAATGCCATAAATACCATCTGTTTGAAACAGGGGTTAGAAGTCCTCGACAAAATGGCAAATTCCAGATGGGCATGGCTCAGTGTGTTAACTGCAATGGGTTTGAGTTGTGAAGTCTGTAAAGGCACCAAATTATACTTAAAAAACAAAAAACAAAAAACAAAAAAACCCCCAAAACTCATTGGTGACCTTTGAATGCTTTTAGGGGTCAACTCAGCTCTGAAAACTCGTGCCCGAGGGCAGACTGCCCTTACCTGCCCGCCCGCCCCAAACCTCCTGGTAACGGGTAGCTGCCGAGGCAAAGCTGCCCCTCAGGAAGCATCCCGGCTGTCGCGAGGACCGAGGGCAGGACCCGGCGCACGCCACCACTCTCCAGTCCCTAATGAACACCAGGCAGCCTACAGCAGCCACTGCAGCCACTGGACACCGGGCCATGGCAGAGACATGCGTCCGCCCACAGCCTACCCTACCCGTAAAGGTTCTTGACGAGGAAGGGAAACCTCTGAATCCACATCACTGCCTTGTGAACGGTCAGGACTATGGAAGTGCAGGTGACGCAACACCACCGTGTCTTGTAGGAAATCCTACCGAACACACTACCTGGTGTTTTCAAGTAACGACTGCCAGGAGAGACAGCAGGGGGGAGATGCACTGAACGCTACGTGGTCTCGGGGCTCTGCGTGCTCATAAATTCCTGAGGTGAATGCGCAACCGACTAAATATTTGATGACATTAAGAAACTGTTAAGTCCTGTCTGTCAGGGAGAGGAACGGAAACACTGATGCACTGTCTGTCAGGTGGCCTGAGGGCGCCTCCCAAATCTTTTGGGAGCGGAGACAGAGGAAGGCCGGCCGAGTTGGTGGCAACCGCCAGGCCGGCGGTGGGTTCATCGGACCTTTCTATTCTTATAAAAGTCTGAAATATTTCCAAAGGCGAGAGAGAAGAGGAGGAGGAGGAGGAGGAGGAAGCTGGGGAGCAAGGGGGGCGTCTTCCAGGGAGTTCTGCCCTGGCCCGAACGGCAGCTCCGTAAGCAAGGGCCTGCCCTTCCCCGGCACCCAGCCCCAGGCGGGGAGACATACTGCAAAGATGAGCGAGATGTCAGTGGTCAGGGCCTGCACTCGGTGGAAGGACGCGATGAGCGTGATGGGGAGGAAGCCGTCAGTGTCCATCTTCCGTCGCAGGAAGAAGTCTCGCTCCAGGTTGTCCACACTGAAGTAGTACTCACTGGCGGGGAGCAGAGACAGTTACACATGCGCTCCCCATTTGGCCACACAGTGTCCCAGGGAGCCCGACGTCCCAGTCCTGCTGGGCACACAGTCTTCAAGGCGAAAGAAAGAACTGCTCTGCTCACGACCCGCCTTGGGGCCAACCCTCCTCAGCCACCACCTCCTCCTGCTCCATAAACACCCAGACCCAGAGGGCCAGTCCCTTCTCCCTGCGCACCCCGGGCTGACAGAAGGCACATCTGAGAGGTCTCCCGCCTCCCCCGCCCCGCCGAGGGCTGTGTCTCAAGCGGCCAGGAGCCAAGTTCCAGGAGAGCATGGTCCCAGGCCGTGAGCCGCCACCACCCGACGGGCAGACTCAGGGCACCGCTGGCCCCGGCGGGAGGGGCTGGGCGGACGCCTGCGGGCGACAGGCGAGCGCAGACACCGCCCGCCTCTGTCAGTGGTGCTGTCTGACCTCCGGGCAACTGCGGTGCCGCCTCGGCAGGCGCGTGATGGAAAGTGCGCTGAAAGGAAGAGCCAAGAGCCGAGCCCCTCCGCACGCAGCCGGGGGCGCCCCACTCACATCTGGCGCTTGATGTAGTCCTTGAGCAGCTCCTGGTCCACGCTGTAGAGCTCCGTGCTGCTGACGTTGTCGAAGTAGTAGGTGATGTTGTTCATGTATTTGGGGGTGCGAGGACCCTCTGCACCGTCGAACTTGCGGTAGCCGAACTGGTAGTCAAAGTGCGCTACGGGGGGGGGGGGAACAGGGCCGTGAGGGCGAGGAGAGCCCCGCCCGCCGCCCCTGCCGCGCACCCTCGGACATCCCGGAGCCCAAAGGGGCCTCACGTACTTCGAGCGCCACCCCGGCCGCGTCCCCGGCCGCGACCGCGCCCCCGTCCACGGCCACGGAAGGAAGCCCGCGCCCCACCAGCCCCATCACTCTTCACACTCGACGTCTCATCCTGGTCGGGCCAGGCGGGCTCCGCTTTGGTCTCTGGTTGCCAGGCTGGGGTGGGGGGGGCCACGGGCACATAGGCGGCAGGCTCAGCCCCTGCAGGGAGAGGGCATCGGGTCAGGCCCGAGGGGGCCCCCACGCCCAGTCCCTCCAGCGGACCCCGCAGACCTTTCATCTCCCCGCGGCTGGCGGGGGCGTGGCGAGGCTCCGGCGGGCGAGCAGGGCGCGAGGCCAGCTTCTCTCTGGGCACTTCGGGCTTCATGTCAATTTGCAGCGGAACCCACTTGTGTTTGTTCCCTGAAGGACAGCAGGGGCTCGTGAGGGCCGCAAGGGGAGCTCTCCCAGCCGCCCCTGCCCTGGCTGCGGCTCTCAATGTGGCGACATGGGGCCCCTCCATCGTGTCTCAAACAAGCAGGCCGTGGGCGTGCCGTGCAGGCCCTCGCCGGGTCAGAGCAGCACCCTCGGGCCAGATGCAGCGACCACGGGAAGCCTACATGCCCCGCTGCCTGCAGATGTGTGCTGAGCCAAGCGGCCAGCTCCAGGAGGCGTCTCCAAAAGGCAGGGGCCGCCCTCCCCTCTCCCTGCAGGGCAGGGCCTTCCGCCACAGGGAGACAGAGGTGCTAGGAGCTGGCACTGCCGGCCCGGCCAGCACACGCCGCAGCAGCAGGACTTCGGCCGCGAGGCGGCTAGACTCGGGCCTACAGTGGCCGGGCCCGCACCCCCGCTGCCCGTCTCTGAACGGGCACACCCCATCCCGGGGCTGGGGCCTGGAGGCTCCCCAAATGCTTCTCCATGACAGCAGGAAATGAAGGCCCGTGGCCCGGGTCGCTGGGCCTCCCTGGGGCCTCCGGTGACTCAGCCCGGGGGTCTGACGGCCCTGGGCCCGAGACACCCACCTTTCTTCTTCTGCCCCCCGCGCTGGCAGTCCTCGTCCCCGTTCTTCTCCTCCCCAGACTCGTCCGACTTGGCTTTCGGGCTCTCCTTGCTCTCGCCCCCTTCTCCTTTCTCCTGCTCCTTCATGTCCTTTTTGGGGGGCAGTTTCCGGGCCGGCTGAGGCTTATGGGGCTGGGGCTGCAGCGGGAAGGGCAGGAAGGGGAGTCCCTGCCGCTGGGAGCCGGGACAGAGCGGCTGGCCCGGCGAAGAGCCCGCTGGGAAGGGAGGCCCCGCGGGGAGGAGTGACGGGCCCGCTGCGGCCATGGGGTCCGCCGAGCGGGAGATGCTGGCCCCTGGGCTGTCCGCACCAACCTGGCTGTGAACTTAGGCCAGGGGCCACAGCCAGCAAGGGCCCTAGGCCATCGGCCCAGACAAAGGCCTTGCGGGGGAAGGCTGACCGGGACGCCCCCTCCTCGGGAGCTCAGGAGAGCCACACCACAGGTGCCTCCCGAGGATGTGCCCTCGAGAGTGGGAGGCGGCCGCCGAGCACGCTGATGGCCCAGGCCGGCAAGGTCGTGACAGCAGTACCACAAGCCTGACTTCCCAGGCCGCATGGCCACTGGGGGTCTGTGCAGGCCTCGTCCAGCAGAGGAGTGAGCCTGGAGTCGTGGTGAGGCCAGAGGGAAGGAAGCCGCGGTAGCAGGGTCCCCCCAAATTGTGCCGATGCTGCCGCACGGCTGACCATGCACCCGCCCCCCCAACTCACCTGCACACTCTTGTGGGCTATCTCTCCAGGTGTGGGCCAGTTGATTGCATCTCCAAAGTCCCCAACCTGCAAGGCACGTTCTGTGAGGCCCTGGGGAGACCCTTGCCCTGCTGCGCAGCCCCCTGCCCAGGACACAGCTCTACCCGGAGAGCAGAGGCCAAAGCCTCTGACCACAAGGACAATCCATGCTGCTGCTCCCAAGGGACCAACTACTCAGAGGATCCTGAGTGCCACTCACCGGAACAGGAAAGAGGCCACCACCTCCAGGAAGTCCCCTTGGGTTGCCAACCCCTACTCCTTACCTTGCTGCCTTTGCGCTGTTTAGGGACTGCTGCCCTCACCACCTTGGCAGGAGCAGAATGTTCTGTAGGACAAGAAGGGAGAGGGGGTGATGATGAGCCAGGAGGGACCATGACGGATAGAATGATAGTGTTCAAACATCCACACCAAGTCACTGGCCCCTTTCTGAAGAAATCGTGCACAGTGAGCGCATGGAGACAGGCAGCTCCCCTCAGCCCCACGCCCTCTCGTGAAAAGGGCTGAGTCCTGGAGGGGGTGTGCAGGGCACACTGAGGCCACGCCAGCTGGCTCCATAGCTCAGGCCTGTAGGGAGGGTCACAAAGACCCCTCTGGCTCTGCTGCCTGAACTGTTGTGTGTGAAGAGACCTGGGACAGTCAGTGAAGGCCAGATAAAAACCCTAAGCAGGCAAACGAAAAGTCGGGGGGCATCTTCTAAGGCAGAACTATCCTCAACGCCTGTGGTCAACACGGACTGGCCCCTCAGGGGAGACCCCCTCTGCCTCTGCAGCTTCCCAGGAAAACGCAAGCCCCATGTGACTCGATGGTTCCACCGCCGGGGGCTGAGCCCACGGGACAAGGTGGCCAAAGCGAACAGGCAGCCACAGTGCGGCTCTGAGGACACCAGCCCAGGGCCCCCAGGTGCCCGAAGCCAAGCAGGGTGCCCACCCGGGTCCTGCGTGCGCGCGTACCCAAGGCAGGTGCAATGCGCAAATCAGGCGCAGTAAGGGACGAGCAGCAACGACGACACAGGAATATTTTTACCAACTCTGCCGTGAGAGCCGCATGCACACGCTCTCGAAACACCCTCTGCTTCCAGACATGGCGGAAGGGGAGCGGCCGCCGTCCGTCACCAGGCCAGTGTGCCTGCAGCGACTGACGGCGTTTGGAACTCTCCACTAGTTTTCACTGGGGACAGACACGGGCTTTTAAAGCAGGAAACCGTGTGCTTTGTCCCTGTTCTGGGAGGAGGCCCCCCATGCCTGCCTGAGCTCAGCTCCCCTGCTTTCTCAGCGCAGGCCTGAGCCTGGTTTCTGCACCTTCCTTCCCAGAGACCTGCGGAGGTGCCCCCGGGTCCTGCTCTCCCACACCTCTCCCTGCACTCTGCCTCCACTGTTGGCCAGTGGCCTCAAAAGGAATGTTCCCCCCTTTGATCAAACCCACATTCTCTTAATGAGCAGAGTTCGAGCCTGGCTGTGAGGCCACGGCATTCTCGGCCTCTGCCCCCACTAGAGCCACTGCCTCCTCACGACCCCCACAACGTGTCTCTTGAGAGCTGGGGCCATGGCGCCCAGCCCACAGTACCCCGTCCCCAGGGCTGAGCAGTGTGTGTGTGTGGGGTGGTGGCTGACCCCACCCTGCAAGTCTACAGCAGCAAGGTGAAAGAGGCGACGGGGCAGGGGCCCAGGCAGGTGCCCCTGAAGACGTCCTTGGAAAAGGTGAGGGAGCTTTTCAAAAGTCATTGCCACTATTTGTAGAAACTCTTCCAGAACCCTGAACACCTGCTGTGCTGCGCCGCTTACAGCCTGTTCCCCAAGATCACCGTGGCCTGGCCAGGCACTCAAGTTCAGTCTCCGATGGACAGAAGGGCTGGTCTGCCCCTGCGAGGGCCCGAGCGAGCCATAGGAAGTGGCAGGACGGAGCCACAGAAGACTGGCTGGAAAAGCAGGCCCCGGGTCTGGGTCTCCATAGGATCCACGGCGCCCCCCTCAGCTCTGTCCCAGGAAGAACAAGTCCCAGAGAGGAAAGCCCCCTGGGGGAGAGAACTTGTGCTGGGAAGCAAAATCCTGCCACCTGAGAAGCCTCCAGGCCTGGGGAAGCCCAGGAAGGCACCCATGAACCTGGCAGGACCTGGCAGGACTTGGCAGGACCTGCAGGAGGCTGGAAAGGGAGAGCTGACTTCAACTGCTCACCCCTTTATAAGTCCCCTCCTGGCCGCCCACCTTCACCAGGCAGGCAAAGGTGTGTGTGCACACACCCATAGCCGGTGCGCAACAAGCAAGGCCTGAGTGTAAAATGGCTCCCAGTGAAAACCAAGCCCCGTCCTGGCCAGGTTAGGTGCATTGGCTGTCACCGTCCCAAGCCCCTTCTAAGGAAACTAGACTCACTGTCCTGCACCTGCCCTAAAAAAGTTGTGGGGTGCTGGTTGGGGTGAAAAAGATCAGCATCAAACCCCCTATTTGCAGATGGGGAACAGAGGGCTTCTCCAGCCAGGAGTCAGGCGGGAGCCGGGAGCCTCTATGCCCTTGTCCAGTGCTCCCTCCAGCTCCCTGGGGGCTCTATTTGTCCATTGCAGGGAGACCCCCTCTGTGCCATCTAAGGGTACTTCACTGGAGGGGAGGGCAGCAGGCCAGTGGCCTCTTGCTCCACCCCTGAGGCAAACCAGGCACTCCAGGGTATTGAGAAGGGCACCTTCTGTCCTGTGGTTAGGCAAGAGCCAGCCTGGTGGCGCGAGGGCAAGGCGCACTCGAGCCACACCTAAGCTTCGCACTCTGTGCGCGCGGGAGGCTGGGCCCTCCAGCGCGCTGCTGGGAGCTGTCTGCACAGCAGACCCACCGTTTGGATGCCAGATTACTTAGACTGGTGGGGGTGGGGCGCTAGTGGGGTGGTACGGAGGTTGCTGGGTGGTGCGGGCGAGCGGTGGGTCCTGGGGTGGCAGGGCAGAGGGCCCCTGGGAAGCGGAGCGGCCGAGCGCATGTTACCCACGCAGCCCCCCACTCAAACGCCTGGAGAGGCAGGATGGCCGCCCACGCGCACAGCTCCAATGGCTGTCCCTGCAACGCTTGGGGAGCCCCTATGAACCTCAGACCCTCGTCTGTAATGCACGAGACAGGAGAACCTGGAAGGCGGCCGGGACCCGGCACACGGCACGTGCTCAACGCGCGCGCAGGGTTCAGCTCAGACTCAGGAAGCTGCTCTCCCAGCCGTCCCTGTCCCGAGGCGGAGAAGCCACCGAGCAAGCCGGCAGCACGCACGCGGCAGAGTGCGGGAGACACCCCGAGGGCACGTGGGCTCCACTACAGACCAGGCCCCTCTTCTTCCGGGCAGTGCCCGCAGGAGGGGGGCACTCACACTGCCCTTCAGAGCCAGGCTGGCTCCAGGGCATTGCCCAGCAAAGGAAAGCTCACATGCTGGCTGCTCTGGAGGGTGTGGGAGGAAGGGAAACCTGCCCATCCAGCCCCCCTGGCAAGGCAGCCCGGGCCACGCCCCCAGAGGGAGAGCGCGGGGCTGAGCCGGTGCACCGCGGGGAAAGGCCAGGTGGTCTCCCTGTCTCGCCGCAGGAAGGGGCGGAAGATGGTGGCCGCTGACACGGTCAGAAGGCAGCTCTAGGGGGTCCAAGGAGCAAGGTGTGGCTCGACGGGAACAGAGTGAAAGCTTCTGGGGGGAGGGACGGACCGACAGGCACGCGCGGGCCCGGGGAGAGCACGGGCAGGAAGTGGGCTGGAGAGAGCACGGAGGCCAGGGCGGGCGGCGAGGGCGCCTAGACACGAGCCTTCAGGCCAGTGGACCAGGTCAGCCACAGGCTTACTTGGAGACTGGCACCACCTCCTGGAGGCTGGCATCCGGGCAGGCAGTGCGCCGTGACTGAGAAGTACTGCTACCTCGCAGCAAGGTCACCTGTGAGGACGAGGGGCTGCCCACCTGCCCCGGGGGCTGCCTCCCGGGCTCACCTCCCTGTGGCGGGAACCAGGCACTGCAGTCAGCCCAGGGCAAGAGGCACCCGGGGCGCCCTGCTGGGGTCTCACACCAGAGAAAGGGGCTTTGCTTTTCAGTGCCAATTCCTGCGCCCACAGACAGAGCCCCAGCCCTCCTGGGGGCAGAGACCCCACAGGCTCCAGAAGCCAGGCCCCAGCCCAGCACCCCCCGGGGGCACCTGCTCCACCACCGAGGGAGTAGTAGTGGCTGTGAGGAGCGCGGGGGAAGGCGAGGTTCCGACCCCCATCCTCATCAAGGCAGGCAACGGGCTGGCACAAGCTCTGTGCCCAGAGCACCGACCAGGCGCCAGACGCGTCTCGGACACAGAGCTGCTTCCTCTAATGGGGCTCACCGCGGGGCGCGGCACCCACAGCCAGAAAGCAGCGAAAGGGCCCGAAGCCAGGAAGCCTGGCCCCGACTGCTGGGCGGGGGTTCCGAGTCAGCCCCGTGGCTGCACGAAGCCTGAGGCCACAGAGCGGAGCAGGTGACCCTCAGGCCAACTGCTCCTGTCCTGCCCGAAGAGGGCAGGGAAGTGGCCACCCGGCTGTCTCCCGGGCCCCCACCCTTGCTCACCCCAGGTGCGGGTCCCCTGACACGGATCTGCCCCTGCCGCTGCCTGCGCTGCAGCCCAGGGCCCCATGGGGCGGAGTGGGGTCCACGAGACGCTGGGGCTCCCCACGCCTGCGGGCAGGAGCACACCCCCAGAGCAGGGCTGGCTGCGCTCCTTACCTGGCCACCGCTCGCCCAGCCTCTCTCTGCCCAGCCCTCCCGCCCGGCCTGCCCCCACGCAGCAGAGCCACGCAGGGGGGCCGCCGCGCCCAGAGGGAGGAGTGGGCGGGGGGGGGGGGGCCTCCACTCAGACCATCTCCAGGGTGCGCCAAAGGCAGCAGCCGCAGACGGCAAGTGCGCCCCTTGGCCTGGGGGCAGCCCAACTCCCAGCACGTGATGCCCCGCCCCAGCCAGCCCCAGGCGACTATCTTTAGCCTGCGGTGACCCGGGCAGCTGGTGTCCCTACCGCCCTGCCCAGATGACAGGGACCCTGCGGCCCGCCACCCCCGTCGCCGCTGCCAGTCCCGAACGTCCTGCCCGAAGCCAAGAATAGGCACAGCTGCAACCCGCCGGCGCCAGGTGCCCACTGCTGCTGGGGGGCTTCGCACAGCGGCTTCCCGAGCCGCCCTCTTGCTCCAGCTGCTCAGAAAGCGAAACTGAGGGCAGGGACGTGCCCAAGGCCACACACAGTGCCCGCGGCAGGTGCCCACCCCCGCTTATTCGCCCGCCTGTGTGGACTCCTCCCAAGGAGGCCTCCCGACATTGCTCTGGACCACACCCGAAACGGGTCTAGAACCGGGTCAGCACCACCGCATGAGGGGC